GAGGATGTACCGTTTGCAGCTAATGCCTTGCAGACACATAGTTCACGTTTGTCTCTGCTCTTTCATGACATGAGCAAATTTTTGTCCTAGTTTTCCCATTTTTAAGGTGGTAATAAATGGGCAATGGCCAGTAAAAAAGGCTAATTGTTTTCCTAAATTTTTGCCTCCTCAGAGATAGATTTTTTTACTGGTTGGCATGTTGAAGAAAGTCTTTGGATGTTTTGCCCCTGTTTATCCAGGGTGTGGTCATTTCTTTTTCCATCTATTTGTACAGTTCATCCATTCCAAAGAACGACAGCTAAAGCGCTGCTGGTGTTTTTTCTATATGTTAAGAATTTCCAAACCATCTTTGAGTTGAAGGTGGATCAGTTATAACGCTGCTTGACTGTCTGAGAATGTGTACATGCACCTTTTAATTCTTTTTTATGTATTTTTTGTGCACGTAATTCTAATGCATGGATCTCAGCTTAGGATAATAAATTACAAGGGGAGAGAATATTGATGTACAATAATCTAGAGGTAAAAATGTTACCACTGCATTCAGAATATGAAAAAGAACAAAAAATTTAAAAAGGAAAATTATAATAGAAAGAAATCTAGGTTTTGAGACATCTACGTAGCTAAATTATAAATGAACCAAAGGAATTAAAAGATTTTTCAGAACCAGACTGCTTAAAACACTACAACAAAAATAGTAAATGATAAGAAAGTGACAAAAAATCGCTAAGCAAAAAAACGAATTCATACTTTCACCATTGAATAAACTTAAGCGATGATATTTTTGTTCGTCAGCTTATTCTGTTCTATTAAATTGAAATAGATAAGATTGACGCCACATTGTAAACATTAGCATGTAACATTTGTATGACACTCGTGATAAGAAGGTGACACTTAAGGATGTAAATCTTTAACCCCATGCCAAAAAAGTAAAATTTAGATATATATCACAACTTATATAGGGATTGTTATAAACGAAAGTTCGTCTCGTGCTGTTGCACAAAAAAATTCGTCAAAACCTTGAAACATTTAAATGTAATCCAGTTTAGTTTTGTTTTATATTTTCATTTTTTGCCTTTCGTTCTAATCCAATTGCAATTTAGAATGTAAGAATAAAATAGGTTGGTGGTGGATTTAATGCATATTTAAACTAGGGATTAAACTAATGTAATTGGAATATTTGAAAATTACTAATCAAAATTTGGGAGTCGTTGAAATTATAGACAGCTTCAAGGTGAGGGTGGTCACATGGTTACTTACGCCCAAGAGCATTGGTTCGTCACTCCAGCTGGAAGACTCATGATTGCCCCAAAGCTTATTCGGGAGCCAACTGCTGAACTGAAGAGCTCAAAATTCCAACTGCTTCGCTACTGCTGTCCTGCGGGTTAAAGGTAAGACTAGGCCATGGAGTTACAGGTACCCAAAGCCCCTAGGCGTACTTTTATGGCACCGAACAATTGGATCAAACGGATTTATTAAGTTATAAAGGTCGACAACTTTTCTGCAGAATAATCCGAGGCAAAGTAATGCAATAAAATGGCGTTTTGCGGCTAAGCTGGAGCAGGATTCGTACAACGATTTTAAGAAAAGGGAAATGGACTGAAAAAGCATGTGATACTCTCAATCTATCACAAAATCAATTACAGAAAATAAGAAGCTAACTTTAATCCAAGGAATAGCAACTCCTCTTGTTAGAATTTAAGAAAGACGCCGCTGTTATTTCGGTATATTTATTATTTATGTTGTTGTCGAGAGTTTATTCACAGTTATTCAATTAATTAAGGTTTTAAGTTGAGATAAAAAAATCAGTGTCACGAGCGGGATTCGAACCCACGACCTCAAGTCACGATAGCTCAAGTGGTAGAGTAGCGGGGTATCAAGCCGAAGGTCGTGGGTTCGAATCCCGCTCGTGACACTGACATTTTTATCTCAACTTAAAACCTTAATTAATTGAATGATATCAATTGGTCAAGCGGACAACGAAAAATGTGTTTCGTCTAAATTGTAGTTATTCAATTAAATTGATTTATTGTTCAATGTTTGAAAAATATTAAAATTAAACATTTAAACGTTATTAGGGATTCACCTGAAAGGAAGGAGAGACAACAGTCACCTGAATGGGTTAAAATGAAGTGGATCTTTGATTACTATTACGAATTAAAGTCCGTCATGAGCTGATAAACCAAAAATTCAATAGAATTTTTTTAAATTCTATTTTTATCTTTTATGTAATTTTCCCTCTTTTTCCATGAATACTAAATTTAAAAAATCTATATCAACTTTTCTGTTTATTCTAAATTAATCCGTATTCATTTGATATAATAACAATTTATACAATGGTGGTTAACATTCTAATTTGATGTTTGATATAAACGGCTTAAACATGAATAGCAGAATATTTGTCATTTATTCTGATTCTATTAATTTTAATTAAATTAACCGATATATTCATGTTTATTTGATGAACCAAAATAGAAAATACAAACCAAAAACAACCAAATGTTTATCGTAATTTTTAAAAACGGATTTGCTTAAGAATGTTAAACATGAAGATTACTCATTTTGTAAACAAACACCTTTTCTTGCCTTTTCTCTATTTCAATCCAGCTGTATTCTCTTTATTCATGGAAAGACATGATCTTGAACCAGACGTTCGCAATATTATTGTGAGAACGAGTCATCGAGGTCACCAGCAAATGGATATCGCAGAGACAGTTGGATATCCTCAGATCGTTATCTCCTAGGATTTAGCCCGATTCCGAGAGACTGGAAGTGCCAATAAGAGGCCTGGAATTGGAACTCAGCGCATTACGACGCTAAGGGAGGACAAAAATATTGTCATTGCTACAAGACGGAACCATTTCCGTAGTTCCGCCAGATCCTAAATGAGTTCAAGATGTTTTGGCAAGGCATTTTTATTCCCACAAACGATTCGTAGTTGGATCGCGATTTTTCGTAGTTGGCCTCACATCGTATCCCTTTGAGACGACCTGGAGCAACAGCCCGCCACCAGCAACTCTGGAGAATATGGTGCAGCGAGCGTCTAGAAGAGAACACCAATTGGTATGCTGTTTTGTTTACACATGAGCCGCGATTCTGTCTATATAGTGATAGCGAGAGTCTACCGAGAACAGGGTATGCTTACAATGCCCGAGTTCGTGCTCCCTTCAGTGCAGTTTGTAAGAGGCGGTGTAATAGTCCGCTGGGATTTTCACTGGAGGACGAACTGGGCTCCTATTGTGGAAGGCAACCTCAGCGCAGTCCATTATGTCCAAGCAATTATAGGGCATATACCCCTCAAACTAGGGATCTCTTTGGCAGGGCTTTGCGAAGGAAGAGTTGTGTATCAATGTTTAGCAAACCTGGGAATTTCCTATCAGCCTCTTTCCCTATTATCTCCAGATCTCAATCCCATTGAGTACAAGTGGGATGCGTTGCAGAGAAGCCTTTACGATCACCATCTGCAACCAGTTGACCTGCACCAACTGAGTGCAGCGTTGCAACATCTAACGAGTGAAATTCCTTACGAAATTAGTGACCACCTTGTTAACAGTATGCTACAGAGGTACAGAGGTTTTAGCTAATATAAGACATTATACACGGTATTAATTGTTTTAAAAAAATTATTGTATCCAATAAACAAAATTATGGATTAAAACCTTTTATTTTATTATTTTCAAAATCCCTTAATTAAATTTTGTTTTAGTAAAAACAATGATTTTTATTTAATTTTAATGCAATTTATAATAAAAATAAAATAAAAATGCTAGGAAAAGTAAGCATAATAAAGTATGTAGAGTGTAAGTGTTCGATTTCAATATTAGGTATGAAACGAATAATTAGATACGAAAAACAAAGTAGGCATGTGTGTAGGACAGAGAAAGAAAGAAAGAAAAATATAAAGAGAGTGAGTGTGAAAAAGCTGTTTGCGTTTCTGTATCACGAAATTGTAAAACAACACCGACACAAAATGGCAGAAATTCATAACAGACAGACTGAAAGATAAAAACTGTACCAGTGGCAAAAAACTATAAAATCGAACTAAAAACAACAAAAACCTTAGCATACAATAAGAGCTACACCATAAAAACGATTAACATAATAATAAAAAAAAATCAGGGGAGGAAAAAATGGAAAGAAACATACAAACTAGCAAATTTCAAAAACCTCATCAGGTCAGGCCTCATCCATTAACTCGCTGAGGCGAAGCAACTGAGGTAAGAATCGGTAAAGTACCTGACGATCCTCCATTTACATTTTCATTTCCTTAGTGAGATCGTGATGTTATGGGCCATTTTTATGGTTTTGTTGATGGGTATTAGGGGGTTGGCTTCTTCAAAATTAGGGTACTCGGCTCCTTATTTAACTAATCTGCGCCTTTTTACCCTTTTCACTTGCAATGAGGAGAAGATGACCATTGATGATTAACGTCTTCAATCAAGGGCCAAAACATTTAGATTTTATGCCATAAAGTAGGAATTATTGTGAAGAAAATTTCGCCCGTCTTGGAATGATGAGACAATAAATAAATCTCCGTCAAAACCTTGAATTTGTTTAAGTTTAATGCACATTGATCTTACGATTTCACATTGGTCCTATTTCTCCGTTTCTTGTAATCCAATTCGTGAATTTTATGATGATTCGTAATATTAACTTTAACGGATAATTTAATATATTGATTGTAATTATGAATGCAGCTGTTGATTCATGTCCTCTTTATAAATATTAGTATTAAAACATTAAACATTTATATGATAGCCCTGATGGCCTTAGAAGATGGGACGCATCAGACACGCCAAAACAGCTTGATATAACAAAGTCAGAATGGGTGTAGGGTTTTTTCCGCTTATAGCAAATCTTTTTTATTATTCTCTCGAACATAAATCATGTCATTAAATTTGTGAAAATTTTTGGACCAAAGCGAACTTTGGGCTGGCCGAAAGAGGAGCGATCTCCAGCCGGTTTCCAGTACTAAAACCGAAGGGCACCCTCCGGAACATTCAGCACTTCGCCTCTCCCCTGTCGACCCTCCCTCGGTTCCGGTCGGCTCTTTCTCATATTCTCCAGTCAGTCTCTGACGCCGGTATTGAACCGCACTTTTGAAACGTCTCCGCGTTTATTACCAACCCCCCCAAAGTACGCACATTCGCCGTTTTTGTATGTGATTATTTGTCCTCTGTACCAGGGCTCACGAGTTATTCAAAACGACTCATTGATGCTGGAATTTAACAAGGTAAAGTTTTATTGTTTTATATTTATTAAAATAATATACCAGAGTGTGTTTGTCTAATACTCAGGTCTACACCGTTATAATTTGCAAACTATATTTTTTTACAGTAAAAGGCAAAGTATGTTTTATTTTTTTTTTTTTTTAACAACCAGGGGATGAATATAACTATATTAACACAAATGCACTAAATATTGCTTACATAATATGCTAAAAGGTACCAGAAGAAGCATTCCAATCTGGAAGAAACAACGTCCGATAGGGAAAAAATCTTTAAACCCCCAACGAATTCAATAAGTTAGAAATATTTAACAAAAAACTGAAAAATACAGTATAAATATACGTGTTTCATAGTTTTAGAGTGCAGATTAGGTTTTATGAGCGCGTATTCTGTATCCGGTCTTTAGTTCTATTGATTAGGACGACCCACCGCCGTTAGCAGACAGGGAATTCACCAATGTCACCACCCTTTCCACAAACCTTTGGCAGCTTGTTGAAACCATGAACGATTTTATATTACGATGTTGTTGGTTCTATCGTTTTTGTTGTTTTTTTTTTTTTTTATTACTTAAGTCAATCCTAAGCACGCTTGAATCCGTGACTTGTACGAATGTACGTTCGAAAAATGACGCTGTTGAGGTGCTTATCCGCAATATGGGAACTTTTTTTTAATCACTAATTTGAACTACTTACTTTAGTATTTACTAAATAGTGCACAATAAACCTCGGCCAAGTACTAAATATAGTTTTTAGAAATATTCTTAAAATAAACAAACCACAAACGAACAATTTCAACATTCATCTTTGCTAACGATATTCTAGAGAAGTTGAATCAAAAACCAATGTTTTGCTTTCTTTTTGGTCCTCATTTGAACAAATAGTAACCATAGCAAATGAATTAGGTGGATCCTCAATCAAAACCAAGGTTTTTATTTTTTTCTCTTACCAACTTTATTTCAACACGAACATATGATACATAAAATATTTCATTCTTAGTATAAAATAATCTGGATTTTTTTTACAACAAATTATTCTGCCTTATGTAAGATCTTGGTTGAGATGAAAAAGTCGAGGGTCGTGGGTTAGAATCCGCTCGTGACACTAACTTTTTCATCTCAACAAGTCCTTATATAAAAAAAAAGTAAAAAAAGAATAATTAATTGAAATAAGTAATTTGGTCAATTAAACCACTAAACATAAATAGATTAATACTTTACAACAAAGTTGAAGTACCAATCACAACTTTCAATGATTTTTCACAATTAAATTAACAAACTACATACATACAACAATACAAATATTTATACATCAAGTTGAAGACAGACAAAGTAGGAATTACAATGTTTCAAAAATCGTTTAAAGAGTGACACGTCTCCAATTATTTCAATAAAATTAAACTACTAATTTCATTAATTAAATTGTTGTGCTATTCAAAAAAAAAATCTTTGAAAAGGCAAGGTTTAATAATTGTATTGCCACAACACTAACATCGTAGGGGGTGGTTATCATTTGAAACCATTTAGGACCGGTTCAAACATAACAATTCTGCATTAGAGCAGATTTAAATTGGGGGAGTTCAACATTAAAAATGATTTCTTAAATTATAATTACTAATTTTAAGCTTATCTTTATAATTTACCTCTTTTATTGGGGGACGAGTCACTAAAACGTCGGAGCAGGTTTTAGGTTCTAATCCCGGCATAGCCCATGGTTTTTTAAATAGTAATAATTAGAAAACATATATTGTAAAGTGGTTTGAACCCTTGACTGTGACGTGACACCCAACGAGTGGTTGGACGTTAAGCCCCTCCTGCCCAGCCAAAATGTGACATATCCTATTTTGCCCAGAGGATGCAGATCGTTGATGCGGATTTTTTCTTTTTTTTTTGTGTAAAATGTTATTACATTTATAGGATTGCTTAGTATGTAGAGGTAGACATAGACCGTCCCTAACATCATCCCTAATCCTACGTAATGTACCCTGATCCTAATTATACAGTACCTAACCCGTCTCTAAACCTATGTACCCTAACCTAACTACTTCCATTTGTAGGTGGCCGAGTAGTTAGGCCGTCCGACTCATGTTTAACAGGCTAGCGGTTCTGTGTTTAAAATATTGAATTCCGGCGTAGCCCATGGCTTTCTAATGGATACTGCAATGATGTAATGTATGTTAAAGTGGGTTGATCCGTTGTCCGCGATACCAAACGAGTAGTTAGATTCTAAACCCCTCCTGTTTGACAGGAATTATTGTACTCTACCTCCTCTTTTTCAATAGATTTCTAAGAATTCTGAACACAAATAGTAAATGATAGAATTTTATATCCTGTAAAAAGTGACAAAGTGTGTTTACTTCTAATGAACATGAACATAGTTCTTAGTATTTCTTATTTATGTTTTGCCTACGATCAATTTATCACATTTTTATTAGCTCTCCCCCAGCACACAACCATATTGGATATGTGATAGTATTAGGGCATGTATGTGTTACATACCATGGGAACAGACTCAAGGTTAGGTCATCGAGTTTATCGCCTACTTCGGATTTAGTCAGTCCGAGGTCAAAAGTCGGCCTGATCTGTTCTACCAACAAAGTAAGAGCCCCGGGGACGGCATGTGTTGCCTTTAAGACACACTCTCACTTATTCTTCCTTTTCTTCTGTTCCTATTTGCACACTAATCACTCAAGTAAGGTGGTGGACTACTAGATATCCTCCTTCTCACTTTACACATACTACACAACTAACCTAATTGAAGGGCGATAGGGTGCTCAATATTCCGCCATCGGCCCTCTCATACTGCGCATTCCCCTAATAAGTACATTCATTCCCGATATACATAAAAAGAGACATAAAACAAGATATCTATCAATACGTAAAAGTATTTGAAATATTTCTGTAGTTCTCAAGTACAATATACTCCTATTGGTTGATATCCTACACGCTCACTATACGTAGCTAAGGACTGACACTTTCGATACCAGAGCATAGGCCCAAAAGTAAGTATCCGTCTATCAAGAACATGACCTATTCTGAATCATGTGAGGATGATCTCTCTTCTACGATTCAGATCCTCCGATGGCCATTGCTCCACGGTGCTCCTGATATGTAAGAGCTTCTCTGCCGATTGCATTTTAATCATCGACTTTTAGCCTCGTCCTCCATTTCGTTACATGCCAGACCGGGATTTCGGACAACAACCACAGTTTTGCGGAGACGCTTCAATTCAGGATATCTCTCCAACAAAGGTAGGGTCCACGGAGGACCGAAAAGTAGTATTTATTGCGCAAAAATGAATTTAGGTTTTTTATGTTCATAGATTTTACACAAACTCACAGTTAAATTTGTTTGAATATACCAGTTCAAAGTAAACGACGAAAAACAATCACAGATTTAATGATATAATTTATATAAATAAACTGATTTGTTCCAACCCTTAGAAAGTGTCATTATTGCTACCCCGTCATCTAGATAATTTTAATCCAAAAAAAGAATGCTTTTTTTTGTTTGTTTTTTTAATTTTACTATAGCAAATCGTTTGTTTGCTTTTATTGTTTACTGTTTGATAATGCTCTGTGTTTTCGTACGTCGTTGTTCTGATAAAGTTACCATACATCTCAAACCTTAAGTGAAACTGACCATGTAAGTCGATTCTTTCATAAAGCAATAAACTACCGTTTAATTAGTCTGTCATTCATAAATCCATCCTTTCAACAATTTTAATCATTGTATTACAGCTAATTTTACAACTCATATCAACTTTACAACCACAGCTTAACTTCCATATGGTGTTCTATAAATAAATTATAAGCTTCCTGGCTTATTTTCTTTTATTATCATTGTTCCGTTCATTTTGAAAAGAACCCAATGAATCATCTTTTCACGTTGAAAAACCAATAAATCGATTAAGACCCGGGACTTGGTTTAACTTACCAAGTGACAATATGCTCGATTTATCCCATTGAAAAACTACAAAAAAGAACGCGAAAAATTAAACTGCAAAAATGTAGCTAATTTGATGCGTATGTAATACAAATAATTATATATTATTGATAGCTATATAGTATAAATATATTATTTTACTTAATTGGAACAAGATGAGGCAACGACCCGTATGTAATAAAAGCCTCTGGCCCAGTCTGGACAAAATCCTGTTTTTTTTTCTTTGTCATTTTACCCCTGTCAAGGAGGGACATATGGGTTTGCAGAGGAGATTTCTAAATAGAAGGGTGGTCGAAAGGGAGAGGGAAGTGCAGCAAGGGCAGATGACGTTCCCATATTACACGTACGGCATCAACCGCTGAATACATTAAAATGTTTCCTGTGCATAAAATTACCCCTTTTTAAAATAAAACATGCGTGGTATTTATATCGTCGTAAACAAGGCCGATAAACGTTCATCTACAAAAATAACTTGTTGATTTTAAAATAATAAGGGAAAAGGCATTTATTTTCACCCAAGTGAATGATTTTGGCATCATCTGAAGCACGATTGGATAGAAATCTCATTAGATGATGGGATTTTGATCCACCCCTCCCCCCCAAGTTCTGCAGCTCCTACTTGGCGATGAATGAAAGTGATTTGTTGAAATATAAATTTTACTCACCAATTCTGTACTCATGAATACTCTGTATCACCCTATGGTCTTGATGAAAAAACAAATTCAATTTTTACTGCCAAGCTTTTGACCTATTTTACAGTCATCATCAGAGCAAAACAAGGTAAATAATTAAGTTTTTCAGAGACGATTTCAAAGTTTTTGGAAACCGACTCAGTCCCAGCATTGCCAAGGACTGTGAAATCATGCCATTTTATGTCATATTATACAATACAAGTAAATGGCCCTTCAGTCCATTAACAGTTCAACGAATTAATGCCACAGTCCTTGGCAGTGTTGGATTTTCGCTCTTTGGATTACATTCTGCTTTTTACATTATTCAAAAGTTAGCTACGTAAGTTAATAGCAGTTCTGTAAAATAATCCTACCTCATCTTCGTGTCGTATCGAAGTTTATGAAAGCAATTCGTCTCTCTCTAAAGTCTTCACTATGACCTAGTAAGATTTGCAAAGTACAGGTTGGTTATTGACAATCCTGATTGTTATGAAATCCGTGATAATGCCCTAGGATATCAATATGTGGAACTATCCCTAAAATCCAATTGACCCTCCTTTCCATGTTGTTATACACAATGACTTGTCTTGGTGTGATGTAATAAAGAGATTTTTGTGTCGCTTGTATTTGAAGACAATTACACCAAAAGAGAGCCCTGAGAATTATGGATAATTTGATACTAGCTCGTACCAATGGTATATCCTCATCCCTTGAGTATAAACAATATTGCATGGGGGGCCTTTCTTGACGTGCGAGTAAAAATCAAAACGATTTCTTCCAAATACCTAATAAACACCTAAAAAAGTACCTGATCCTTCGTCCTAATAGAATGATTCTTCCGAGTTCACCAAGGATCGGACTACTCCGAATATTGCCTTCTGGGAGCGGGTGTGCCACAGGGCAGTGTGCTCGGACCAATCTTGTACCTCAACTTTACCCCCACATATCCCGACAACACCCTCCACTCTCCTAGCTTCCTTTGCCGACAACACAGCTTGCTATCCTCTGATTCTGATCCCGTAATTGCTTCGGAGGAGTTCCAGGCACATGTGTTGCGAATAGCTGAATGGTCCAAATTCTGGTGCCTTAAGATAAATGGAAACAAATGCAACCAAATTACATTTAATTTCCGAAAAAAATCACACAATATTCCTATCCCAAAAACTGATTGTGTACGCTAACTTGGGTTCTATCTCAACTCTCGTCTAACCTGGAACCGACATATACAAACGAAAAGACAAGAATTAAACAGACGCTTTGAACTACTGTACGAATTATTATCAAGAACATCACATGTATCAACAAAAAATCTAATTTTGTTTAGACACTACTGAAACCGTTTTGGACAAACGGATTAGAACTGTGGGGCACTGCCAAACTTTCCAACATCCAAAGAACACAGTTTTTTCAATCCAAAGTCCTCAGAACCATATCAACACTCCGTACTACGTTTCCAACACTACCGTTCACAATGACCTCCAAGACCCTAATCCCAAAAAAAATTTGCACATTCAAGATTGATGATAAATACGAGTGTATCTCATTTTGTAATGTACATAATTTGTACAAATTGTAATAAATATTTTTTTTTAACTTTGTTTATTGTTTTCAATTAATCAATCTTTAAGTAAGGTATTGGTTGAGATAAAAAAAAGTCATTGACACGAGCGGGATTCGAACCCACGACGCTAAATATGCCGCTGCTCTATCGCTTGAGCTATCGTGACTTCGATCCACTCGAACACTAACTTCCCATCTCAACCCCCACATTTTTTATTTTTCCCTCCTATTATGCCATTTTTATCTCAACCAATACCTTATTTAAAGATTAATTAATTGAAAAGAATTTATTTGGTCAATCGGACCACGAAACCTAATGGATTTGTTTACTGTACGTACAGCGGATACAATAAGAACTGCTGCAGGTAAAATACTACGGTCTTAACTTCAAAACATTAGAAAAAATACTACCCAGACGCAAGACTGTACAAATTTTCACCATATTTTTTAGCACAACTTAACTTCCCATATGATTTTTTGTCTTCTTCTTTTGATGTGATTTTAGACTTACTTTTGACTTTTGAAATTTCTTCCGTCATTTCCAGCATGCGCATTTTTGATTCTACTTTTTGTCACTAAATGTTAGGCAACATATAAAGCCTGGCAAACTACATCACAGAGCAACGAAAACCACCTCATCAGAAACACTGCTGAACCAACTTCCATTGGAAATATCTACACATGAAAAAGATGGAAAAGAAAAGCTCACTTAGGCTCTAAAAACAATGGATGGGGGACTAAACATTTCGGGTCTATAACAATAATTAATAAAATTAGACACCCATTCCAAGAAATGATCCCGGAAACATTCTTTCCAACATCCTATAAAGTCTAAACAGATAAGACAGTAGAAGAAAAAATCAAGAGGAAATCAGATAAAATGATATGGTATACAGATGGCTCCGAAACGAATTATGAAACCGGATCAGGCATTTTTCTGTACAAGCCCAAAATGTGAGCAATCGAACCCATTAGGGAAGTACTCAAGTCTCAAGCTGAAATACATGCTATCAATTCTTGTGCTTTACAAAAGCCTTGTAGGAGGTTACACTGACAAAAATATCCTTGTAAGTTCAGATAGCCAAGCACCTATTAAAGTATTAGCATCATAAAGTAAAACGATCATATTTAAAATAGTCAATGAATGCCTCCAAAATATCCATTAGGCGGAAAACCTGATGATATCTTGGGACAACAAATGAATTTCGGGTAACGAAAAGGCAAATAAACTTGCCAGTGGAGAATCTGCAAGACCATAGGCCCTGAACAAAACAAACACAAAATCCTCCAGCTCAGAATGGCAGAATGCATATAAAAATAGGCAAAAGTAGAAGTGGACGAACTCTAGAGATGCCAGATACAGCAGCTTATAATAAAAGAACCCTCACCAACACTGGCAAACTCACTGCTACAGTTAGAGAGGGCCAAATTCAGAGATGTGATAGGACTCTTACCCGGTAACTGGTATCTGAAAAAACTTCATATGGAGTATATTCCAATGATGTCTAAGTTATATGAAGAGGAGGAGAAAACGATATCACCTATATCATCTTCGAATGAATCCAACCGCTCAATGGAAACATAATCTGAGATACAAACAAAACACAAGGACAGTGATTGTAGCAAGACAGTCAATGGCCTGATGTACTTAATAGAAGAATCGAGACGATTGAATGAACTAAGTAACTAGGAAAAATACAACAAGCTAAAAGGCTGCAGTGCGTAGGGGAACATAAAATCCAACTTCCGTCGTCACCATCATCATCTCCTTTCTCTCAAGCTTAATAAATGGTAGAAATTTGGGACAACAGAACATTCAACAGTCCTACTATATTTTCTATAAAAAAAGGTTCTTCAAAACTCAAATCAAAATAATCAACATTTCGACCATTTTGCCAAGACTTTCTACCAGACCGAAAGAAGACCAAAACTGTCTTCTGAAGTCTAAATATAATAATAAATATAACGTGGTAATAATCATAATTCATGATGTGCTTTCAAAAAACAAATAAACAAATAAAAACAAAAAATAAATATTGGATTAGTAAAGGAGAAATAAGTGAACAGCAGGGTTGGAAAGTTATTTGTTATTCCACGTGCTTTAGAATGAAAACATTTTCAACAGACAAGGGAGGTCGACCAGCCATGCGGCTTACTTGCTTCCTGTTGGGTGTTTCGAACCCATGGACCGAATCAAGTGCTTGTGCTTTTTTTCCCTAATTAAATTTCTTGAGATTTGGTGGTCTGAATGTGATTTAAAAACTATATAAAAAAGATACCTGAAGACCTAACTACGGTTAAAGCTTGTTTTTAGACCATACTTATAACATAAAAATCAAACAATTGGTATATTAAAAATAACAGACAATTCAGTCCAATAGTTTTTAATAAACATTTCTCTTTTTCCAGGGATGAGCGAATTTGGGGGAGAGAAAATCCCAGCTGTTTGGGGCTCACCAGGAAGGAGATAGTTGCAAGTCGTTTTTGAAAAAGATCCTCTGACCAAAACAGGCGACAGGTCAGTTTGCTTTCATTTCATCGCACGGATGGTTTGAAACAGGGCTGGTTCGAGCGAGATATACAGAACACTCTAGAAAACTAAACGTTCTATCGCAATTGTAAACAGTCTTAAAATAGTAAAGGCTAGTCTATTTTCTTTGGACTTTCAATCTCCTTTCTAATTGTCAGATGCGTCAATGAACAGTAATGGATAGAAATACATTATTTGTAGCCTTGTTATAATTTTTCCGTGTTGTTTGGAACATGGGACATTTCTGCCGCTTTTCAGACGACCTCATTATGCCAAAATCAAAAAACTTTGGCTTGACTATTTCTCAACCAACTAAGAATTATAAGGCCTTCATAAATCTCTTATCAGCTGCTGATTGTTGGTGATAGTTGGAAACAACATTTGGTGGAAGTTGATAATTCATTTGCAGGATATTTTTATAGCAAAAAATTCTCAAATGTCGGTTGAATTATTACGTTTAAAAAAATACCCCTTTTATACCCTTTATTGGCTCAAAATTCTGAGTTTCTACCAAAAAAAAAAAAAAAAAATGGCTAGAACAACCGAAACTTCCACAATAGAAAAACATTCACCACTTCGCAGGAGAAATGGCCGACATGGCAATGAAATAATGAAATTAATTACAAATGAACATAAGTTACATATACATGTACATAAATATATAACATTAACGCGTAATATACGCAAGGCTGAACTGGCGGGAAGAAAAGCCTCCAGTAATTTGCTAAGTCAACTAAGCAGGTACTTAAACAATCCAATTATATCAATATTTAAAAGTTTCTGACTGAATGACCAGTGCAAATGGTTTTTACAGACAAGAAATATTTTTTTTGCTGTAGAGATCACTTTGTCTCATTGTACAAACTAACATTGATCACGATTGACACAGTAACACACAAACGACCCAGAACGAACAAAACTATGATGATTTTCATAAGTAAAATATAAGTGAAATATGCTAGCAAATTGTTTGTGCACCGTACTTTTTAGATGATCGTATCACAAAGCTGTATAAACTTTTATTAATGATTTAGTTGTCTGAAGTACCACTGTAAACAATATTGTTAGTATACCAAGCTTAAATAGCAAAAACATTTTTATAAACCTGATACAAAAATGAAATATTGCTAAAAATATAAACTAGGTTCTATTTTGGGGTTACTATTTGATTTTAATTTATCAGAATGTTTATATTGGTGAGCGTTGGCTTTGCCACTCGGACGAGACGCGGGGCACAAAGGTAATTTTGTAAAAAACCTTTTCCCTTAGGAAATTGGATTTGATTTTCATTTACACCCGAGCCGAATCTAGGTTAATGCTTAGTGTAGGGTTGTGGGGAAAAGGAATTACTTAGGGAGTGATGGATGAGACTTGGCCAGCCAGGTCGTGGGTGAACCCTTTCGATCCGCAATCACGATAATCTTTTTCTTCTTCGGGAAAATAAAGGAGGATAATTTTTTTCCGTTTCCCCTTTCCATCGGAACACCGGTAGACGCACGTTGTCCTAGCTGTGTGTGTGTTCGTGTGTAATGATTGGGGCGTTGCCATGGCGCTGGCCGGTTCCCCTGGAGACGGCTCACCTCGGATTTAAAAAAGAATGGGGCACTGCTAACACCAGATTGCCCTTGTGATAAAGGGAATTAAACGGATCGACGGATCGGCCTTCTAAGGTGGATTATAAGATATATATAATTGGATTTCCACTCTACAGACGGCCGTCGTCAAGGAGATATCATGGAAAGAGGTACTACCAGACGGGTATAAAAAAAGAAGAAGAGAGTGAGACACAACCAGACTTACATATAGAAAGATAGATAGAGAGTGAGTAAGAGAGAGAGAGGGGGGGAGAGAGAGAGAGAGAGAGCATGCAGGCATGCAGAGAAAGGTACATATGCACATAATTGAAGGATGTCATTCCTTGGCTCCATGTAGGGAGCGATTATGGATACCACACGTCGAACTGGGTTAATTCTGTATATATAGATGTATTTTTTTTCTTTTTTTAAATGTAGGTAATCTTATACTGTGTATATACCAAGTTTGGTTATAAAAGTTTGAACTGTTTCGTGAGAATATCTTTATGCGTGAATATCTGTGTCGTAGAAGAGCGTCGACAGCAGAATATCAAGTCCCCCATTGAGCCTCAATTGGACTACATATTGTATATATAATTGTTTATACTTGTAAAGGGTGATGGAGGAATATCCCGTAATCCATCACCCTACTTGAGTGAAAGGAATTATTTAAGAATGAGCGAAAGATAGATAGATAGAGATAAATATATAGCTAGACAGATAGATAGATAGATAGAAAGAGATAGATAGATAGATAGATCGATTGAGAGAGAGAGAGAGAGAGAGAGAGAGAGAGAGAGAGAGAGAGAGAGTGGAAGGGGGAGGAAGGGGGCGGGAGGGAGAGAGGGAGAGAGAGAGAGAGAGAGAGAGAGAGATACAGATACAGATACAGATACAGTCAGACAGAAAGACAGACCAACAGATAGACAGAAAATCACGCACGTATAAAGAAGGTGAAAAATAGAAAATGACAGACTGACAGGTAGGATCATTACACGAGGTATTTTAGTTTCGACCTAAATTATGTTAGTTGAGTAACAATATCAAGGAAAGACAATATTTTGAGAAAGAGCTCAAAAGCAAACGGATAATGGCTCAAAAGTTGTTCGAAATTTCGCCTTCCGCTTTGTAGTTTGTACCCTGTGATGCTTCTCTTGATCCCATTCTTTTCCCAACCCCCACCGAGTGGTGTTTGAAGATTCTTGATTTTTTCTCCCCCCTATTCACCCCGACCATTTTTCATAAAAAGCTTTGTGTTCCTTATTTTCCCTGTACCAAAAAAGCCAGGGCAAGAACCGACGGCATTACCGTAGCCATAATACATCCGTGGGAAAATTTAAGGCAAATTTATTTTATTCAATTTTGTATATTTGTTTAAATCAAACTAGACGATAATAAAATTAAGTTGAATCCGTACAATTAGAAAATTGCGTGTTTCAACAATTTTATAGCTTGTGAGGTTTCTAACTGAAGGGGTGAGGTCGTTTCCGATCATCCTGGACCGCATAATCTTTCAATCGCGTTATTTTCAATAGTGATGTCTCGCTGTACAGTCTAACAATAACAAAAGACCCAATCTAGAAAATATTGGGTTGTCCGGAAAATAATGCAGGATTTTAAGTTTTCATTAAAAAAAATCTATATAAAATATTCTGTTTACGTTTACAGGATTACTCATTTGTATGAATGTCAACACTTATTAATCCTCTTCCAAATGATATTGTTTGTTTACCTCTGTAGCATTCCGCTACTTGGAAATAATTCAGTCATCCTTATAATGTCAAAGCGAGAATTTCGTACGATTTTCTTTTACGAGTTTAAACTCGGCCGAAGCGGAGCCCAAACGGCCAGAAACATTAACCAAGTCTGGGGCGAGGGTTGTGTTAATGAGTGCACTGTGCAAAGGTGGTTTAAAAAATTTCGGGAGGGAGATTTCAGCCTTGAAGATGAAGAAGGTCGTGGAAGGCCTTCCTCTCTTAATGATGATGTTCTGCGATCAGTGGTGGAAGAAAACCCCAAAACAACTGTTCGAGAACTTGCAGAGCAACTCAAAGTCAGTAAAACGACCGTCGCTGACCACCTCAAGGCGATTGGAAAAGTGAAAAAACTCGAAAATTGGGTTCCACACTCATTAAACGATCGCCAAAAAAATCAGCGCTTTGATGTTTGTGCATCACTTCTTTGTCGAAACAAAAATGACCCATTTCTGGCCAGAATTGTTACATGTGACGAAAAGTGGATTCTGGACAGTGGCTCGACAAAGGAGAAGCTCCAATACATTTTCCAAAGCCCCCAACTCATCAAAAAAAGGTAATGGTTACGGTATGGTGGGCTTCATTTGGTTTAATACACTACAGCTTCTTAAATCCTGGCGAAACCATCAATGCTGAATCATACTGTAACCAAATTAATACCATGCATCAGAAATTGGCAGTAATGAAGCCCTCTTTGGTCAATCGGAAAGGGCCCATTTTGTTGCATGACAACGCTCGACCACATGTGTCACGTGTAACGTCACAAAAATTATTGGAGCTTGGCTATGAAACTTTGCCTCACCCACCCTACTCTCCGGACCTCTCGCCTACTGACTACCATTTTTTTAGACACCTGGACCACTACTTACAACACATAATATTCAAAAATCAAACGGAACTGGAAAATGCATTTATTGACTTTATCAATTCTAAAAATTCTGAATTCTACTCAGACGGAATTAATAAGTTACCAACACGTTGGGAGAAATGTATTGAGAGTATGGGAAATTATTTTGATTAAAGAACATTGCTTTAAAGTAACTAGTTTCTTTTTTTTTGTTTAATACCAAAATCCTGCATTATTTTCCGGACAACCCAATATCTCACCACTGAAGATGGTAGATTGGAAACGACCAAGCTACACTGAACCTATTAGGGCCGGTTGCACCATCTTCGTTTAACCTCGGTTCAGTACTGAAAACGCAGAAATACTTACTTGTTTACTCAGACAAACCTCAAACCCATCTGTCTGGGACATATCAATCAGTTTATAATATGAGTTTTTTCTTTTTTTTTTACTTTACCATGAAAAATTGTTGAGCCTATTACATAATTTTGACTTAACTCTTATTTCCACCTATTGTCGTTCTGCACCGGCATTGGGTCACTTATTGGGTCCGTCTTGACTCGCGGGTTTATTGAATTCCTCAAACGCGTTTCGGCAATGCGCCTTCTTCAGTGAGGAAGTTATTCAGATATCGTGAGATGCGGTCGGGTGTGATGTAGGTTTCAGAAAAACATTTTCTTTATCGTGCCAACGTTTCGATCTTTTATTGAGATCATCTTCAGGGCCTGGGATTTACAAACAATGTTTACATTTAACAAATACATTTAGGATGTGGATAAGTGAATTTATACAATGCAAAATATATTTTATATTCAAACAAAGTATTTCTACTCACTCAAAGTGTTAAGAAATACTTTGTTTGAATATAAAATATATTTTGCATTGTATAAATTCACTTTTCCACATCCTAAATGTATATGTTAAATGTAAACATTGTTTGTAAATCCCAGGCCCTGAAGATGATCTCAATAAAAGATCGAAACGTTGGCTCGATGAAGAAAATGTTTTTCTGAAACCTACATCACACCCGACCGCATCTCACGGAAGTGAGGAAGTTCAATACAAGCCTACATGGATATTTCAACAATCCCGCGAGTGAAAACGGACCCAATGCCGGTTCAGCATGAGGTTACCGACTCGCAGACCAACATCCAGCATCAAGCATTGTAGTCAAAATTGTATAACGATTTTTTTTTCTTTTTTAAATGGCATTTTCCATTCGGTCAACAGTCTATCTAGGGTTTCGCACCAATAAATCACCAACTGGAATGGATCTTTATTCATGACGAATTCGTCTGACATTCACGATTACAATTTATCCCCGGGGGTGAATGTGCATTGAGCCCAAATTGAATAAAAAGGAGGGTCCCCGAACGCCGACGAACCACATGTCATCGTGACCGTTGGTTTTATGTACAAATCAGGCATTGTTCCCATTTAAAAGTTTTTAGATTACCATTTGTCCTATGTAGCCCATTTTGTACAATTTTTCACAAAATAGAACAAGTACCAGTACCAGTTTCCCCGAATAGAAACCCAGGAAAAATACCCTAAACTCATGCCTCCCTAGATTTTTGTAAGCCTTGAGAGGCTTACAGCCACTATTTTTTTTTCTTTGTTTTTTACATTTAAACTTCAACAAATTAGTTTTGTGTATAGAAAATTCATTTAAATAATACTAAAATGATAAAGCTTTTCCCATCAACTTTACATATAATAAAACTATTAATATAATAAAAAATATTATAATTAAATATAATAAAATGACCTTTAATTACAAAAACATATCAAACAACTATTTATTCCAGTTGTTTTGTGAATTAAAAATAATGCTTATTCAATGTACATGTTTTAGAATGGAGAACGGTACTGAAGATAAACCGAAAGGAGATTTTGTATCTGATGAAAAGAGGCAGATTGCAGAGGAAGAGAAAGAAAAAATGATAAGAGGGACAGAAGAAAAAGGAGTCAAATTGAGCGAAGTTGAGAAGAAGAGGAAAGCCCTTGAAGAAGCAGCTATGGGCGATGTCGACAAACGTCGAATTCCAATTGGCGGAATCAAAATACCTGGATTTCTCAAAACTACCAGATCTCGAGAGAAAACAAAGGTATTATTATTATTATTATTGTTGTTAGAAATTTTCTATGTAATTTTTATAACTCAGGAAGGTGATGATAACGAAGAAGGAGCAGATCTTCTAGAGCAGCCTTGTACAGAAGTCAGAGTCAACGAAGAAAAAGAAAAAGAGGCCAAATCTGAAAATACGAGCAGGCTACCTTTATTTGACAAATTTGCCAATCTCAAATCTTCATTCATGAAAAAGAAATCGGTATGCTGATTATTAGAAAAACCATAGCATTAAAAAGTGAAAAATGAATATATTTTTTTTAATATCAGGTACAACAAGATCCAACAGATAACTCTACCAAGGAAACGGAGGAATCAAATGGCCTTAGGAGACCAAATTTAATAAATGCCATTAGATTACCATTAGCAAATCTAGTGCCGAAAAAAAAAACCAAGGTAATTTTAATAATTTGTGTATATAAGTCTAAGCAAGGCTGAACGTTTGAATCATTGCTATCTTAAATTTTCCTGTAAATTGATCTCATTTTGAACTATAAATTATTAGAGACATAGAACAAGTGGAATTTTTTCATATTATTATTTTTTATTGTGCTTTCTTAACTTTACTCAACTGGCATTTGTAAAACCTTGTAAAATTATTCTACCTATATCTCATCAAAAATAAATTAAAATTTAAGCATTTCCAAATAATTTTCGCCAGAAATTGTGAAATGCTGGCCAAACCAGCAAGAAGAAGCAGACCAAAATTGATCGGAAATGATTGCAGGATCATTTGAAGAATTGAAAAAAAATCTTATAACAAATCATGAGTAATTATTTATTACAATTTAATAAATTAATGTAAAGTCCCTTGATTATTCTTTAGACCGCCTTAATAATAATTTTACTTACTCTTTTTTTAATTATTTGTTTTATTAAGTCCTGCATCAATGTATTTATGATTGTACACTTTCTATTCATTTATGTTCATTTTTTTCAATGCATTAACAAAAACTAGTCAAATTATACGTCACACCAAAAATAAATATGTCAGAAATGGTTAATTATCACCTGCCTAATTAATTAAATGAATCATAATAATACTCTAATTGATTTTAATATTTTTTATTATTGATTAAATAATTGCTTTTAACTAGTTGCTATTAAGTTGTGTTGGTTTTTAGAGAAGCAGAATGTAATATCTATGACTTTTATCTCTCAAATCAATCAAGTAGCAGTAAAAAAGGAAAAAAATTAAAAGCAAACTTTACATTTTCCTTACCACAAAACATCAAGAAGTATACAAATAAATACAAAACGTACTAAAACTATAATGAATACATGTTAAAGTACAATGTATTATAATTATAATGTAATAATAATTATGATAATAAGTTACATTAATAGAATTTCACTTTTTATGAGTTGAAATGATAGAATAATATTAGCAGAAAGTGGGAGTTTATCGGGGTTTTATAATTAAATTTGATAAATGATAGTGAAATGAAGCTTGATAATCACCAGGAAGTGTGTCATAGGAGGAAACAAGAGAAACAAACGCAAAAACACATTTACAACAGGATAAACAACGATTGACAATTGGCTAGTCATCATCACAAAGCATTAAAAAGTGACATAATCAAGTTCAATCAACTGCTTATATTAAATTAACCTTTTATTTGTACATTTCATTACTTCTCAAATGTTCTCTTCAGCTATTTATAACTAACGAAAAAAAAACTAGGGCCGACAAACAACATTGATCATTGCTATCCCTCAATTCTTTTATTGTTTTTCTTTCACTTTAATCCTTCTAAATTCTCTCTAGCCTCTCTATATCTCAGGGCCTCGTCAATTACGGGCAAAAACACAACAACACACAAACAAAATATAATAAATAAAACATAATAGTCTGGTTGGCGTTCACTCTACCCCAGAATACTCAATATTCCTCAGGGTAATTGGGGACAAACTCCTTCATTCGTGCTAATAAAGTTACATTCACATACACCACACTTCATTCACACTACCTCAGACTACAAAAAAACTACTTTGATATTCCTTGGGATAAGCCATATTACTTTTAAATAAATAAAATATAAATATCCCCTACTGACTGATAAGGATTCAACAAAACAAAGAAGAAAGAAATGAATGCTAAAAATTTCGCCATCTTGAATTTGTTGTATAAACAGCATAAAACTTTGTATTTTCATTGTCATGAAGCATCAAGTTTCTAAATGTGTTTTGGTTCATTTTGAGAAATGTAGTCAATTCATATTATGTACAAAGTTATTTTGACAATTTGTGTTTTGTTTTGCTTTTTAAATTCTAGGATGAAGAAGAAATAGGAACGCAAGCCGGTTTGGCATCTATGGAAACACTTGATGATGATTCAAAACACGATGATGGGATGGAAAATATAATATTGGAATCTGTTGATGTGAGTTTTGTTGCATAATCTAGCCCCCCCCAAAAAAATAGTGGGGGTAGTTTTACTATTATTTAGATAATTATTTTTTGATAAGATTTAAAATTGATAATGTTGAAACTAGGGCCTAAATAATATTTTTATTTCATTGTGTGACAGATCGATCCTGAAAAAGCTGGTTTAGAAGATGAACAGGAAGAGTGGAAACTAACCGACTGGGAGAAGCACTGGGAGATGGTTAAACAACACAAAGTTGCTGCCAGTAAGTCAATCAGAAGGTTGATTTTTTAAAAATATTAATTGATACAATGTTTTAAGGTGGCATCCTCATATTTATGGTGTTATTCCTGGTGTTGATTATCACGGTATTGGCTGGACCCAGAGTTAATACACACGCACCAATCATCGAAGGAAAATATATAAAAGCAATTACAACTTGTGGTTTTGTTGAAGGGTAATGTCAAAAACATAATGCAACAAATTTCGAAAAAATCAATCAATTTGTTTCTGTATCAGGCTGATAGAAGATAATGCTTTTGTGTTTCGTGGTATACCGTACGCAAATCCGCCAACTGGCCCTCGGCGGTTCAGGCCACCTGAACCACAAACTCTGGAAGAATGTTGGGATGGAGTTTTCAAGGCTCATAATCAGACTTCTTCATGTTGGCAGGTTAATTGGCTTTAATGTTAACTAAATAATTAAGTTTATTTACAACATTTTTTTTACAGATATACGGTAACAGTTCTTTGAATGGAGATGAGGATTGTTTAACCTTGGAAGTGTACACACCACAAGTCCAGTATGAAAACCCCCTTCCAGTAAGTTTTTTTTTTTGTACAGAAATATTTGTTTAAATTTGGTTTATGTATCCAATCACACCATCCATACCGACCTAAATGTCCCACCATCACCGGATGGTAACTGTTTATATGTAAATTTTATCTGTTTTACTTGTTGCGTCGAATGCAGTTGTTAATAAAAAGTTTTAAAAAAAATTGGTTTAAAACAAATCAAAAATACTTTCCAGGTTATTGTTGTCATTGGAAGTGATTCTTTGTTAGGAGGATGGCCAGGTGGTATGCACCCAAGTACCAAGCTTTCTCATGCAAAAGAAGTAGTCATAGTGAGGCCTAACTTCCGTTTGGGTACTCTAGGTTTTCTTGCAGCAAAAGCCTTATCTGACAATAGGTACCCAAGAACATCAGGTATATATCTTTTTTTTTATTATTTGTTAGAATCTGTGTTGATATGTGTGTCGGAAAATACACACAAATAAGTGCAATTTTTTTGTATCAAAACTATGGTTTTATAATGTTACATAACTTGTTTTCTATGTTAAAGGTAATTATGGGTTGGCAGACGTTATCAGAGCCCTTGAATGGACCAATATTAATATCAGGAATTTTGGAGGAGACAAAAATCATATAACAGTTGTTGGACATAGGGCTGGTGCTACATTGGTCACCGCATTGACGTCAATTCTAAAGCCAGAGGTAAAAACTAATATTTATAATTTATCTTCTTGTAAATTACTGATTATATTGATTCAATTGCATAGAAACTCTTCCAACGAGTATGGATATCCTCTGGGACGACCGTGTTCCCCAACATGACCCTAAGAGAAGCAGAAAAACAATCTGAAGAATATATTAACGGCTTAGACTGCAACATAAATACAACATCTGGAGGCATTGCCGAATGCTTAACAAAAATGGTAAATTCCAATGTACATAAACCATTTCAACTGATCCTTAAATAAATATGTTTTTCAAAAGGAAATTGAAGACCTGCTCGATGCCATTCCTGATTCTTGGAGAAGGCAGAAAGAAGGTGTACTACCTGTCAGTGAGGTCAAAGGACATCAATGGCTCGTAGAAGATGGAATTCATATAAGACAACATCCGTTTGATGCTTGGAGTAAAAAAAATCTTACAGTCCAAGTTGTAATTGGTAAGAAAATCATCAATCATCAATACACAACTTACATCTCATATCATAATTCTTAGTATTACATATAGGGAAAAATAGTATGTTGTAAAATAATATTGGTATTTATAATATAAACGATCATTTTCAGGTACTACTCTCCACTCAGAAACCTCATTTAACTGGTGGCAGGAGCATAAAACATGGACTGAGGAAAGAATAATTCAAGAAGTTAACAGCAGTCAGATTGGCGCTGAAAATCTTTTAGATAGAGTCAAAGGGCTTTACAATTTGACAGTTGAAGGATACGCATCTCTTGTAACCGACATCTCAACCCTATGTCCACTCCTCAACATGCACAAGCAGATTCCTTACTCCAAATTTTACCTTGTGACCCAAGTAATTTCAAACAATAAATGTTAAAAATAGTTAATGTTAATGTGCGTTAATCACACCTGAATTTTATTTTAGCCCAGCGATGAATCCGGATTGAGTTATGGAGGAACTGATATTGATGCTGTGATCGGACCATATCAATATCAATTGGATCCACCGGCTAGAAGGTATCTTTCTTCAATGAGGAAAGTCTTCTTTAGGTACGTCTCACTTGGAATCCCTCCGGACCACAAATATACCAAAATCGATCAAGATGTGTCAAGACTTGACATACAAGATTTAGAGACAAAGTGCACTTTCTGGAAAGAGGCCGGTTTTGATAAGTTTGCTCGAGTTGATTAAAGTAGAAATAACTTTTAAACTTATATTAGTGTGAAAAGGCTGACATCGCTGTGTTAAGAATTTTTTTTTTCGTAAAAAGGAAGAAAATAAAATATTTATTTACAATTTGAGAATTAAAAAATAAAAGGATCCATCACCTTGAACTATTTTTCTAAGGAGGTTCATAAGTTGATCCTTTTTAATTTTTATTCTTAATTGTATTTTGAAACGCTTTGCATTTGTACAACGTATGTGTTAAGTAAAAAAAAATTCTACCTGTACCAGTAAACTACTCATAAAAATTAATTAAATACTGTTAAAATGTGGTGCATTTTTATATGTGTGTATAGTCTTCAATTTTTTAATAATTCCTGTGCCACCAGTGTTTTCAGAATTACCTAAGCATAATTTGTTTGATTTAGAAAATAAGACTCATCCTCAAACAACATTCTTTGAAATTGTGATAATGATAAAACAAAATGCATCCACTAAAACAAAAACAAAACAGTCTATCCATTTTTTACATTTTTCATACTTTTTTCAAACACACGAAAAGACCAAAGGAACCCGTAGTTTAGTTTTGATAAATGATTTGTATGTACAAAAAAAAATATTTTTTAAAGATTTTTGTAAAGTTTACATTTTGAAGATAAATTGGTAAAATTTATCTTGACATTTTAAAAATAAGTATTTTTGTACCAATTGTTTGGAAACGGACGATTAATTCAATTCTCTGCCACCATCCCATTCGATGGGTTGAACAAATGTGTACTAATTTGTAATTTATAAGTCTTCACTTATTATAAAGTTAAAGTATATTAATTTTTAGCGTATAATCTATAAAGATTATATTTAATGTGTTAGTTGCCTAACTCGTATGCTTCCATCTTTGAACTCTTCCTTAAATACTGTAAATTAATTGTATATTCAAAACTTGCCATAAATTGTATTGCTCGGTTTATTTGATAAGTTATTTTTATCTATACTGATAAAATTGATCTGATGTAAAATGTTTTGTTTATTTTTAATTTGGAGTCAATTTGTATATTGCTGTATGATTTCCTTAGAAGTTAAGAGTGATTTTTTTTTTTACTTATGTTTTACTGTTTAAATAAAATTAAAACCAAATAAAATCATGGTGTTTTTCCTTCTTAATATTTAAAAATGAGCCTATCTTTTTAACTTTTAGCAGTCCACCAACAATTCGAGCATTCGTAATTGATAATAATTTACCAGCAGGACTTGAGAATCACCACCCCAGGTGTTTGCAGTCCAGGGTTAGATAATCAAGGGATCACTTCAATCAATCAATATTTGGAAGGGTAGACCTCACGAATTGAACGGAAAAAGCGAGTAGCCACTTTTCAGTCAGGAGAAGGGGAGGGATCTTTTCCTGATAAGATTTAAAGCAGGAGGAACTGGACGTAACCTAACTGCTATGGTCTTATTCGTCCAGCCGCCAAGATTGGGCTGGACCTATCATCAGCTAGGTCATGTCAGCCGCCAACACAATCAGTCTCCAAAACCCATTCACACTCTCAATCACTCTTAAATACATTCATTCCTATTTACATACCATTCACTCAGATAGTACTCAAAACTACTCCATCATTCTTTTCACTTACTATATAACTCTATGTGAGGGTCGATGGGGTACTAAATATTCCACCATCGTACCTCTCCCACTACGCATTCACACTAAGAAATACATTCAGTTTCAATATACACAAAATTATATATGTTTAAAGTACTATATACAGTAAAAGAGTCCTGTTTCCTCTAAAAATTGGAACCAGAGAACTAATACTCGCTGCCGTGCTGAGGTATCATTGCATATTGGGTGGCATTCCTATGTGCTCTCTATATAGTGCCAAATGCAAAATTAATTGAACACATTGAGAATAATAAAATTGTTGAAACAAAGTTAATTGTTAAAAAAGTGTATTGGTTAACAAAAAAGTAAATGTAAATTTAAAAAGAAAGCTTGGTTCTATAATACTAAAGGCACAGTGTAAAATTTAGTGCAATTTTTTTAATTCTTTAATTATGTACTATTATATTGATAAAAATTATACAAAAATAGTCCATTAAAATCTTTTTAAAAAAATTTTTATTAGCAATAAGTTAACTTTCTTTATATTCAAAGAAAAATATTGTCAATCTTTTTTTAATTTTGAACATACTGAAATAAAAATTGTTCAGTGTATTAAGTTTTGATAAAATTGTTACTGTAGTTACAAAACAAATGTGGTAGTTTTTTAACAATGTTTAGTGTAGTGAAAAATCAAATATTTAATACTCAAAACAGTAAGTTCTGACATTACATAATTCATGTGACTGGATATAACAATACAATTTCAATCCTAGTCAGTAGGCTTGGCACATTCAATAAGAGATATTCCCATTTGAGATATAACTTTTTTAATGTACCACCAAAGAATCTTGCTAAGAAACTGCTTGGTAAAGTGTTGGTTAGAGAAGAGGACGATGGTGGTGTGTTGAAGGGCGTAATTGTTGAAACAGAAGCGTACTTGGGCCCCCATGATTTAGCAGCTCATTCTTCAAAAGGGAGAGTTAAGAAAGCCTACCACACATTTCTACCACCGGGTATCTGCGGTTTCACTCCTGTCTACGGAATTCATATTGTTTTCAGTATATCTTGTCTAGGTTTGTTCAATAATTGAATTTTTTGTTCTCCTATTTATTTGTCAAATATCCAGGTGATGGTACTTGTGTGTTGATAAGAGCGCTTATGCCAATTGCTGGAATTGAAAAAATGATTAGAAATTGCTTGAACAGTGGCAAGAAACTTAAGAATATCAAGGAATGCAGGATATGTTCAGGTCCGGCTAAACTTTGCAAAGCTTTTAATCTTACGACAGACCTAAACAAAACTGATATAAGCAAAGGTTCCGACAAACTGTATTTTGAAGATATAGCTTATTATGCAGAATCGTTTGACATTGTTGAATGTCCACGTATAGGTTTGTCCCATGATAAAGTCGGAGAATGGTATGGAAAGTACTTGAGGTAAAGATAATAATCTACAATAATAATTTAATACAGTAGGCAGTATTTAAAATTAAGATTAAGATTAGAAAAGGAGTTGGCCTGACTAAAATCTGTGCACCGTGACCAGTCTATTGTGGTCTATTGTGCATCATCATTTTTGTCTAGAGATCCTCATTAAGCTTAAAGCTTTTTATAAGATCCAAAGCTTTTTCAAGAACTCTCATGTGTATCATTCAGGCCAGGCTTTTCCTCTCCCAGGAGTAGGAATCTCAGCCTACATAAGCCTACACAGTACCAGAAGTCAGGTTCCGCTGTCTCTTCTTTATCCTAACAATATCTGTTCTGGCTTGTTTTTGCCAATCTGAGTCAATACAATGCCTCTGAAGCCTGTCGTGTCCAGTTGTCCAACTATTATTCTAGAGCTAACATCTCCTAGATTTAGTAGTGCTGTTGTTAGTTTCTGCAATGGTCCTTTGATGAACTTTTTCGCATGCCTCTGTCTTGGGCTACATTTCCATTGAATGGAGGATTTGTCTGATGGATCCACGCTTTTGAAGTCTGCCAGATTACTGATACATTTGAACCATGAACAACATACAACCAGAATTTTTTTAACTGAAATTTTACATACACAATGAACTTTAGTTAAAATAAATTAATTAATGTAAAAAATTATTAAATTGTACTAACACTTTATTTCATGCCTAGTATTTTTGTTAGTTCTAATTATAACAAGGTACCTAAACTATAGCTAATATTTTTTCTTCTTCAAAACATTGTGAATCTATAATCTTTTTTAATATATAATTAACCTAGTAAATAAACCACAAATTGATTGATACCATAATGGACTCATTTAATCAACATTCAATCATGTAATGTTTAAATTAAATTAAATCAACTAACAAAAATTATTGGTTGAATTCGAACAAATCAAAATTGCAAATTGAAAATGTTGCTATTGTAATTAAATTTAACATTACCACTAACAGGTTTTACATCTTGGGCCACCCTTCCGTTAGTAAGAAGTGTAAAAAGTGTGAAAAGGTAAATAAATGCAATTAATGACAATTTAACATACACAAAATTATTTTATTATATTTTTTAGGCTCTTAATTTGAAATATAAGCAATGGATTCTGGGCAACTCTTATGATTAGCAATAACAAAGAAGCAGTGTACTTCAATGTGTCTTTTAAACTAAATAACGCGATGGATGATTGTTATCGAAGCCAAATATCTGTTTAAAATTGGATGAATAATAACAAATGGTTAAATTGCTGGCAAACTAAGTAATAAATACATAATAATCTGAAACAAATTATAATTGATATCTTAAAAAATCAAGTGTTTGGAAAATAAATCCTTTATATTTTTTAAAACAACTCTTCAAATTTACATTCCTTTGTCAATTTTCAAAAATCTAATACAATGTGAATAATTGTGCAAACAAAATGGTATATAGATAATAAAAATAGTAAAATAAAGGTATAGAAGGAAATGAACAAGACACCTAGTAAAAGAAGGGGCAGCCAATGTATCTGTCGGTCATGAAACAGCAAAGAAAAGCAAAAAACTATGATAATAAATAATAAAACTGATAAATAAAATGGAACTTGATATCCAAACAAATATAATTTAAAAGATTAAAAAAAGGGGTTCATTTACATATATATTTATTATCTACAGATAAAAACCCATTTACAAATATATAAAATCTCAAGCAACAAAATAAAAAAAGTGAAGTAATTTCTGTTATATAGGAGGTCTTTACGTACAACTATCTGTTGGATGTCGCAGACAAGGTTTCACATTTTTATGTACTAAAATTAAATTAAACTGGGCTTTGCCAGGATTCAAACCCAGAACCACTTGCATGACAAATATAAGTTATACATTCAACAACTCAATAAATAATTTTGAAAAACAATATCATTTTTATCAATTTTCAAATATAGAATAAAACTAAATAGATACAATTAAAAAATAAGACAAAAATTCATCAATACAAAATTATATAAGCATATGTTATGATACAAGTACTTATGCGTGTCTTAGCAAAAAGTGGTTGTTGTCTGGGTACCTGGACACGTAGGTCTGGAGCATAATAAAAAGGTGGACCCGGCGGCTTCGGCTGGGACGACCTAACCTCTGGATTTAACCACCGCATTCCAGTCTTCTAATGCTAAAAATGCAAAAAAGAAATTGGCAGCATCCGAAGCTCTCACATGTCAAGAGCACTGTGGCCCCTTGGATGATCTGACTTGCAGAAGAAGTGTCATCCTCACCCGAATAAGAATACGCTATGAAAGACATACAGACACTTACTTTTGGACCAAAGGCCACACATGTGTTCGGCATTTGGAGAAAAGTTGCTCAGTATGTCCCACCTAGTTTAAAAGTAAATTCCTTGGCTCCATATTGAGAGTGTGCAGGAGTGTGATAATGTGATAATGTGCTTGAGCTCAGTAATGGGTAGTTAAAGAAAATAGGATTATTTTACTGTATATAGTACTGATAGTTTTGTGTCAGTTGCACGTTTACAGAGTGAATGTATTTATTGGTGTGAATGTGAAATATTGAATGAATATTGAGGTGTGAATATTGAATATTCCATCGACCTCAATAAGGTTGTGTGGTGCGAGAGAGAGAGAGAGAGAGAGAGAGAGAGAGAGTGAGAGAGAGTGAATGGATTTAGGAACTTGAAGGAGAATTTAGATATTCTTGTGTTTCTTTGTGTATATTAAGACTGCATGGCTGCCACTCCAGGTCTAAACATATGCCACCAGAGTCTGCAGTATCCAGTTAGCAGTCTAATTTGTACATAAATCAGTAATCAGTACTCAATCAGAAGAAGGTAAGGTTGCTTAAACTAGCAAATTAAATTTCTATTAAACTGAATAATGGTTTTGGAAACAAAATGTTACTTGATCATAAACTAATGACCAGATAAATGGGTAACTTCTGTCTTGTATAGTATTGTAAGAACCTAATTATATATGATGTTGTAATATGGATTTAGGACTTGAAGGAGAAATTAGATAAATCTTCTTGTCTTTGTTTGTATATATTAGGACTGCATGTCTGCCTCTCCGAGTCTTACATATACCACCATATGGATACTGCAGTATCCAGTTAGTAGTCTAATTAGTATATTAATCAATAATCAGTACTAAATTAGAAGAAGGTTAGGTTGTTTAAACCAAAAAATTAAATTACTATTAAATTGAATGATGGTTTTGGAGACAAAATGTTACTGATCATAAACTAATGACCAGATAAATAGATTACTTCTGTCTTGTATAGTATTATAAGAACCTAATTATATGTGATGTTATAATATGGAGATTTGGAAGTAGCGATAGCAAAAATGATGGATCAGGGTGAAATTAAATAAATGAGTTTGTAATATCTTAAAGCTTTTTTTTCTCGGATGCTGCGTGGATTCTGGGTTGTGTAGGCGCGGTAAAAAAATAAGAAGAAGAAGAAGGTGACCACCCGTGTACTACAGAAACTGTCAAACTATTTTAAGGTTTTTTTTTAATAAAGTAGGGAACATTTTAAAATATTATTTTATTGTGTTATGTTTGAAGTATGGACAGTTGATTTTTTCCTCAAGTAATAAAGACGAGAAAAACTTATTTAAGTTATTATTAGCATCAAAAATAAAAAAATACACAAACGGTTATTAGAAGTATAAAAAATGGTTTCTTTATTTGTAGTGATTTGAATATAGAAATTATGGAAATGTGATGTATGTAATATATGTAAAAGAGTTAAATGAGATGGCATTGTGCAGCTTGGAAGTTGATAAGTAAACAGTTGATTCTGTTGTACGGTGTCTAAGGGGGGCTCAATCAAAGAAATCGCCTTTTATGGTATTTTGAAAATATTTTTTCCAACCAGCGTTGAGAGATTTTATTTGTTTTTATTTATAGTTTTCCCAGTCTGGGAATCTCGCGACTCCCTCGAGAACGGGCCGATATCGGTATCCGACGTTATGTTCCCCCCGATTAAATGTTCTCCGTGCCTTCCGATAAACACAAACAATTAGATCTCTTTTTCTTTTCTTTTTCCATTTTTTTAAATTCTTTACACCGATTCTGCGAAAATACGAGGCCAGAAGTTCGACCGACATCACGGTTCATCTATGTGACAGGCTGCATTTGAAGAAGAACGAGAAAAAAAAACTTTCTCAATGGGAGTTTGATCGATTTTTCAATTTCTCCCCTATAAGTCTTTTATTGTAAACCCCCAACGAAAATGTCCGGTAAGATTTGTACATTATAAAATGTGTTCCCAATCATCTATCTATTTTTATATTTATTACATTCTATGTGTTATTTCAGGGCGTAAAAAGAAGCCAGGATTAAAAATTTCTGTACCTGAAGAAGCCCCTATCATGTAAGACAATCATCCATTGTATTTGAATTTTGAATTATCTTTCTTTTCACTACTCGCTGCCAAACATTCTTAAAACTCCTCATATACTTACTTGGAATCCGCTCTCAAGGTTAAACGGAACACAAGTCGCAAGGTTTCATAGAATAAACGGATGGCTCAGGAATCCATGTACTGCCCCGTTGTTATAGATCCTTGGCTCATAACAAACAAGTCATAAAAGCACTTAAAATCATCTGTAGTTTGGTCATTTATGAATTTTTTAGATTTCCAGATACTTTCTGGCTTCTCGCCATCTTCAGTATTTGATTCTTGTTTATTTTGATGCCTTTTATAAGTTGAGAAAGTTGGAAAAAGTGTATCAGCATTATCTTTGTCTTTTATTGTTTTTCGCAAGCTATTTTGATCTATCAGATGTGATTCAGCTTCTCACCATCATCAAGTGTTAAATGTTTCATTTACTAGGTCTATAATCCTTCTGAAAACACACACACACTTTTTCCAGCCTTCAAGAATTTATAAAAAGGACTCAACTGAACAAGAATCACATAATCCCAGTGATTTCAAACCTCATCCTACAACTAGATCTTAAATTGTTCCGTAAGTACAAAGGACTTAATTGTAATCTGCTCACAAGGTTAAAACTGGACCGTCTTTAAATTGTAAGATTGAGGGATGATGAGCATGTAGTTTTATCAGAATAAACAGGTGGTTCAAGAATGTCTAATGTACTGCTCAGTTGTTATAGATCCTTGGCAGATAACAAACAAATCATAAAAGCACTTAAATTTAAATGTAGTTGGGTCATTTTCGAATTTTTTAGTTTGTCATATACTTTCTTGCTTCTTTTTTTCATTTGTTTTCATTTTTGTCTCTTATTTTCTTCGGCATGCTATTTTGATATGTCAGATCTGTTTGAGCTTCTCACCATCCTCATTGTTGGGTCTTTCAATAACTAGACCAATAATCTTTCAAAGACACTTAGACACACTTTCCACTTTTCAACAACTTAAGGACTCAACTGAACAAGAATCACATAGACCCCAGCGACTTATTGCAAACGTCATCCTAGACCTTAAATTGTTCTGTAATTATAAAGGACTTACTTGGAATCCCGCTCATCAGATTAAACAGATGGCACAAGAATGTCTAATGTACTGCCCATATCCTTGGCTGATAACCAACAAGTCATAAAAGCACTTAAAATCATGTGTATTTTGGTCATTTATGAACTGTTTAGTCTGTCAGATACTTTCTGGCTTCTCACCGTCTTCGTTATTTGATTCTTGTTTATTTTGATGCCTTTTATAAGTTGGAAGGAGTTTATCGGCATTATCTTTGTCTTTTATTGTCTTTGGCAAGCTATTTTGATCTATCAGATGCATTTCAGCTTCTCACCATCCTCAGTGTTATGTGTTCCATTCACTAGACCAATAATCCTTTTGAAAACACACACCCTTTCCACTGTTCAAGAACTTTCAAAAAGGACAGCTGAACATGAATCAATCTCCCGCGACTTACTTCAAATCTCATCCTACACCAAGACCTTATTTGTTTCGGAAGTACCTTTGGATTCTACAGAATGTTAAAACAGGATTGTAGAAACAGAACGATCTAAACAAACGTTAATTGTGAGATTGATGTGTGTTGTTTAGTCAGAATAAAAAGATTGCTCAAGAATGTCCTTCTACTGCCAAGTTGGTACAGATCCTTGGCTAATAACAAACAACTCAGTAGAAGCACTTAGTGTAGTTTTTTTAATTTTTGTTCTTTAGGAGCACTCTCTGGGTGTATTTCTTTGCCTCATATGTTTTCTACTTATACATGTAAAAAAAAAAATTAACAAACAGACATCGCAAAAACTTAAACATTTTCAAAATATATTCTTAATTTTGCTGTGATTTGTTTCCTCCACTAGCTTTTCCAAGTGCTGACAATTTTCATGGCACCTGGCAATGGATGGTTGTCCCAAACCAACCCAGGCCTTAAAATTTAGTTTATTTCTAGGTTGTCAGAGTTTTGGTTTGCCTTCCAGCCTTGCCAATCTGGGCTTTTGGCTAGTCACAGTAGACCATTTATTTGCACTTATTCATTCATTATCTGAGTGACCTGGGGTCGATAAAAAAAACGACTCAAGAATGTATAATAACGAATGGATGTTACAGATCCTCATCTGATAACAAACAATGATCATTTTAGTGTCGGACACATTTTGGCTTCACCACCTTCAGTGTGTGATGATTATGCCTTGCTGTCTTTGGCCGATTAATTCTGGGTTTTCTGTTATAACAGTTGGTCCTTGAATTTGTCAATTTTTTCCTTTTTAACAGTATAAACGGTGTGAACTGTTGTTAATTTGTATTCTTGTAGCTTTTTTTTGTTGTGTGATTTTACTTTTTGTGCTTCACTAGTTTTGACGGTCAGACTCATTTAGCTATTTCACTTTCCAATTATTGTTTTCATTAGTTCATTTTGTTGTATAATAATGTCTTTATGGAGTAAATTATGCACATGAAGTTAAGTCTCCTTAAAAGTAATTTATTTTTATCTTTCAATTAATTCAGGTTTTTAGTTGAGATAAAAAAGTCAGTGTCATGAGCGGGATTCGAACCCACGATCTTTGGCTAAATACGCCGCTGCTCTACCACTTGAGCTATCGTGACTTTGATCCACTCGGACACTAACTTCCCATCTCAACCTCACCTCTCGAATTTTCACTCTTTTTGCCATTTTTCAAATGTCATGTAATCTATTTCATTCTCGGCGACAAATGAAATGGCCACGGAGAGCTTTAGTGAAGTATATGTCATTTTAATTCATTAAATTCACTCATTTCGTGATCCGCTTGACCAATTAATATCTTCCAACTAATTATGGTTTTTAGTTGAGATAAAAATTTGTGGGTTCGAATCCCGCTTGTGACGCTGACTTTGCTTATCTCAACTAAAAACCTTAATTAATTGAAAGATATTAATTGGTCAAGCGGACCACGAAAACTAGTGAATTTATTTTTATCCTTGCCTGGAAGAAATTTCAGAGGAAGCTGGAGGAAAATCAAAATTTTGAGTTTCTTTACAGAACATTGCAAACTCAGAGATCTCTTTCAGTTTGTTAATGAAAATAAGTACGAGCAGAATTTTTGGACAAGCAGCAACTATAAGAAAAATAGAAATGAAAATATTAAAATTTATTGATAAATTAGGTCTTGAAATAAGTACTTAAGTTGTAAGTTCTATCCTGGGATGGAGTCGATTGTACAATTGAATCCCAGATGTTTTCACAGTTAATTTTAAGTTTAAAAGTTCTATGATTTTCGATGCTACTAAAAAATAAATAATGGTTTGTTCTCAGAAGAATATATTTCATAATAGTTGTAACTTCGTTCCAGTGCTCCCCCTCGTAATTTGGAAAGAAGAACTACCATAACTATTGGAGATAGGACTTGTGTCGTTGAGGCCGATGATCTCAAAAAAATTGGCGATTTAGGCCGTGGGGCATATGGGATTGTAGAAAAGATGAAGCATGTGCCTTCTGGCACAATAATGGCTGTGAAGGTAAACTACTTATTTCATTGTGTATTACGCTTCTAATAATCTGATTAATTGTATCTCAACGTATAGAGAATTACAACGTCTACAGTTAACACAGTCGAACAAAAACGGCTCCTAATGGATCTTGATATATCAATGAGGACATCGGACTGTCCTCACACTGTGCAATTTTACGGAGCACTGTTTATGGAGGGCGATGTTTGGATTTGTATGGAAGTCATGGATATGAGCTTGGATAAATTTTACGTCAGATCGTACAAAAATGGTTTAGTCATACCAGAGCCAATCTTAGGAACGATTGCATTAGCTGTAGGTGAAACAATAAATTCGAGTTTGCATTCCAGCAAGATTTAAAAAAAAATTATTTTAGGTCGTTAACGCTCTCCATTATCTACATACAAAACTCAAAGTCATTCACAGAGACGTAAAGCCTTCAAACATCCTAATCAACAGACGAGGCGAGGTGAAAATGTGCGATTTTGGAATTTCTGGATACTTAGTAGATTCTGTAGCCAAAACGATCGAAGCTGGTTGTAAGCCTTATATGGCAGTGAGTAGACTATTTTCCTATTTCATTTTAATTTTCTTTTCGGTCTGAATGAATAATTTTCTGAATGATTTTAGCCGGAAAGAATTGATCCTTCTGGAAATCCTGCCCAATACGATATACGTTCTGATGTTTGGTCGTTAGGAATTTCCATGGTTGAGTTAGCCACAGGAACGCATCCTTACAGCAAATGGGAAAGCCCTTTCGATCAGTTAAAGCAAGTCGTCAACGACACTGCGCCTAGACTGCCTGAAGGAAAGTTTTCACAAGAATTTTCAGATTTTATTGATCAAACGTAAGTATAGTATATAAGCTTTAGTTGGTTGTACGTTAATCAAGTTTGTGTCTATAGTCTGCAGAAGGACTGTTCCAAACGGCCAAATTACATCCAGCTGTTGAGCCACCCTTTCTGCGTCAAGCATCGCACAAGCCCGACTGATATTTCAAATTTTACCTCCCAAGTACTTGATCTACCCGACCCAATAACTCCTAAAAGTTAGTTGTTTAATCTTGCTCTAATCTGTCTCTTATATGCTCACTCTGAATACAGCAAGACAATAACATTTTTTTTTAAATGTATTCAGATTATTAAAAATCCGAGCCATTGAAAAAAAAGAGACATTGGAATGAGCATGGAAAGTGTACCTGAAAATAAAACCGCCTACATCACTTACATTATTATTATTACTATTTTTAAATTAATTAAATTCCCTTAACAGAAAAAATTAAATTTAAAGATTGCTCGCTATAATTATAAAATGTGCATTCAGTTGCAAAAAAAACGGCCATTTTGATTTTCTAAAATAAATTCTTTATTGCTGCTACACACAGGCCATGATTTTCAAAAAAAAATTGTTGCTGCTTAATGTAATTTCAAAGTTAAATAATGAGTTTCTGAGGTAGTGGACCTCGAATAAATGTATGGAAAATGGGGAAATTTAAGAAACAAAAAATGCAAATAAAAATTTATTTCATAAACAAAAAAGACATTATTTTTAATAAGAGGTGTTACCACCGTGGGCTTTAGTAGTTTTAGTGCATGAGTCTTAGCATGCTCTGAATAAGGGATTCAATCTTATTCTGCGGAATATTGGCCCACTCTTCAACAAGTCTAGGCCTTGCTGTGTTTCAGAAAGGACAATCCTAGCTCTAATCCGTCTTCCTAGCATATTCGACAGATATTCAATGGGATTAAGGTCGGGAGGACGAGCTGCCACTCCAGAACACTGTGTTCTTGAAAACGTCCAGTGTGTTATGTTATCCTGCATGAAATTTACATTTCTACCACCTGCATTCATAATCGGGAGCGCATCTGGCTCCAGGATAGTTTCAGTACATTGGGCAGCTGTAAGTGATGCTCCATGGACCACCACCAATTGGGTGGAAATCCCACCCCTCACCCGGACCCGCCTTTGTATATGGTCTGGATTGTACAAAGTTACACTCGGCGTAACACCCTCCCCTCCTTCTCCATACTCTTTCTCGACTCCTGATGGAGCTCTTAGAGTGAAGCGAGACTCATCAGTAAAAAGAACAGTGGACCATTGTTCCAATGTCCAGTGTACGTGTTCTAGACCAAATGAAGTATATTCGGTGTTCCCTGGTCAACTCAGGTCCACTCACTAGGCGGGAAGCAGTCAAACCACGTTCACACAGTCATGACTGTCCACTTTGATACGTGGACTCCTTGAACTTCTTCTAGACGATGGGCAGCCTGGACTGAGCGACGGACTTGAAGCATGTGAGACAAAAAAACGATCGTCTCACTGTCGGGAGATCTGGCTTCCTGTCACAGGAGCCTGTCTCCCTAAACCTCTATACACCGTCTCTAAGGGTCTGATACACTACCCTTACATTAGCCACATACCGAATTGAACCCCATCGTCAATAAGCACAACTGCTCGGAAATCATTTTTTAATTAAACTTAAAACAAAAAGAACCCCACACTTCGATACTAATCAAAAGTTTAAGTTAATCAACCACGAGTTGTAGAGACCAGCCATAACAACTTAAAGGATTTAATTCTTTTCATTTCAACGTTTGTTTTTTGTTAACACACTTCTTGTGCGTGGCAGGTGGGTGTTTATTAAATCATAAACTTCATTGTTTACTTTTCTTATTATTTAAACATCAAACTTTAGGCCAGAAAAGGGACATATTGACCAGCAGTAAAGAATTTAATTTAGAAAATCAAGATGGCCTTGATTTGTATTATTTCCAACAGAAATAAATGAACAGAATAGTTTAATAGTATTTTTCCTAAGCATAAAATCAGTCTTACAAGTAAATTAACTAAATGTATTTTAAATTCATTATGGAAAACTAATATTTAATGCAGAGATAAAAATCAATAATTGTTTAATTAACCACATAGAAATTGTTTTTGTTTTTTCCAAAAAGTAGTAAGCATACTCGACTTTTGTAGCTGTTTAATTCTCTCAAATGGTTTTATACCCATTTCAAAAAATAATATGCAATAGTATGTTTTGATATAAACACAGTTTATAAAAAATTAAAAATTAATCTACATTATTTTGCACCTCTGCAGGTGGCACTGTGGTTATATGCGATTCATTTCGCCTTAGCTTGTTTTAAAAGATATGAAAGAAATCTTGCCATATAATTACAAAATGTAAACTTAAAATGAAAGAAATACTACTCGAATGTTTTTATCTTCGTAAGAAATCGAGACCTAATTCACTTAAGAAAGGTTGTAGCATGAAATTGATATTATTTATCTTACATATATTTCTATGTGAATATACCAATCAATATACAAATAAATAACTTTGTTTAAAAAAAATGTGAATTAAGCAACACGAGGCTAAATAAATGTCACATGGCTGATTGTAAGCAATCTCAAGTTTCTTTATTCACAATAGACAAAAGAAAACAATTCTTAAGTAAACAAAAGAAAATGTTTATTTAGCCTTATTCAACCTCCTCACATTCTGTCGAGTTAACCCACACCAAGATGTGGGGGGTTAATAATTAATTAGTTTCAATTCCCATAGAAAAAAATTGTGGATCCAACATACGATACCTTTAAAACAATAATTTACACATCAGAGTTTTTGCCATTCAGCTATGTCCCAGCTCAAGTGGAACAAATAAACAAAAATATTTCACTTTTTTTAAATTCCAATGTCTACATAAATGTTAAAATCATTTTATTCCACAATTTTAATGTGCAGGTACACTGAAATTCCAAGTAACTTGAGCCACAGTTTACAGTGGCAAGTAAATAATTTTAGATCATAGTGCATTCATTGTCAAGCAGAACAGCTGTAAGATGAGACGTGCTCAGTACTGTTTTAATCCCAGTCCTGGTCAATGGTGAAATTCACTTTGTCTCCTTCGGCACTGGCACAACTCTCCAAGTCCATGAGAGCTTCTGAGGAAAGAAAATTGAGAACTTAAAAACTAAACGGAAAATAAAAACGCAATTTCTTTCATTTAAAGGGCTGACTGTAATTTATGAAAAGCAGCTTTAAGACGACTGAAGTTACCTGATCCATTTTCTGTTTCCTCAAATATCGTACCAATGTTGAGCCTAGAAATTTTTAAATGTTATTTTTAGAGAAAAAAATAAACAATTTGGCCTACAAGTAATTCTCAAAATGTACTTACTCTATGCTAGAAGATTTTCTCTTTTTGCTTATCCTATCACCCTCACCACCAGTAGGCGGAAGAGGGGTGGAAAGCGTTTTCTGAGTGATAGCAGGTGCGCTTCCACTCAATTTTCTCTTATTAGGTCTTGGAGACGAAGCTACTGTACCTGTACTAGCTGAATACCTCTTGTACCATTTTACAATCACCCCAGGACTTTTTGAAACCGGCCTGTCCTCTAAGCACTCTTTAACTTTGCTTGCAGAACTTCGGTCTTGGAGAGCAACCCAGGCAGTTGTGTCAGAAAGCCAATTGATTTGTATAGAACCTGGAATAAACAATGACTGAAAATTCTGTTCCCATGTTTAACCATTTTTTTTATTAGAAAGAAAATGCGTTTGCCATTTATTATGTCTTCATTTCATTTACGAATGGACTTTTTGATTTTTATATATAATATATTATTTTTGTAATTCTCACCAAATGGACTAAAAAGCTCCACAATGTTTTGGGAAGTCCATACTTTTGGAAATGAAACATGAAATACATGGTCTCTCAGTGGTTCGGCTGTAAACAATTAAATTTACTATATAAAAATAAATTTGGTATAAACAATAAAGCATGTTTTAAATTGTTTTTAGAAACTTACGATCCCGCCGTTCTAAGTCTATATAGGCATCGGGGATTTTCATTAAAAATAATCTGAAACAATTTGTAAATTATATATGAAAAAAGTCCTAAGTTAATTTCAAAGTGACTTACTTGTTAAGGTACTTCTGAATCGCTCCAACGTCCACAGGAGATTTTATAAATTTACTTGTATCTAAAATGCAACAAGAAGAAATTAAGGATTAGATGATATTAACCAATACTGTAATATACAATATATTAACTTTTTCAATAACTAAATTTGAATTATACCAACCTAAATACCTGAGGGCAGTTATAAATGACAAGCCGGTGACATAAGCATCGTATCCAGCATTATGGAACTTCTCATTTTGGATTTCATAAGAGTAATTTTCTTCCGCATCTTGACATAAAATAATGTATATGGTTGTTTATTTCACACAAAAAGGAGAAAGTTATGTTTCTTTATTACCTATCTTAGGCAGTTCAAAGGGAGATTTCATAATAGCTTCAACAACGCCTGGCAAATGAGAGGAAGGAATTAAATCAGACAGTGCCTCCGACACTAAGTACTTAGTATCAAGAATCCTTATAAAAAAAATAATAATAAAACTTTAAACATTATATTAAATAACAGCATTAAAATACTTGGGAAATATGGTATGAAGCATTTCTTTAAATTCAAGATAATCCTCTGGAAGAGGGTCTATGAATCTATGGACCATGTGACAGAGGTCGAGGAGAACGTTGTGTCCTACAATCAGCTTTCTCGATGCAGCAATCCGTCTAATTATAGTGGCAAAACCAACCGCATCCTGTATAGTTTCTTCCTCCTTTTCGGCCTTTTCTTGTTTTTCTTTATGCAGCTGTTCTTGTGAAACCCCTCTTCTTGCGACTAATGTGCCGTTCTTCGTCTCAACACATATATTTTTCCCACTCAACCTGAAAATTTTCTGATAGCATAAAACTGAGGGTTTTGATTTGTTTTTTAATTAAAAACAATATAATACTAACTCTTCTCTAACTGTCTGGTACACTAACTTTCTTACAAATGCTGAACATTTTTCAACGTGCACTTCTTCCTTATCAAAGTTTGGTGATAATAATACTTTTATTTTTTCCCTTAAAAATGAAAAATAAAATAAAAACTTATGTTTTAAATACACTGAGCTTTTGTTTAATATAAACATACATAGCAGCATCCACTGCTGGTTGGAATTGTTTAGGAATGGGAATCGTCTGGTTGTTTGATTGCACGGCATTTGCTCTAATCCTGGATTTCTCAGCCAAGGTCTCCCTTAGTGAGTCTTCATCGCTCTGTTTAAGATACGGAATACCTATATATGCGAACAATTAAAACAGCGTATTTTTTTACAATTATTTACACAAACCTTCTCTGAAAAGCTTATTAAAATTGAAGCCATTCTGGGCCAAAAAGGTGAGACTCGAAGCCTGACACAAAAACCTACAATCAGGCGCATCTCGGTTCAAAGGCTCAGGAAATAGATAAAACACGTATGTCTTGTTTTTGTACCTGAACAGTTAAAAGAAAAATTACAAATACAATTTTTTGAGTGAAAAAAATACATTGAAAGTTCATACCGTTCATGTCCTTTAACTTGTTTGAAAACTGATAGGCCAAACTGTACAAACAGGAAGTCAAGTGCTCCAGAACGAATCTTAGAGTAGTATTGTTTCGGCGTATCAAAAGCAGTGATGTTATGGCCATTGTTCAAACCCGTGAACTCTCCATCGACCGCTAAAAAACTCGAAGAGTCTATCGCTTCTAAAATTTCAGGCAGGAGCTTCTTGAAATCTGAAATGATACAAAAACCAAAAAATATAGGGAGGTAAAGAATATAGAATGAAAGCTTTCTATAAGTTGTACTATTTTATAACATTTTTTCTGTTTTCAAAAATTCACAAATCATGTAAGTCACAAAACAGTGCTAGAAGGAATCAATCGGTTTATACAACTTTTTAAAAGTGACGATGCATCGACATGCTGTATATTGGAAGAAGAAATAAAATAGCAACCAATAAAAATTATAGAAAAATCAGATATAATGGCATATATTTGGGTACATTTTGGAACTAATCAGGGGCTACTTATTTATGGATGTATGATCAGATCCAGAATTCGAGGTTATACTGTTTCTGTGATTTTGTTTATTAGGACCTACTAGCAAAGATATAATTACAATAAAGGATAGGGTAAAAAGTAATTAATAACTGATATAGAAGAGATGCAATCTAACCTCCTTGTAAGATTTCAAAGAAATTTTTATAATGAACAATACAAAAGAGACATAAGTAAAGTAGTTCCTGTCGTTCTGGAGGGCTTAACATCCAACTACCTGTCATTTTACAATACTTTTTGCATATTATTCTAAGTTGAATGAGTAGGATTCTCTAACCACCCAAAGGGGAAATAACTTCTGATGATTAATTATTAATATTAATGAATAAATTCTAAAAGGTTGTTTGACAGAGCATAAAGAAAAAAAGAGGACATGCACAGTCAGCAGAATAAGTACAAAGCTTTTATCTCTTCAACAGCACAGTATTGTATCTCTTGAATTGTACATTCAACATGGAAAATTTGTTTATCATGATGAGAATATTAATTTTAATGTGTGGTGATTAGTGACCGTTAGTCGATGATTATTCGGAAATCACGAGATGTGGTCTGGTGTGATATAGGTTTCAGAAAAACATTTTCTTTATCGTGCAAATGTTTCGATCTTTACTGAGATTATTTCTACTCACTCAAAGTGTTTTGTTTTCTGCGTAATTGTGCCATTCTTCTTCTCTCAACACAACATGCAAGGCACAATTACACAGAAAACAAACACTTTGAGTGAGTAGAAATACATTGGTTGAATATAAAAAATATTTTTTTGCATTGTATAAATTCACTTTTTTCCATATCCTACATGTATTTGTTAAATTTAAACAATCTTTGTAAATCCCAGGCCCTGAAGATGATCTCAACAAAGATCGAAACGTTGGCACGATAAAGAAAATGTTTTTCTGAAACCTATATCACACCACACCGCATCTCATGATTTCTGATTAATTTTAATGGGAAAATTATGACCATTGCGGTGCCCTTAAGCACCCAACTCAAAAAGCTTTTAGTTCCAGCCAACTTATTAAATAATATATATGGCAAAAGCAAATTCAAGGGTCTGTGACAGACCAAAAAGCTCAAAACTCTAACCCACGCCACTAGAACAATCCCCCTGAGTATTAAAATTTTGTATTGTTGTGTTTTCTCTTTTTGGCCAGCCCACCATATGAGATACAAATGCAAGTCAAATGAATGAAGACAAGCTAAAATCCGTAACCCAGTTCACCAGCGCCGTCTCCCTAAGTATTAAAAACTTGTATTATGTCATAAAGGTTGAGTTAAAAATAGTGAAAGATAGAGAGGTGAATGACAAGGAAGTCTAGGTATACAAGGATGATCAGACATGATTTTGAAAAATTCCAAAAGCTGTTGATCACACAGATCTGACAAACCAAGAAGCTGAAAACCCTAACCAACTTCTTTAGTGCAGATTCCTTAAGTATTAAAATTTTAATGTAACTTTTAATGACCGTTGAATTATAATTGTGATGTTTATATCGGTGGTGATTATCAGTCGATGGTTGTTGGCATAAAGAAAACGACTTCGAATCTTGGCCGACATTTCAATTTATTTTTAAATCTTTTTCAAGGCAGTCGCTTGATATCTAAGTGACTTTTTTTTCTTCTTTTTTTTTTGTTATCAATTGGCAAATGACAGGGATCTGTATCGATAATCCCATCACCACCGATACAAACATCACAATTATTAAAACTTTGTCATAAAATGGCAACAGGTGGAGTTAGAAATAGTGAGGCATAGAACTAAAACGAACGAGATTAGGCAGACCAGGATAATCAGACACAATCAACAGTATTTCAAAAATGTCAAAAGCTGTGAATCTAGCGACTATGACAAATCAAGAAGCTGAAAAACCTAAGTCACTACACCATCACAGATTCCCATGCATTTTAATTTGTGCCCAACCCCTCTTAACCATTATATTTTTGGGATTTGACATTAAAATGTAGATCTAAATTTGGGCAGATCACCACATGAGAGGCATGCGTAATTTGTAGTGAAAAAAAAATGTTTCAGATCAATGTTTGTTGTTTAAATTGGGTTTTTTGGGCATTTCTAAAAAGAGAGCTAAAGTGAGTATGACACGTGTTGTTTTTTTCTACCTTCCATCCTTTCATGGAGGAAGAAAACCGGCGTACGACCATTTCTGTTAAATGTGAATCGTAAATAGTTAAAGTTTCGACGGCATTCTGTCACATTTTGTCGGCGGAGAGTCCGTTCGAACCGTTTTCGACTTACTTGACTTAGTAACGTCCATTTTCGTTGAAATACGTTCATCCGTCGAGAGGGGCCGTTTCGCCTTTCCGCACAGTTTTCCGAAAAGGCCAGCTTCGCCGCGGGCTAATCACACGGCCGATTCCTTTGTGAAAAACACTCGGACCAACGTAAAAACCCCTAGGACATAGTTTTGGATTATTTTTGTTTTTTCTAACTTAAAGAAACCTCCTCGCAGCTGTAGACGGTCCAGGGCCCATTTCTTCTCGCCGCCCTCGCTTTCGCCCTTCCTAGAATATTTTTCGTTTTCTAATATTTTACCACCAGGAAAATTGTCGATAGAAAATCAATTTTGAAAGTAGTTAAATTCACAGTCATCTCGATCTAAAACTACATTTAATTGAATTCAAAAAATTATATACACAGTAATTCGTTTTCTACCACCTGGATTTCTGTTTATTTATTTATTTTTTTTTTAAACACCACACATTTTAATTTTCACCACTGTCCCTAAAGTATTTTCAATTAAACTCATTACCTCAAAAAACATAAATTAATGTAGTTAAAATCCATTTTGCCCAATAATTATATTTATTAATGTTTTAAAACAACGCCACTGTGATAACAACATTAGATTGTAAAATTTCACAAACCAGAACCAATTTTCTACTTTCCCTCCTAAAAATAAATAAAAAAATTTACTTCAACAATTTCCTCAAAAAGCTGTTTGCAGTTTCCACTGACTCAACATCGACTTTCTGGAAATTTATGAAATAAAATCACCTGATAATAAAATATTATTTGGTAAAAAAAAAATCAATCATTCCAGTTTTACGGATGATGAATCAACTTGAAAAACATAAACGAGCAAAATGTTATTAATGAAGATAGCTAAAAAACTATGATATTAGGATTATTAGGAATGCATACAATTATTAAAATAATTATTTAAAGGAAGTATTAAGGTAGAGAAATAAACTTTGAAGACCCAATAAAATACAAACAGAAATTAGTAATGAATTAAAAACAATAAATATTAACCGAGGATTTATGAAAGAGAAATCAACGTTTAAAACAAACCAGCAAAATGTTATTAATGAAGACAGCTAAAAACACAATATTAGGAATAGATTAGATCCCGCTGTTGCCTCTGGACTTTTTTCTGACACCTAAGGGGGCCGGTGGCCACAATTGAAAAAACAATGACAGGGCAGTCAATGTTGTCTGGGGCGAGATCGGATCTCCCAACCCCCTTCAAAAATGAGTTTCTTTGATGGAAGCAAAAAAAGACTTGTGAAAGAGAAATCAATTAAAAGGCATAAACCAACAAAATGAAGACACTTAAAAAGCAACATGCTATAGGAATACATAAAACTATTAAAGCCATTAATTAAAAGAGGTTTCGAGGTAGACATATCGACTTTTAAAACTGAATATAATTATTCAGAAATCGTGAGATGTAGTCTGGTGTGATCTCAATAAAGATCGAAACGGCATGATAAAGAAAATGTTTTTCTGAAACCTACATCACACCATTTCTGAATAATTATCGATTAACAGTCACTAACCACCACACATTTCTACACTGAATATAATGTGGAAGGTTGACCTCTTGCGAGGAGAGCAAATGAGCAATGAATAACTATAATCAATCAATCAAAACAAATTTTAGGAAAGAGAAATCCACTTGAAAGACAAACTTAAAAAAAATGTTAAGAATCAAGACCCTACAAAACAAAGTTATATTAGGGATAAATAAAAAATTAATTAATTATGACAGGCATTGAGATAGATAATCAAGTGAAGTACCCTGGGGAAAAAAGAATGAATGACCTCAGTCAAATTGAATTTGAAAAAATCAAATTCAAAGTATACTTTACAATTTCAGGATCAAGAAAAAATTATGTAAAATCAATGTTTGTTCAGAAAATTATGTTTATTGGAATGTAGAACATTAAAAATAAGTTGTTGTTGTTATCTAAAAGAAGCATTTCAAAATGTTTGCAAAACTAAACAGAATAAAGTCACTTTTTCTCATGGGTCGGTCGATGAAGGCTGAACTTTTATGGAAATCTTTAGCCTCTGGTCTTTTAAGAAAAGTTGTTTGTCTTTCAAATCACCCCATTTGGTCTTCTTGTGTAAAATCTTTGGCTTCTTCATTCTTGAGGTGTTTTTAATAGTTTTCCTCACTGGAGATCGTTGGTACATGCTTGTGAATTTTACTTTGTAGAAAACCATATAGGCTCTAAAACACCCAGACCGGACTGAAGCCTTTCCTCTGAAGGCGCACCTGGACTTATGCCATTTTTCCATAGTAAGTAATTCTTCTAACACATTCCTCTGGACTCAAGTCACTTTACATTTTGTCTATTTTACTGTCTTATAGTACTCTCAGATTACTTTACAGCACTTCAAAATCATTACGAACAAAAAGTGGACTGTCGTTCTTCCTGCTAAGAGTGCTTTGACCCCCCCCCCCCCAAAAAAAAAAAATGCAATTACATAACACAAATGAATAAATTAATTAAGGCAGTATTTTTAGTGCCTGAAATAAGGGAAATTTATGAGGGGAAAAATACTATAATATAAATAAAACGAGTAGGTTTTGAAGAAGATTCAACTTCAAAGACCCTAATAGCAATGAATAAAATAACAAATTTTCAATATTTCTTCTATACAATATAATATTTATTATGCAAATAAATTAATGAGAAAAAACTAACTTATAACAAGGTAATGCTAACAAACTGAAAATGCTAGAGTTTAAAAATATACAACAGCTAAACATCATAAAAGTGGACGATTTTCAATTCAATTTTGCAATATGACATATATTTTGGACGGAAATATTAAACGGAATCACAACACTTAACAAGAATAAACCATTTGAATAAAACAAAAACACCACTTTTTTAAGCGGTTATTTCAATCCGACATTCAAATAACATACGTAGTAATAATATTTTTAAGCATAAATATTTAATTTTTATCAAATGGGCACTTCAGATCTTTTTCCATGACTAGATATTATATATTCACTCTCTTGTAATATCATGTTTGCTTTAAATAAATTACAACTAGACTACATTATACTTTTCATTTCAATAATATAATTTCATAGTGAAGAAGAAAAAAGTAAAATTACTTGTAAGAATATAACAATCAAGTTATTTCAATAAAATTGTTAGAAATGTTAACAGTAATGAGTACCAGCATATAAATTGCAAATTTGACAAGCACAGCCTTTCTGGTAACTTTCACAAAGTGCCCCATTGGAAATAGGAATAAACACAAAACAATTTATAAAATTCAAATTTAACACACAAACATAAAAAAAAAATTTAATCTCAATAATATTGATTAACCTGATTGACTTTTAGTATTTTTATTTGTAAAAGAACAAAAAGTCTGAGTTGGTTGCTTATCAAGTATCGTTTACACTTGATAATTAAAAACTTTTATTTTTACAGACAACTGAAAATAATAGGAAAATTTGGTGTAATTTAGACTGCACATTTATAAAAACTTGCTCAACCCTAAGCCTACGTATTTTATTATAATTCGCTTTATACCAGATGTTAAGCGTTCTTACTAATTATCATTTCTCATTAAATGAACTAATAATGCATTTTGTTTTTCTAAATAATTTTGTGTTAACTATTTTTTTTAAATGAAATATTTGTTTTCCTCCTTTTATGTATGGTGAAGAACATAACACTGCATCTTTCACTGCCGTTTCTATGTGATGATGGATAATTAAAAATATCGATCGGTTTTCTCACAAGGAAAAGAAAACATGTTTTTTATAACATTAATAGTAGTAAATTTACACCATAAATTACAGAAGATAAAATAATTCTAAAATATATTCTGTTAGTTCTTAAAATAAAAGGAATGAAAAACTTATTAAAGGAGATAAAATTTTTCCATAAAAGAAAGCCTCTCCGATTTTAAGAAAATTCACAATCTTGGATGGCCTTTAAAGTAGTTTGTATCTTCATCTTGAGGCGATGCTCAAAATCGTAGTTTGTGTACACCGATACAATCGAATCCAAAACAAGTTTTGCATCACTCATCTTAGAGGGGAGAAAAATGTAATAATTAAATTTGAATTATGGATTAAATAAAGTTATTATGACAGCTCAAATACCTTTTTCTTTTTGAAGCAGATCATGCCTATTTCATAAAGCGCAAAAGCGCTAATATGCAGATCTGCTCTTGATTTATAACGTTTTTCTTCTTCGATCCGGCTCATTCTGACCGAGGCGAGCATACTGACAGCTTCCTCGTCCCTGTTGAGATATGTCAGACAGACCCCAGCCAAGAGGGCTGACAAACCAACCATCGGCTCCATTACTTTCTTACTTGGTAATGATTTGGCATTTGATTCAATATCTAAAAATGACATATTCAAGGAATTGTATAATAAATGAATAATTAATCCAGTAAAATAAAAATTACCATTTAAAATTGAATTAAGCCCTTCCTTTCCAGGCATGCTGTTCCACAAATAGAGCATTTCATAGGCCAAAAGCCTGTAAAAATGTGGAGTCTTGGTCGGCATGAGAAAAACAAGCCTGTGCAAAATCAGCTGATCAAGCTGAGAGAATCTCATCTTAGATTTCTGTTTCAAGATTTGCGTTAGATGGGCGACATGATGCATCTCGTTAATACAGCCACAGCATACTAAAACGATCGGTATTAACGGTTGAACGTTAATAAATTGGACTGAACCAAATCCAAGACACACCAGCAGATAAATACGTGTAGAATACCCGACTCCACCTTGATTGCTCTTTCAGCTGGGAGAAGGCATGCAAGGCAGATTGAAAGTCCAATTGCATCAGTCGGCACCAACCAACCTCGTGCAGGCATAATAGCGACAGCTCTCGCTGTCCAGAAAGGTTTATTGCCGCAGTGTAAACACCTACTGCACTATTAACTTCATTCTGCAGCCATAAAGACATACAAAAATATTAAGAAATGATAATCACAAAAATATACAGAGTAACCAGATTTGGAGGTCTTAAATTTATTATCTAACACATATTTCTGTACCATTAAAAAATTTATTATGTTATTAATTAAATATGTATGTGTGTTTATTTGTGTTCAGAGTTGGGCTTATATATGTATCAGTAATCAGTAACAATTATTTACGTAGTTTACACAACGTAATTAACTTGTTGATATTTTGGTAATAGAAAAATTTGAATCTTACAAATGCAGAATTATCGACTAACCTTCAGCCTGAAAATTCTTCCTTTGAAGAAATAGAACAGTGCTGAATTTGCAAATTCTTTTTTAGAGTCTTCCATAATAATATCAGCACATTGAATCGTACTAACAATGTCACCGGGCTCGAGAGCCAATAGAGGGTTGATAATCGTATAGTACCAAAGCAGTGCAATCCTAAAACCAAATGATCACTTTAGATCAATTTTAATTGCTAATGCAATATTGAACTTACGTAGCGAGAGGTGCTCTCACGTCCGGCCCTTGCCTAGCGAACTCGAGCGACTTGAGACCTGCCACTCGATCACCCACAAAACCTATTAAAGAGATGAATCGCAAAACAGACGGAGGCAGAAGAGAAACACACAGGTGGAACAGCCCGTATCCGAAGCAAACAGCTCTCGTCAGCCTTGCAATATCCGTAGGGTTTTGGCTAGAATGAAACACATGTTCATAAATAAAATAATTACAATTATTAATATCAGTAACTATGGGAACTTAGTAGTAACTTAGCTTCAGATACAAAAAAACACGAACAATCTTAACAAAGTTTGTATTATGAAATAACAGATTGGCTGAACGTCCCTGCTCACCGAGAGCCAGTAAGTAAATCGTACATTGTTATGTCAATGTTTTCAGATGCTTTTTTATTAAAATACTGTTTACTTTTTTTTAATAAATATAAATGAAGAGGCAAATTGCTAAAATATAGATCCAAACAATGTTTACCCTATATTAAAAAATATTTTGGTAATTTCTGATCATTTTAGTCTATCTATCCTCGATGTTTTGGTCAGACATGTTTTCTTTCTAAAGTCAGTATTATTTTGTCAATTGTATCTCTTCATAAATTTGTAAAAAGTGACAGGTAGGACCAAAATGGAAGTGTAGATCAAAATGATCGAAAACAACCAAACTGAGATGCCTTTAATGCAGCGCACAAGTAGAGAGCAATGAATTTGCACCACAAAGAATAAGATATAGCTTGCCCAACTTTTAAATCACAATAGTGGTTTTAAGAAATTGGTTTGATGATGATATAGATAATAGTAGATAAACATATAAGTTCAAACATAGGCCTTTTCATGTTTGTTGAAATATATCCTTGATTCGAGCAAATGTATTTATTAGCATGAGAATTGGAGTATGTTTGGGTTGTTTGCAAAATATCGAGATCCATAGGAACCTTGAAGAAGCATAGGTTTAGAATATAAATATATATAGGCAGTGATAGGGGGCATAATATGAAAATTCTTGGTATGTATATATTTATTTGTGTGATGTAAATGGGACTGCAATAGCCGAGTGGTCAGTGTGTCAGATTCTTGGCTCGTAGGTGGTCGTGAGTTCAATTCCCACTGCCAACCCTGGCCTTTTTTCATGCATGGAAGGGTTAGAAATTAAAGATAGATGGCCGGAAAAATAAATAAATATAAAAAAATAAAAACTACATGCTCATCACCTACAAATTTCAAGAAGGAATTTTGGTCTAATTTGTTTAAATTGTTTACCAAGATATTTTTTGAGAGATTTGAAAGAACAAAGAACCTTGACACCACATAGTGGCATCATCTACCAACAATATATGCAAGATGCCACTGTGGCATCATTTCAGTGAACGTGTTAAAAGCTTTTTTAGTTGTATCAATGGATAAAATGAAAAATTGATTAATATAAAATTATAGATAATAACATATGCAAAAAAGATACTATTATTTGTATACATACATCCATTTAGGAAGATGATTTCATATTATTTAAAAGTACGTATATGTACGAATGATATTTTCAGGGGAGGGGATGGGTGAGAAAATCCAGAGGAGTTAGTGGGAATCGAACCTACAATCCCTGGGTTTAATAGTCGAGCCTGACACGATAACCACTTGGCTACCATGGTCCCCTAAATGATAAGTTGAACAGTTTATAATACAAATAATAATCATGGCTTAATCGCTCAGACAATTTTTTTTTTTAATGTATAAGTAAATAAAATCTGGAATGTTAAATCATACACGGATTATTGTGTGTACTAAAAATCAAATAATTAATAATGCTTGAACAAAGTAAATAACTGAGAGAAAAAATTTCAGAATGGTCTCTCAGTACTGCAATTCTTGGAGGATATCATGGGAGGCCATGTGTTCCCAACACAGTGAGTTTGAATATTTATCGCGTCATACATCATATTTGACTGTTCACTGTAAAATTTCAGCTAAGGGGAGACCCAAGAGGAAGAGGTGAAGGGCGCTTGGGAGATGACGATATAGTCGACCCTGCATTAAGGCCAGCCATTACGTCCAACTTGACAAGATTCTATCCAAATGGCGTCAACTCCGTTTCCCTCAACGATGAACAAAACAATATCGGGGAGATTGTGCCAAACGAGAATGAAAGAGGACCGTTTCCAATAGTCAGTGACAAATAGTTTCAGTTTTAATTTTTACTTTATTATTCTAACCGATTTGAAATGTAATTTCTTCTTTACAGCAAGTTGTAAGAGATGAATCAAATGGACAATATAGACACAATGCATATGAAAATCGTAATGATCAAAATGAACGACAGCGTAATGTTTTTCAAGTAATGTTTATTTTTCCCTAAATATAGTTTTAAAGAAAAGTGAAATAAAATTTTAATTAATAACTATAATTCGAAACTTTTGATCAATTTTATACATATATAGAAGCCATAAAATGTTTGATAATCTTAAATTATTATTTTTAAAAAGTTTAAAAAAATCAATTCTATTTAAGACAAATAAACAGATAAATATATTTAGTTGAATTTCTTTTCTTAGAAAGAAAAACTTTTTTTTATAAATAAGCATTACAATTTCAGGAAGAATACTTAGGTGATGAACATATGACTCCACAAAACATGGATTTGGTAAGCTTAAGAGCTAATTGTTAATGTATTTGTTTTTTAAACTAAATTAATTTTGTTATACATATTTTTAGGGAAGTCTTCCAACAGTATTAAACATATGTGGACTCGTTGTTATTGGGACACTAATAGTACTGAATATGGTGAATGGACAAATTTGAATTATTACGATATGGACTACAAACTTGAATAATAATATACATTTTCTAAATGAATGACTGTTTATTTACACATTGATCATTTGTTTAATAGCCCTTAGCCAGGGGAAATGTTTACTTAGCTGTTTAATGAATTAATTTTTTATTCATTCATTTATTTTTAGTTATTCATGCACAGAAAGATTTTTACTGATTTGTAACTTATGTGTTAAGGTTCACTAACCTTTCAGGTATATTTTTTAATGTTTGTACATCAGGCGCATCATAATAATGGTGATGCTGTTCATCATCGTCAGGTATGTTTGAAATGTTGATACTTTCCTTGGATCCGGCAATAGGATGCATCGAAGAGATCGAATGTACCATGCTGGTATCTGAAGTAAGTTTAGACACATTTGATGAGATTATGAATATTCGTAATTAGTGTGAAAATACTCACTGGATTGTCTTTCTGAGCACGTTTGCACGAAACCGATAGATTTGCTGACAACTATCTTTCTTCCTGGAGGGACTAAATTTATTTCGGATCCGAAACATTTCTTGTACTGAACGGAAATATTTGAATAGACGCTCAGGTAGAGGCTCCAGGCCTTTTTCAACAACCAGCCGCCTTTCACATAACTGGCTGTCGAGTCTTGCATTATCATGTTGAGAAAGGCTTGACAGACATGGCAGTCGGCTAAGATGATCTGTTGTTCCAATAAGTCATACGGACTTCCCATCTATTGCAAGAATAGAATTTTTATTTTGCTTAGTATATTAAACTCTTGTTTGACCTCATACCTCAGAAGAGCCAAATACACGTGTTTTCACTGCTTTAAACCAACTGAGATTATAAGCACATTTGGATTCAAGCTCTTTGAGGGCCTGGCATGCCTTGGTCATGTTCTCCTCTTCAAATGTCATCATTGCATTCTAAAATTATTTTTAAAAAAATTATAAATTCAATTTATAACAATTTAAGTCTTGATGCAGTTTGTGAATTTTCAGCGACCATATTGCTAGTTTATCAATTTTTATTTATAGATCAGTAATTTTTTTAAGTCTATCCTCACTGTTGGTTTGACAGATCAAAATGATCAGGAAAAACCAAGTTAAAGATTCATTACTCCACAGACATTAACTATAAATCTTATTATTTTCTATTTGTTTTATACAAAGTCATGTTATCAACTTTTTTTTCAATTATGGCCAAAAGATGGCACAAGGTTAAAATCTGATCAGAATAGGAATAAACTGTAAAAAAAAATATATAATAATAATAATAATTGAAGTTTGACATAGATATTTCTTTAAATACACTATTGCAAGAAATGTAAACTAAAAATTAATGCTTCAAAAAGTGATATTTTTTCACGAAAAGTATACCCATCTATTTACATATTTGCAATAATATACAGTAGTAGTAGTAGTAGTAGTAGTCTTTATTTCTTTTAACATTGGAAACTAGAAGACGCAGAAACTTAACGCTCAAATATGGTTCTCATGTTCTATTGGGTTGTCCGGAAAATAATGCAGGATTTTAAGTTTTCATTAAAAAAAATCTATATAAAATATTCTGTTTACGTTTACAGGATTACTCATTTGTATGAATGTCAACACTTATTAATCCTCTTCCAAATGATATTGTTTGTTTACCTCTGTAGCATTCCGCTACTTGGAAATAATTCAGTCATCCTTATAATGTCAAAGCGAGAATTTCGTACGATTTTCTTTTACGAGTTTAAACTCGGCCGAAGCGGAGCCCAAACGGCTAGAAACATTAACCAAGTCTGGGGCGAGGGTTGTGTTAATGAGTGCACTGTGCAAAGGTGGTTTAAAAAATTTCGGGAGGGAGATTTCAGCCTTGAAGATGAAGAAGGTCGTGGAAGGCCTTCCTCTCTTAATGATGATGTTCTGCGATCAGTGGTGGAAGAAAACCCCAAAACAACTGTTCGAGAACTTGCAGAGCAACTCAAAGTCAGTAAAACGACCGTCGCTGACCACCTCAAGGCGATTGGAAAAGTGAAAAAACTCGAAAATTGGGTTCCACACTCATTAAACGATCGCCAAAAAAATCAGCGCTTTGATGTTTGTGCATCACTTCTTTGTCGAAACAAAAATGACCCATTTCTGGCCAGAATTGTTACATGTGACGAAAAGTGGATTCTGGACAGTGGCTCGACAAAGGAGAAGCTCCAATACATTTTCCAAAGCCCCCAACTCATCAAAAAAAGGTAATGGTTACGGTATGGTGGGCTTCATTTGGTTTAATACACTACAGCTTCTTAAATCCTGGCGAAACCATCAATGCTGAATCATACTGTAACCAAATTAATACCATGCATCAGAAATTGGCAGTAATGAAGCCCTCTTTGGTCAATCGGAAAGGGCCCATTTTGTTGCATGACAACGCTCGACCACATGTGTCACGTGTAACGTCACAAAAATTATTGGAGCTTGGCTATGAAACTTTGCCTCACCCACCCTACTCTCCGGACCTCTCGCCTACTGACTACCATTTTTTTAGACACCTGGACCACTACTTACAACACATAATATTCAAAAATCAAACGGAACTGGAAAATGCATTTATTGACTTTATCAATTCTAAAAATTCTGAATTCTACTCAGACGGAATTAATAAGTTACCAACACGTTGGGAGAAATGTATTGAGAGTATGGGAAATTATTTTGATTAAAGAACATTGCTTTAAAGTAACTAGTTTCTTTTTTTTTGTTTAATACCAAAATCCTGCATTATTTTCCGGACAACCCAATATATAAACCAAGGAATACTTTCAATTACACATTAAGCAACGTTTCTCTGCATGCCAGATACATACATATGCTGGCTCTGACCAGAAGATTTTTTTTTAATAAAGGTCCAAACATTGGTACTATAAAAAAAATTGTTTTTCTAACCCTATGCCACACCAGACTGCATCTCACGATCTCCAAATAATCACTTTTTTTTTTTTTTTTCTAAAAATCACAGCAGGAGTTGTTCTGCTCATGCAGTTCTCATATTGGGTGGGATTATTATTCGTTCTAAGTACAGAAACTAGATATGACACTCAAATGGGATAAACCGAGCAACCTTTCTCTGCATGCCAGATATGTAGGCAGGCTTTGACCATCAGAAGACCATATTTTATCTTTTTAAAAATCATACCAAGAGTATCAAGTCTTCCTGTCCTGCTAAAACAGGTCTCATAGCAGGTGGCATTCATATTCGCTCTTAATAACGAACCATGACACTTTTCAAACTGGATACTTCAAACATACTTTCTCAACATGCCAGACACATAACCGGCTGTGATTTAAAAATACTTCTCCAAACATAAAAAGGCAATATGCACAACAATATACAGAAAAAATGTACTCTATTTCTTTTAAAATTGAAACAGGAGTCCCAGATATTTGATGCCTGGACAGAGCCAAGCATTACTTTCAATTAGTGGGACATTGAGCAACCTGTCTCTGCATGCCAGATAAATACACTGGCTTTGGCCAGAAGAAAACCACATTTTTTTTTTTAAGTCATAACAGAAATACTTGTGTAGTTGTTCTGCTCAAACAGTTCTCAAATCAGGTGGCGTTCTTATTTGCTCTAAATAAGAAACCCAGACCTGATACTATTCAAACGGGATACATACAACAACATTTACATTCTGAATACAATTTGTTGAAGTCATGGAAGTGGTCATGAATCACATACTGCTACTCACGACTTCAACAAATTACGAAACAACTGGTCACTAAGAAACACACATGCTGTATATGTGCAAATATGTCTTATAAAACAAAACAAAAATCTAAAACCTAAAATGATGTAAAATAGAAGACCAATATTTTTCTGGAAATCAGAATTATCCTGCTCTTTTGCCTTTTTGTCTACGTATTGGACATAAAAGCAGACTGTTGCCTAAAAATATGTCTCTGCGTCAATGGCATAGAGAAAAAATGTCTCTATGATTAAGATTTTTTGAGGGCCATATACCAACCACACTTTTGAAACATAAGTTTCTCTGATGATCCAACCAATACTGCCATTTGCTTTTGATCACAATTGCAGTGCCTTGTTTGCCTCCTGACATGTGTCCTGGTTCCAAGGCAACCTCTGCTAAGTTGAAAAGATCCGGTTTTGGAATATGCAGTACAAGAACAAGAGAACTTGTCACAAACAGCTGAGAGGACACTTGGTAAATAGGTGCAAAAAAGATTAATTTTTCAAAATTGACTACATATCAAGGAAGTGTCTATAGAGTATGATTTTTACCAAAATAACCATTAGCATTTTCATGCAATTGAATAGAAGAGAAAATATACAAGAAGAAGAAAAACGTCTATAGTTTTGGGTTGATCGTGTTTTTGTGGACAGTTCTTAACATGTGGACGTTACCATTGGCTTGTCATATTATGATGCGTGGTACGTCGTTGGGGAAGCGGGATCGACGGCCTGTCAAGTCTTAAAAAAATGGATGTCAGGGAAAAATGAAGTTACCATGAATAGCGTATAGCAGTGAGCGATTTCCAACTGGACGGATTTTTTTCTGTCTCTGCAAAGCTGCTCGGCGGCTTCAATATTGTTGTTGAGCACGTTCTGTATCACATTCCTGGCGACTTCCCAGTCTTCGAGCCCTTCTGGGACCTCCTCCTTCTCTTCCTTATTACGTCTATAGAACATTCCAAACATTTGAGTTCCATAATATGACACCGGCGTTCAGAATGGATGGGTCTTCCGCGACGACGGCGACGGGCACAGCGATAATCAATACCGGCTAGCACTCTAGCCAGACTAGCCGCCCTCCGGCCAATTTGGACAGACGCGGATTAAAATCTTGACACGCGTTCGACATCCCTCAGTTTTTGACCATTGTGCTATTTTTATTAGCTAGCTCTTAGCTTCGAACTGCTGAAACTATTGTTTTTCCCCGACTTTTTCAAATGCAATAACCATGTGATAGAAAAACAGAACCAATCGTCGAGGGACATCGACTCGAAGAAGGACGGAAACGAACTACTGACCGTTTTTGGCCTTTATCCCTACTGATCTTCGAACAAAACTTACTTTTTAGCAAAAAACAAAAATAACTATAACATTTTTCCGTGTGAAAGCATACAGCAATTTAAAGAGTTCTACACAACAACAAAAATTTAAGTGATACTTGTTTATTTTTGTTTTTAATGTTAAAAAATACACAGTCTCCATGAGTTGAATTTACAATTGCTCAATTTAAAAACCCCTGGCAATTTTCTAAAAAAAAATTAAAACGAAATTTTATTTAATTGCCTCACGCCCATGATCGGGTTCTAACTTTATTAAACATTAAAAAAAGTTTACAAAAAAAAAAAAATACTGCAGATTAGAAATTTTAGCTTTTCTTTATCACACACGACCATTATGAATATTGCATCTTTTGATGATGCACATTCATTGCATAAAAGAAATATTAAAGGTAACTAAAGATATTGAAATATAACAGTTGATGCATGTAGTAACATGTGTTGTATGGTAATACATATGCTACCAAGTAAATATTTTGATGGAAGTAATTGGCTTTCTGGATTTCTTTATGTGATCTGTGTGATAGATAAACCTATAGCTTGGTTGTCTGACATAGCTAAAAATTTACCTCCACTGGAAACATTTATACAAGGAGAAGCTAGATAAAGCTCATTCAGACTCCAAAAATAATCAAATTGGATGAGTACAGCTTTGTCTCGAAAAATTCTGTTTTTACAAACAGTGCAAAACACCAACCTCTCAACAAAAATCATCTAGCTTGATTTTTCCAGAGCACTGGAGGGGCTTGGGATCCTAAGATTCCTAAATTTCTTGAAATCATACTTCTCTGACAGGAGTTTAGAAGTCAAGTTTAATCAAGCGTACTCTAATTTTTAACCAGCGGAGTCCTGCAAGGATACGCCCTGAATACAATTCTATTTATTTCTTTATAGATAGCTAGTTGGAATACCACTTCAATATGACAATAGGAGAACTGCCTTGAGCATGTCAGTAAGTTTCTGGGTTTCCTGTTCCCTCTTTCAAAAGAAATACTGGTCTTTTTCTAGTAAATAATCAATGACAGAGTGAGTAGGTATGTCATCTAATTCTTGAGGACAGCTAGTCTGGTCACCAGTTCTGATTTTTTGGATCAATGTATGAGTCTGGTATGATGCATCCTAGCTAAATGACGTCATGGCTTGGCTCCTTATAGGGATTAGATATGATCACTTGATATGAGAATCAAATTTGAGCTGGACACTGGACAAGTTTCTGGTCGACTGTTCTAATATTCAGAAGAATGTTAGTTTCTAGTGTATATACTTTTAGATATAGATTTTTTCCCCAATTGAGATGTACTTTGGTCCTACCATAATCATTCAAGAATACATTGTGTGAGAACTGTACTTGAGCATGGCAGCATAGGTCTTCTGGTCCTACTTTTAGACAAAAGAAACACCTTGACGTAAATTATACATTTGTATCATATTATCAACGTGTAAAATGTAATTGAAAGTATTTATTAACTTGAATGTATCCTTTCTTAGTATGAGAGGCTTTGGAGTATTTAGGGCCCATATTAGTAGGGGGCCTTCAGAGGATCCGAGTCTTAAAAGAGTGATCATTCTCACCAACCCGTGCAAAATATGACGTTGAAAGTATTAATTTGAATGTATCGCTGTACAGTATGAGAGGCTCTTGAGAATTCAGGGCTCAAATTAGTAAGGCTCCTCAGAGGATCTGAGTCTAAAAAGAGTGATCTAACTCAGAAGTTAGATTTCTACATTAAATAAATTTTACTTGATATTATCTATGATTACATAACATACAATTATTGCAGTAATTAGTTAAAACTGTATTTTCGCAATAACATATTTATAGAAAATAAGGCAAAAAAGGATTGATTATTGAAAACAATAATGAAGTGTACAACAATAGATATATTCTTGAAAATGTATTATAAAATTTTATTGAAACACATATAGTAATGCCTTTAAAGGAAAATTGAAATTTTTCTTAAGAAAATAACTCACTTTTATTTACTTTTTACACTTATTTACATTTTTATAAAATATGAAAAAGCTATTACTAGCAAGCTATTAACAATTTACTACTAGACTCTGGCTAGCTCACCGGATATGACAGACAAATTCAACTAGAATTGTCATACCGTAATTATCAAAGAAACAAAAGTTCACCTTACAGACCTCGGCCCAATATTTCACAGTTAAAAGAAAATAAAATGACTTCAGTTTTAATACTGGTAATAATTTACATATTAATCTACATTTAAAATTCTTAAATGCTACAAACATAAAAAAGAAAGTATTTACATCCCATTACATGTGAGTTGCATTTAAAATATTAATAATTTCAAATTTGTTTAAAAGTAGATTTAAAAAATGGAAGTCTTTGAATTAGATTAATTTAAAAATAGGAAAACCAGCTCATAAAAATGCCAAAAATTCACTGGATTGTTATCAGATGGATATCTGCAAGTACATATATTTTTGTTAAATGTGACAGACACACTGCTTTGTAAGTTCCAGCCTGGAACAAGGAGTGATAATCAGACAGATGTCATCACAAATTATTTGTTTTTAATCTTTTCTGGAATCTCTGCAAATTTGTCAACTAATTCCTTACTACTTTTTATTATCGTTGCGATATCATTCTGTGTGGTGTGTATTTCACAGATATTAGCTCTTATCGCCCTTGTGTCCAGCCCTTTAATCCTTCCGTTGTGCCTCGAGACCGGCCTAATTAAGCTGACGCTCATCATCTCTTCGTGAAAGCTTATGTCAGTCTGTTCCATGTGTAATAGGAACTTTTCAAGGCGCTGTTTATAACTCTCCACATCTTTGGCTAATATTTTCCCCTGCAAGTAGATGGTCTGCGCCATTTTGTACCAATCGGCAAGGCTATCGGAAATCTGAGCTATGGAATTTATAACTTCCTTCTCCAATAGGTTTTTGATAAGTTCTGTGCCCATAACGTCCATTTTCATACGTTCGAGCACATGAAATTGTTCATCATTGTACGTGAGACATTTTGTAGCTCTATCTCGGATCATGTGTTGCCAGGAATCCCGTAGACGCTGGACTATAGAATTGGCTCGTTGGGGAGCTTTGGCTTTCCAGCAACATTTACACCCTACTGTGTTTCTCTCCCATTCTTTAATCAACGTGTCATGTGTGACATACCTATTGTAGAGCAATTTAACTGCTACGTTCAACCCTAAAACTAATTCCTGACTCACAGTTTCCATTTCTTCTTTTAAATTTACACTATTGGAGGAAGTTTTGACACCCAAAATGGTATGGACTGTTTTCTGTCCCCTCATCACAGCTTCCATTATCTTTTCAACATTTGAAGTTATTTCCATAAGATGTGTTGTTTTGTCGAGTACTTCTTCTAGTTCCTGCTTGACTACAAAATTAAAAGTATTCACACTGTCATGAATCAATTTGCTACAAAGGCAATGTATATCTATTTTCCTTTTTGCATGATGAGCTATGCTGCAGATGGTTTTCGCCGTGCTCGCGTCGTTCTCGACATTTACCGAATTTGGGAAGATTGGCAGTTTAAGGCTATCATTGTCGTTTGGAATCACAACATTGTTGTTTTCATTGCTAAATAGAATTATAGGTTTTTCTTCCGTCGTTTCTGGAAAATCTTTTCCACAAGAGTCCTGAACTATGGAAAAAAAGTGTTTATTGTCGAATAAAAGAATCTGATTGTGGGGTAAAACATCTGTCTGTTTTGTGATTTGCGTTTGCAGGTCTAAATATTTTTCTTCTGGGTGAAAATATATCCTTATATTTTGCATTCTGTGAATGTGGTAAACATGAAGCCTCTTTCTCGACAGAGTCTTCGTCACCTCTGAGAAAAATTTCTCAAAAGTCCAAATCTTTTGCGCGTCAACTTCCAGCAAACCGGCCAAAAGGGGCGTGATGTACTTTTTCAGCCCTTCACTCAATTGGCAAGACTTGGGAAGAGTACGACACCAGTTGATAGGGCCGTTTTCTAAAGACTGAGTGCCCGATATGACTCCCGATTCTTTTTTCGTGGTTATAAAGTACATGGTTTCCTTGTTTCGACGACCTCCGTAGGGGCGGAAAGGTAGGTTGCCGGTGGCTACATGATACAGAGTCACTCCGATCGACCAAAGATCGACCGTAGCACCGAAAGTCTTACGTACAGCTTTTCTCAACACAGCTCGCTCGTACATATCGGGATGCAAGTACTCTTCAGTCCCGTAAAGAGAGACAAACTGTTCATCCTCTTCTAAATGCCTGGCAGCACCGAAATCCGTCAATTTATAAATCGTGCTTCCGTCGTCACAGATGAATTTCATTATGTTGCCAGGTTTCAAATCCCTGTGGACCAAATTGTTGTCCCTCAAATGTTTCATCCCAGCTGTCAAATGGTCCAGCACGAGTAGAAACTCTTCCTCTGGTAGGCCGTAGGTGTTTTCAGGGTCGTCGAGGATGTTGAAGAGACTACCGCCAGTGCAAAGTTCCATGACGATGACTTTACCCCTTCCTTCCTGTTCCTCGTCTATGGCTAGGAGCTTCACGATGTTTTCGTGCTTTACCTTCTGCAGCACTTCGAACTCCCTGATCTGAACGTCGTGGGGTCTCATGTGACTCAATTGGTTGAAAGTCTTCACGGCCACGGGCTCTCCTGTGCTCTTGTTGACCCCTTGGAACACGGCGCCTGTCGCTCCTTTCCCCAAGACGCTCGTCGTGCACCACACGTAATTGGTCGACCCTCTTAAAAAGGACATCCTGCTTTCAAAAGGCAATCACGATTTCTACAAATTCTTCATCGCTTTTGGCATACTACCGACTCTTACGTCACCTTACAAACACAACTCACCATAAAAAATCCAAGCAAATGATTATACGCACAAAATAAATACATTGTGATGACAATTTAAAAACAAAAATAACTTATATTATCACAGAAAGTATCACAACAAAGTTTACCCTCTTTGTTGAAGGTTATGCTTTTGTTATGCTTGAAGAAATTGTCATTCCACTATGACGTACCAAGTTACTATCGAAAAGATCTTTATTTTGTAAATAATTAAAACTTTATCAACTTAGTTTTTCCTTTTTTGAAAATCTTATGGATAAAATCAGTCCATATTACATAGATGACTTCCCTGTGGATCTTTTATGCCTAGCTCATAATTTAAATTATAAATAATATGCCACGTATAATTTTAAAACCCTGAAAAGCTTTTTTTTCTGATCCTTTTAAATGTGCATGGTTTAATAAATAGTACGAACTTACAACTTGTGAGGGGCTGAAAATGTATTAAAAACCAGACTGTATAAGATATATGGAAAAACTATTTTATTTGGTTACCATTTTTTTAACATAATGGTACATAATAAATTTTCAATTACATATAATATATATAAATTAAATAATAAATGCGTTTATACTTGTTTTGTAAGATGTACGAGAGCTGGAGGCATTTTGTTGAACATAAATGCGCCCATTACATTCAAGGATTTTAAATACAATTCAAAACTAGTATAAACAATAAGGTGACAATACAAAATTATATATATTTTTATTATATTTGAGTATCACAAAGTGTCTCTGTGGGGTTGAGTCAGTTTTTTTTGTACTCTATCCTCTCGACTTTGACGTCGTCCGAGACGAGTTGGTAGACATAGGTGACGACTGTAGTACTCTGGATGTCCATGAGGACGAATGATGGTATGATGTTGGCTTCCAACGGGTTGTATGCCCCCGTCGCCGATCCCGGGTTGATGTAGAACTTGTTCTCGTGTTCGTACGCCTCGAATTTGTGCGTGTGGCCCGAGATGAGTATGTCGACGTCGAGCTGGCGTTGTAGGAGTGCCAGGGCTTCGGGGTCACCCCAGGGCACCACCTGGTGACCGTGGCACAGGCCGATCCTGAACTGGCCGACGGTCACCACCTTCTGCTCCGGGTAGTTGGCGTTCTCTTCGAAATCTCCTCGGACCACGTGGACGTCGCTGGCGAGCGTCTTGAGATAGTCGAACGACTCCTTGGTGCAGAGGTTGCCCGTACAGAGTATGTGTTGGATCCGGCCGGGGACGAGGAGCTTCTTGAACTTGGCCGGGAGGCTGCTGCAGCGGTGAGGAATGTGTAAATCGCCTAAGACTAACACCAACATTTTTCCTTACGTCCCAATATCACAACGGCATGAACGTCTTGGAGTCCCTTTCACAAAATTATTATCAAGTCCCTGTAGATTTGATAAGGGACTTCAATTAAACATCAACACGACAACACCCAGCAAAACCTCACAGCTGGTACTGGTACTGCCAACCGTCTCACAAAAGTACCACTATTGTTAATCTAAAAACCCATCTATTTACACTGAAAGAAGAATGATGACGAAACACTCTTATTGCAATATTAAAAAAATAAAAAAATCACGAAAAGCTATGTTTTTATATACATTACATTTAAACATATTTAAGGTTTAATTATTTCATTTTACAAAAAACGCCAGTATGTAATTTTTAAACTAAAATAATTTTTACATAATTATATCGTTATAATTAGAAAATTTAACGTTATTCATTAATGTTTATGAATGCATCTACTAGATATAAATGAAAATTAAAAAAACTTTTTGTCTATGATGATTGTAAATTTATTACAAGTACTAATGCTGAAAACCATCCATTTATGATGGAAAATGGATGATGATGTGAAACAAACCGTTATTAGAATATAAAATTGTATTTTTGGCATTTACCCATTTCAAAATAAAAAATACTAAAGTTAAAAACCATCCATTTCTGATGGAAAATGGATGATGATGTGAAACAAACTATTATTGAAATATGAAACTTTATTTTGGCATTTACCCATTTAAAAATAAATAAAAACTACTGCTAAAAACCATCCATTTTTGATAGAAAATGGATGCTGTTGTGAAACAAACCATTATTAAAAGATAAACATGTATTTTTTTTTTTTGCATTTTCCCATTTCAAAATAAAAAATAAATAAAAATATTAAAGTTACAAACCATCCATTTCCAATGGAAGATAGATGATGATGTGAAACAAACCATTATTAAAGTATAAAATGTATTTTTGGCATTTGCCCATTTAAAAATAAATAAAAATACTAAAGCTAAAAACCATCCTTTTTTTTTATGGAAAATGATGTGAAACAAACCATTATTGAAATATGACAGTGTATTTTTGGCATTTGCCCATTTAATAAATAAACCAAATTGCTTTTAAATTTGTTGCTCCAGATATATAGTATTCGCCAAATGCTGAATATTTGCTGTCTCGGCATTCACCAAATGTATGCGTGCGGGGTTTGTATAACCACCCAGTTTGTCTGAAAACAGAGAATATTCGCCAAGTACTCTGTGAGTCCTCAACTTACTATCAACAGTGAAGTTGCGGTTACTGTTTTGTGTAGTGGCCTCAAACTCAGTCACAGTATCTGTCGCTCTCTCAGACAACAATTACAATAGTGAACGTTTTTTGGATTGCATTATAGCCCTGTCAGAATTGGGTAGAACAACAAAATTACCCTTGTCTGGAAAACAAAGAGACCAAATTAATTAGCTAAGGAAATTTCAACGAGGACAACTGTTGGCCCTGAACCTTTTTGGGGCACACTGAACTACCAAAAACGTGCACAGGCAATAAATTAAAAGTAAGCCCTCTATCCATTGGCAACGTAGCCCAGACAGAAGCATGTAAAAAATTTCATAAAAGGACCATGATAGAAACTAATGGCAGAACTAAACCTAGAATTTGTTAGGACTAGAATAATTGTTGGACTGCCAACTGGACACTGCAGATTCTAAAGGCGTATATATATATATATATATCTATATGTATACTCGGAGTAGCAGAAACAAATTGAAGAAGAGGCAGTGAAAAATGTCGTCTATTGGCGTGAAGGCTTATGTAGACTAAGATTCCTACTCCTGGGGAAAGGAAAAGTATAGGCCTGAAGAATGCACACAGGAGTTGAATTATTTATTTAGCTTTAGGAAAATATATAATTTAGTGTTCATATATAAGACAGAGGTTACAAATTAATTATATTTAATAAACTTACAATATGTAAAATATTTTAACATACAAAGACAAATAACTTTATTTATTAATGATTTTATGAGGTTCACAATTTGTAAAAAAAAAATATACATGATAAATGGTTTACTCGGTAAAATAAATAAGTAAGTAAAACTACAATACATCAAAACAAAAATAGATCATATATGCAGATTATCTACACACCTAATGTTCTGACACCATAATTATTCAATAGAATTTATTATAAAACAATTACATAATTTATAAATAACATAAACAATCAGTTTGTCAAACAAAATGTGAAAATGTATTCTTAAAAACAATTGAAATAATAGTAAATAAAAAAATCATTTCGGAGACCACACAGCGCTTGAAGTTCTTACCCTTTTTATTGCATACTTGCCAAAGAATTCTTTGAGGTTGGGCGTTTTGGTTGGTATAGCGAAAAATTTAGTCAACTCTTCTTGTGTTATTGCTTGTTGGTATTTTAACTCCTTTAATCGGTTCGCACCTTAAAATAATTGTTTTTTACAATACATAATACACACGTATATTGTATAATTAATCAAGTTAATATATATATACGTTTAGCCCATTCTGGTATCGGTTTAGTTATAGTCTCTTCCTCTTCATCCATTTTAATATCATTGTCAATTCCGTAATCATCAACATCTATAATCTCCTAAGGAAAAAAACCTTTTAAACTATCACATTAAATTCAGCACATAAGAAAAATAACATGGAATGCAATGAAGAAAGTCAACGAAAATTTACTGTTTGATACCAAGAAAAAACTTTTTTTCTGAATAAAAATAAATTATTTTGATAATATGAAACCACATACCTTCTTTGGTTCCTTGATCTTAGATGCCAATTCTTTTTGCCTGCAATAGAAATATATATTAGCCACTTACTGTTTTATATATAAATTAAATTGAAAACATACCTCATCTCTTCCTCCATTTTGCGTTGTTGTTGAAGACGCTCTGCATGTTCTTGTTGTTTAATTCTTAATTCTTCTTGCCTTCGTTGTTCTTCTTCCTTAAAACCAATTAACATATGTAAAAACCTTTAAAAAAATTTTTGTAAGCAGGAACATAGCTCATTGACAAAAGGAATGTTGAGGTTGTAGTGGTGAATAGTGAGGTTAATGGTGAAGTAAAGAGCTCAATTACTTGTTCTTTTAGTTTTGCTAATCTTGCGGCTTCCTCTTTTAGTCTTCTTTCTTCCACTTCCTGGGCTTTTTGTATATTCATCTGTTTCTTCTTTAAAAGCTTTGCCTCCTTTGCCTTTTCAATTTCTTCTCGTAGATGTCTCTCCCTTTCCTCTTTCTCTTTCTCCATTTTTTCAAGTTCTTCTCTTTTTTCTTTCTCGATCGCTTCCCTCGTTGCTGTTACTTTCAAAGCTTTATCCTCGTTCTTTCTATAAATATATAAAATAATATTAATAACTGAAATGATAAAATTACAGCAGTGAGTTAAACACCTTCTCAAATGTTCTTTTTTATTTTTAATTAGTTCCTCTTTCTTCTTGAGAGCCTCTTGTTCCTTCAACTTCTTTCTGAGCGCTTCCTCCTCTTTTTTTCTTTGTTCGGCTTGTAACATTTGTATTTTTTTAAGTGCCGAATTCACTTTATTGGCCTATTAAAAATTCCTCAAATTATAAAACAATAATGCTTGAAGGAAGAGTAATAAAACTGCACTAACACTTAATGGTATTTTTGGCTTTACAGGTGTACACAGTTTTTTATTTCCTAAGCAGCTCGCCACTTTCTTATTGGTCGTTCGAGGTTGGATATTCTAAACAAAATAAATTTTTTAAACAGAATGAATTTTATTTTATACAAAAGGAAATAAATTTTCTTACTTCTTTAACTTTTAGCTTTGGGGGGCTGATGGAAGAATCTAAAGACGTCTTTTCCTACAACAGTAAACAAATAATAGATAAATATAATTAAGAAAATATTTTACAATATATATTTTTTTAAACATACGTTTGTGTGTTTCAAAATTCGCTGAGATCTGAAATTATACAAAATATTATTACAAATCACGACAATTTTTATTTAATTGAATTTTTGTTTATCTTTTTTTTGTATTGAAATTTTCAAGTTAAATTATTAACAATGAAGTAAATGTTATTTTATTTTCAAACAAACTAATTTATTTAGAAAAATTCTTATTTTGTATTTGTTTAAATTGTTAAGTCAAGAAAATTTTATATCATATAATTTTTTTTATATATTTGTATTAAATGAAAATGTAAATAGTTCATTTGCCCAACAAATAGTTAGAAAAACTACTGCTGCTTTCGCTATAATGAGTAGCTTGAAGGCAGTCGTAGCGTCTACTTCGTATAATCTAACGTTAACAGGTTGGCAAAAGAAATTATTTTAATTATTTTTTGTATGATTATATTGATTGAGATTTTTTTGTTATTTTGAAAAATCGAATTTGTTTATCTTTTAGAAAGGAATATAATTTTTTTTGTAATTCGGATTTTGTTTTATTTGTATTATTTCCACTGCGCAGCAAGGATCTGCTGAATATTATTTTTTTTATTATTGTCCCATTCGGCAGTGGTACAAGATACCACATACCTTCATTACATCATCTACATTTTAAGAATTTACGAGCTCTTGCTCTTTTATGCATTTTTCCAAAGACTTTCTTTCCTTATAAACTTGCAGTAAGTGATACATAATTTTGTACTGTATTTTATTTTATATTTTTGTAATTATGATTTGATTGAAATACTTTTTTTTTCTTCAGAAAAGTCACTTTCAAAATATAAATTTATTTTATTTTCACAACATAATTTCCATAGAAATGTGTAGTGATTAGTGACCGTTAGTCGATGATTATTCAGAAATCGTGAGATGAGGTATGGTGACCACATCTCACGATTTCTGAATAATAATTTCCATAATTTTCTATAACAAAATGCCAATGTTCTGGTAGCAGAAATAGCCCCTTATTGTTCATATTTGATGGTTTAAACGAGAAGAAATTTTCAGAGCATTTTCTTTCAGAAATTCCCTACTTTTTAAGTAGTTGTCTAAGGAGTGGAACTAGTAAAAATCGGAAGGGGCAAGGTCTGGAGAGTATGAAGAGTGGGTCATTTGTTGCCAGCCCAATTTGTCGCATTTATTGTGAGTTAGTGCAGCTGGGCGAGGCCTGGCACTGTCATATGAATCTGCACCCATTCGCCAGGGTTGGACATTTTCCCTTCAACACTGCCCCAAGACGCTTTATCCGAACACAGTACGTATACCTACTGTAAGGGTTTGGTAGTTGTTGATATTTCACCAAACAGACAATAGGATCTTACAAGGGTGCAATTATTGACAGTGGCGTTTTGATTCTTCTTGCAAATGGTCCCATTGAGTTTAACATTTGTTTGAAAGGACCCACTACTCATCCCCAGTGACCAAATAGGAAATAAACCCTTCTGATTTATTCCTATTCAGAAGTGAAACGCAACAAGTCATGTCATCTTCCTTGTCAGGAGGGACAATTCATGTAGATCCCATGAATTGAGTTTCATAGTAAAACCCAGAGATCGGATTCTTCTTTCTATTACCGTGCGATAAATGTCACATAAATTTCGACAGGTATCTGCTGCTCTGCTCCATGCCCAAGATCGAACTTGAATAGCAAGCAATGCTGCAAATGAATTTTATCTGCTTCCATGTCGTAGTTTATTCTAGATGTCTTTTGGGATCAACTACCTCTTTCTAAACAATCTCTTTTAATAGGGCTTTTCTCCCCCTAGAGCTAATGGGGCTCACAGGTAATAAGTAATAATGGATAACCTTTGTATGGGTGGGGTGAAGTAATAAATGAACAAAAAAAAACTTAGATAAAAATTAGATTATTACAATTAAATTAAGGGCTGTTAATACAAGAACTTTTACCTGCGAATGTCATCAGAGGGGATGGAGGGTTTATTGTCTTCCTGTTCCTCCATTTTCTTAGGGTCTTCATTTTCATCATTTAATTGCTCCGAGGAAGAGCTAACATCTGTTCTCCTCTGAAAACGAACAAATTTAAATTGCATAAGTGGTTTAATGTTATTATAAAGTAAAATTTACATTATTGTTATATTTTTTTTATAAAGAAACAGAGGCCTAGGCCGTCTCGACAATAATCGGTATACACATATTTTTTCAAACAACTCACTTTTTTGTTGGGAACTTCCTTAGTTTCAGTTAGCCTGAAATAAATGAAAAATTGTTGATCAATGTTGAAAATATGGTTAGTTGTGGTGACATAATACCTTTGTGAAGATGTTCTTTTGGAAGTCCTTTGTGAAGATGGAGCAGCTGCACGATTAGACAATCTGCTAGTCTTTGGTTCTATATGAAATATAACCATTAAAGTAATACAGAAATTAGCAGTTTATAGTTTTTAAATTTTTAATTAATAATTTGTTTATTAGTAATTATTATATTAATTTGTATACGTTTAGTAGCCATAATTGCCATTTTAATTATTTCAATTAATTTTTTTTTATCTAAGGCTTTTGGTCACGATGAAAAAGTTAGTGACACGAGCGGGATTCGAACCCATGATCTTCGGCTCAATACGCTACTGCTCTAACCCTCTAACTCACAACTTAATAAGTAATTTTAGCATTTTATTTTTTAAATTAAATTTTAACGATGAGCTAGATTATCGACCTGCTGGAAACAAGAAGTTCTTTCAGAGGATCTACGGAAGAGGTCAACACAGAGAAAAACTTCCTTTCGGTTTTTGCCGAGCTTTCGACAGTTTTTATACTGTCATCTTCAGGGCTTAAACCTTAATGGGGAAATACAAAGACATGGTGTTTTGGGTACAGAAGTACATTACGTTTTATTTTTTTTTTTTAAGAGAAACAAAAAACAAATGCCTTTGTTCCTCTCGTCGAAGAGGGTTTGTTTTTTGATCTGTGATCTTAGTGTATAGTAATTTAAATGTAAGATAAGTTAATTGTATATATGTATGTATAAGAAACACACTGTGATCGCATGCACCTGAAAACAAAGAAAGGAAGGTTTTTACTAGTTTTTTAGACTTTTATGAGATGCTGAGAAAAAAAAAAAAAAAGTAATGTACTTCTGTGCCCAAAACACCATGTCTTTGTATTTCCCCATTAAGGTTTAAGCCCTGAAGATGACAGTATAAAAACTGTCGAAAGCTCGGCAAAAACCAAAAGGAAGTTTTTCTCTGTGTTGACCTCTTCCGTAGATCCTCCAAAAGAACTTTAAATTAAATTTTGTTAATTCTACAGATAAAATAAACAATGAAACCCTCATAAAGTCTGTCAAAGAAATTCAGTGCTTAGAAGCTCATAAAGTGACTGGGCATCCAAAATTGAGTGAAAAAAAATCTATTCCTCCTCCTTTCTTCGGAATAATAATAATGATTATTCGGAGATCATGAGATGATATGTCATATATAGACATAAAACAACAATATCTCACCAGCACTCTCAACACGACACACAAGAATGACACAATTACGCAGAAAACAAACTTTGAGACCTGAAGATAATCTCAATAAAGATAGAAACATTGGCACGATAAAGAAAATGTTTTCCTAAAACCTACGCCACACTAGACCACATCTCATGATCTCTGAATAATTACTGACTAACGGTCTCTAATCACCACACAAAAATAATAATAATTACGCTAAAACAAGCACCTTTTATCATCAAGGTTCATGTTTGGAACAGATACAGTTTGAAACTGCTGAGGGTTGAGCAACCTAGGGACATGTTAAACCGACACTGGATGAGCCCGAATTTGCCGTAAAGAAGTTTGGCTTCATTACAAATGTGAACATTTTGCACGGCTCTCAATTCCTTGGTCATGTCAACAAAAACTGTTCAATGTGAACTTAACCTTAAAGTCGTTTAACATTTCTTGTAAAAATTAGATCCATTTGTACAAAAAAGGGCAAAGCAAAGATAACAGAATGCCATCTAACTGACCAGTTTACTCAGACAGGATGATCGGAAATTAATAAACTACAATAAAAAAAAAGAAACCATTTATGTATGGAGAATTAAAAGGAGGAACACTCCAGTCCCTTAGTAACATTTGCTAATTGAAATTAACACTAATGAAAATTTACATGCAATTAGAAACATGCATAAAATCTAAATCTGGATTTAGTTTACCTTTATCACTATGACAATCTTCCTTCTCTTCCTCCACACTTGCTTCTGCAATTTTTTTAAATATTTATATTATAACAAATTATTTAATACTAAATAAAAAAATAGCATGGTTGACAAACATACCTTTTTTAATACTAGGAATGTTTTGGTTTCTTTCTAATAGGACAATAGGATCCAAATTTAGTTTACTGGCCCTTGGCTCATCAGTGCAAACCTTCTTTATGACGACTGTCGCTGTATAACATTGCATGATATTTTTTATATAATACACACAACAGAATAATTAAGAAAAATACTGACCATTTGCATCTTTATTGACCGATGGTTGACGCAATTTCTCGTGTAAATTTTTACGAGCTAATTCTTGTATGCTGACACAGGCAACCTGCAACGGTGCATTTGAAACAGCATTTCTATAAAGGCTTATAAAATAAAATTGAATACCTCTGCTGCCTTTCGTTTCGGCTTGGAGGACTTGGGAGATTGGATGAACATAGAGGACTCCACTTGAAAATATTATTATTACAATTTTTTGTTTTTTAACTGTTTAATGGTCGAATACAAATAAAAAATAAACTAATTTACCTTTTACATTACATTTTGGCATAAAAGAGAAGTCCGGGATTTTTACATTTTTGCGAGATTTACCAGTCAGTTTTCCAAAAAAATTTATTCCCTCCTGTGACATAACATAACATTAAAGATTGTAACAAAAATAATTTTTAAAAATCTAAAAACCTGTATTTCATTCCATAGACATCTTTCTTCTTCTTCTATTTGGTTTTTGACTTCCTTCCAATTATCCAAAATATTTAAAATTTCTTTCAAACCTGAAAATTTCATGCAAACTATTAGTTGTGATTTAGTAACATCACAAAGAAAATCAAGTGATACTATTTATCATTAACAGTACATCTTGCTCAAACAAGATGGAAAAAAACACATTTGTATGTATATCAGGCCCTGCATACAAACTTTAGTGATGAGTGTGTCAATGCCTAAACCATTGTGGCCATCGACATAAAAAAATTGAAAAAAAAAAAAAAAAAAAACAATATAGGAACCATTGTATACCCTACCTGTTGTCATAAACCATTTTATTTTATTATTAACTGATGGCTCATCCCAGAATGTCTCATGTTTTTTATTTTATTATTAACTGATGGCTCATCCCAGAATGTCTCATGTTTTCAAATAAAGTAAACTTTTTCCTATTAATAGTATTCCCAGAGCACAGAATAAGAGAAAATCTGAAGAGGCAAAATCAGGCAAATGTGGTGAATGGGGCAGCAACATGTTTTCCCCCTTCCACTTATAAAAGACTTTTTCATTGAAAAAAACCATAAATGTAGTGCCCCAGAAGCACCTCTCTTAGTAAAGTTAATATAATAATGGTAGAGGGGAAATAAAATTGTCTTGTCCCATATGGCGGTGGGGTCCAGTTATTACAGGGAATTGGCCTGTATATTAAATTTTGTCATAGTCTGACCAAACTATGGCGGTCGTCATAGTGCAATCTCACAATTTAAATTTATGCCACACCAAACCATAATTGATCCCCATCTAAAGCTGACTGCATATTGTTCGCCCTGCCTTAATCCATACTTCCTGTCTGTTTGTACTGTACTTATCGGTGAACAAAAATGACCCCACAAACTGTCAATGTTGTGTAGCAAACTTTGCAATAGTTTTCTCTAGTTCTTCACTCACAAACCTTAAGAGAAATCTCACAATTTAAATTTATGCCACTTCAAACCACAAATGATCGTCATCCAAAACTGAACCATTGCATATTGTTCACCCAATCTTCTCCATACTCCTGTCCGTTTGTACTGTACTCATTGGAGAACAAAATATGACCCTGAATTTTATATAGCAAACTTTGCAACAAAGGCTTCCCTACTTCTCCACCCCAGGCCCTAAGAAGAAATCTCATAATTTAACTTTATTAAAATTTAATTCGCCAAACTTGTGACCCTGGGCAAAGACCAATTGAACGATATGCTCGAAAGGAGGGCATATGCATTGCGATATGAGGTGGATATGCATTGCGATTTTTGCAGTATTCATTATCGTTTCGATGCCACAACAACTGATCTGAAAGGCGCAGGGCGGTATTGCCAGCTGATGAAAATAAATCCCTTATTTGGCTAGTCAATTGCATCGTTAAGGCAATAAATTATATTCTGTGCATTTATGTACAAAACAATGTATATCCAGCCCGGTAATAATATTTTTTAATTACGTTAAATAATTATAATTAATATTTTGGATTCATTAATATTTAATATCAATAATTAATATTTTGGATTCATCTCTTTTTGCATCAATCACTAAACGCTTGTTTCTTGAAGTTTGATTGTATAGTCAAGTTTGCACAGTGCCTCCAGCATTTTAAGACCTGCAGTGTCACCTTAGAGCATGTACTGTGCACTCATATCAAGCCTGAACAGTTTATGAATCTACTTCATGTATGCAAGGAAGAGTAAATATCGCTCCAACCATAAATGCCATTCCAAACATAAAGCTGGGAACATTTACTCAACGCAACACAACGTGGCGCAAAGCAACCCAATGCAAATCCAATATTCCATAAGATTGCCTTCCGTGCACATTATGATGGTTTGGCGGAAAATTTATCAAAACAACGGAATAAAATTTATTGATAGAATGAATTTAACTAAAAATTCATTACATGGTTTTGCTATTAATAATGCATTAAGAGCAAAAGAGGCGTTGTGACTGTGATACTGATTTGTGATACACGATGTGTGACTGTCCATGATGTGTGCTTGATGTCGAACAGACCCTACACCCTACCACAACGAGACAAGGCATCCGGTTACTTCGTGTTGTGTTCCATCAGGTGTTCTCCACTTTAATGATCTCATCTAAAACAGGCCAATTGCATAATGTTCGCCCCATCTTTCACTGTACTTTTCATTCATATGCTTTGTTCTCACCCCGAAAACTGTCTATGTCGTATAGCAAACTTTGCAGTAAAGTTTTCTCTACTTCTTTACCCCACAGATCCTGAGAGATAATCTCAACATAATTTTGTACCCCTTACATCATTCTCCCAGAATGAAATACTGAGTGAAAAATGGTGGCACCATACAACATAACGTGGAGTATTTAATGGCAAAAAATAAACAAAGTAATAAATAAAAATAATAAGAACGTGAATTTGAGTAGTAGACGGGTTGATTACTCCTTAAAAAAACTGTCGATTTACAAAACCGAAGGCCGAAAACTGTCTAAAACAATTTCTTATTATTCTACAGAAATAGCAAAACCGTTTCCAACGGCAGTGAGACTGATTTTAATGTAAATCATTTCAAAGAAGTTCGCGCCACAATATTTGCCGATGCGGAGGGGTGTTGTCACAAGGCAATAAAGGAAAAAAACAATATGGAACAATTCTCTTACCCCGTTCGTCCATGGTGTTGAGAATGAGACGAATTAGCACGACTCGAAACTGAAAAAGTCGAGCTGAAAGTGAAAGGAAGACAAACGAAACTAACACAGTTTCAAGAACGAGCCGGTCTGAACTCAGTCAGTCAGTCCTCACCGCTCACTCATGTTTTAACAGGGACGGGAATTAATAGTAATACAACCTTTTCGATTATCGTGATATCAATTATCGATGTTTCATTCACTTGATTTTATCCAATTTTTTTTTTAAATTGTAAGTAAAGTCTAAATTTAATTTAAAGTAAATGCTCATATTTACGAATAAGAAGTAGAAAATAATGCTTGGAAGAAACGAATCTCTCCATAATTTTTTCCACCAACCATTGGAGTAACATTTTGTCGTAACGGAATATCGATAGAAACATTGTTCTCTCATTTCAAATTAACGGTTACAAAGAATATTACATATTTAAAATAAATTATAATACACATAGTTTTAATTCATCTCTATTATCTACATTAGATTATTATTGAATTGATAGTTTAATAATGGCTAAAAAAATGGAAAATTTTTGTATATTTAACAAAATTTAATATTAATGTTTGCATAGCAGCCCTTAAATTGAGCTTAATTAAGGTTTTTAGTTGAGATGAAAAACCTTAATTAATTGTAATGATTTAATTGGTCAAGCGGACCACGAAATTAGTGAATTTAATGCCTTAAATTAAGATTCATTACTAAGAAATTCACACCGAAGGGTTGTCATGGATGTGCTGATCCTAGGGTCCTTGCAGCCAAAGATCGTCGCTTTGAATCCCCCTCGTGACACTAATTTTTCTTCTCGAACGACTTTGCATAAAAACTGTAAATGATAATAAACTGCACAAGTGCAATTATGGAAGCAATGGGAACTTCTACTTCTCAATTTCTCCCCATGCATAAAACAAGATCGGCACAATTGTATTTTATGTTATTTAAACGAGGGCAAAGATCCTTTCAGTTTTATAGCGGTGTACCCAATATTAAGAGATTTATTGATTAAGTACTTTAATTGAAGTGTTTTAAGCAAATATTACATGATAAATGTATTGAATGGTGAAAACTGGGATTCATTACATGGCCATATTATGAAAGCAATTAAATATAGGAAAATAATTCATAAATCAATATAATTTGTGGAACAATAACATAGGCCATTCTCTGCGTTGAAATTCATTCTATAGCTGGGTATCAACTTCTTTTTGTTATAAAAAATCATTTAATTGTAGATGTAATTTAAGTTAAATTATTATTAATATTTATTGATTCATATTTATTAATGGCTGTATTGTGTGATAAAAAAAAAGAAATGTGTCGAATAGTGACGTTTTCAGATTTATCTGACACTTTATCCCTGAAATTGTTTTGACATCACAATTTAAATAAATACAAATAAAAACACAATTAAATACAGGAAATAATCTCTATAATACAATAATAAATAATAAATCAATATAACTTGTGATACAATAATATATCTTTCTTCATGTTGAAATTAATTTTATAGCCGGGTATCAACTTCTTTTTATTATAAAAAATCAGTACAATGTACATTTAATTTAAGATCAATTATTATTTATATTTATTGATTGATATAATACTCTACATCTAAATCTCTAAATCTACCTTTAATTTGAATTGTAATAAAAACATATTCCTTTCTCGATTAAATTAGAAATTTTTTACTCTGTGTCAAGATCTATAAAATTTATTGACTTTTTATGTTTTGATGCAGTAGATAAGTTGTTACTATTTTTTCATTAAAAGAATACTGCACCTCTCATATAATAAACCAAATTATACTATATATTTAGAAACAGGCTTAGCTCTGCTTTTCGTTTATGCTCTTTGTTTGCACTATAAGTATATTGGAAAAGTTTCAACATTACTGAATTTTAGATTGGCAAACATTTTAGCCAAACAGGTATGTAATTCGAAAGAATAAACCGTGATTCAAAGAGCTCATGAGTACTTGTGTTCGTCTGCAGCTTGGAGCTTTTGATTATTTAATTAAAGAAAAAGTAAATTTGTTATGGGAAAAAGTTCAGCAAGAATTTAAAAATAGTAAAAGGCAAAAAGCACAACAATCTCTTTTTCATAGTTTGTACTAAAATCTAAATTCAAAACTAGGGGGCAATCACTATATTTCTGATAACAATAGTTTTCATTTTACGAGTGCAATTTTTAAGCTTAGGGGAGAAATATTGGGTTTGTATTATAATGTCAACCGTTCTGAAGAAAGACGTTTATGTTCTATGTGTAATAGAAAGGAAATATAGGGCTTGTACCATTATGTGGTGGTATGCCCTATCTTACGAGATTTCAGGGTCAGATGGTTTGGCAAAAATACTTTAGAAAAAAAGGAATTGGTTGAACTCTTAAACAGTTCTGATTGGAATTGTCTACACCAATATCACGTTCAAGCTGGCAGACTTAGAGATTTTTTTAGTCAAACAGTTTAATTATTGATCTCATCACTTGTTACATATATATATATANAAATAACATTTATTTAATATAAACTATAACGTTACACAAGGATTCTATTTTAAAAAGTCTATATGGTTCAAAATCCCAAGTGGATCTGATGAGACGGGTCCTCATGCTTACAATACATTCTTTGAATTTGTCCAGGGAATTTGTCCAAATATCATTTGTTGCTGAATTAGAGGTTTTGTGCAAGCGTAACTTATATATGTACTACTAAGACTAATGCTAACGTATGCGGGAGCTGCATGGAGTTCACTAACTATGAAACTAATTTTATAAAGTTGCAAACAGCGCAAAATAAATTCCTAAGGTTTGCCATGGATGCCCTAGGTACACACCCATACACCTATATGTAAACTTCACAATGATACAAGTGTACCTTACAATAAGGCTAATATAAAATAAATTAGTGCTAAATTTTTCCTTAAAAATGTAATGAGCGAAAATTTAGTAATAAGAAAAATAGGACAGTACAGTGTTAATAATTATACACAAAATAATTAAGAACATATTAAATAAATTAAATAATTAATACTAAGTGTATCTCAGGGTTGGGTTTTTGTAGTCCAGTTTTCCCAACATTTAAGTTGTAAGACATTATATATTATTTATTTATTTAAACCGAGAGGTAAAGTATTATTATAGGTACTGTTGTTTATAACTTGTAAATATGTTTATGGAAAAAAAAGTGTGTGTGTGTGTGTGTGTGTGTGTGTGTGTGTAATGTATGTAACTTAATGGCTACAAGCCAACTTATACAGATGGACTCTGTCCATGTATTAGTACCCCTGAATAGAACTGAACTGTAACTTTGTATATATTAAATCCATTATATTTCGTGGTCCGATTGACCAAATAACTTCTTTCAATAAATTAATTTTTATGTAAGGTATTGGTTGAAATGAAATATAAATTTGTATATATTTAAATAAACACTTTATTATTATTGATTGATATTTATTAATGGCTGTATTATGTGTTAAAAAAAGAGAAATGTGTGGAATAGTGATGTTTTCAAATTTACATTTGACACTTTATCCCTGAAATTGTACTCACATCCAAAAATTTAGTTACAATATGTTGACGTCACTAATACAAAATTAAATCTTTAGACAATTTTCCAATATTGGGTAAAAAGTGAACGGCAGAAGGTGTATTATTTATTTTGTAAATCCGGTCGAAAATAATCTGCTCATTATTAAAAAAAAAAGAAAACTGGTTGAAATTGTTGGTCAGAAGGGGCGAAGCGGATATACGAGCGGATCGTGTCGGCTTTGGACGTGGCCACCATTCTCTCCGCCATTGTCCACGAGGGCTGAGCCAAGTATGGCTAAGAGAAAAGATGCTGAGAAGTCGGCCCAACAAGAGCAGAAACAGAACAACAAGAGCGAGAGCGCGGAGGAAGAGGAGCCGGTCAGTTTCGACGACCCGGAAGGATTCGTAGACAAGATCACCGATGAAGGTAAGACTCGGAATTTTTTTGTTACTCCACTCTCGCCCCGAGGCCGGTTTCCTCCCCGACCCCGTCGCACGCCACGTGCACTCGCATCTATTTTCAATAAAATAATCAATTTTATATTTATTTCCTTCTAAAATGCTTCTTGAAAAACAACATTTATTCCTCATTTTCTTTTCTAATAGGCTTTTAATATTTCATAACTTTCGGACTTGGCAATATTTTTTTTTACACTCAGTTTCGAGTAAATATAGCACTCTTCCTTCTAGCCTTCTTTCGCACCCTTTTTTATATTAAAAAACAAAAACAAAACTATTAATTTATACCCTTTAAAAACGCGAATATCCAGAAAGATTTGAGTTTTATTAGGTCAACACGTGCTGGTTAAATAAGCTAAACCCACTTGAAAATTTAAAGAATTGCTCCTAACTCTCTCAGAGGTTTGGGATTTTAAGTTAGATTTTAAATGATGTAATTGCATTACAAAAGTCACCACGTTGGAATTTTAACTTGATGAAATTTTAGGTCAAATTCTTCAAAAATATCTCACATATGTTGGTTGTTTTAGTTGAAATTTATTCAGGTGAAGTGGAGGAAATTAAGTTCATATCAGGCTTTTTTCATCATGCTCTGTTGTGAACTAGTGGTTTTTTTAGAGCTTGGTTTGGTCTCGACAGATTTTCATTTACCTGACTTGTACTCACTAGAGGACATATCTAGCTTTGAATTAAAATAGCTAAATGTTCAAAACATGTCGAATATGTAGTGGTTTTGTCATATTCTGAGGTGTTTTTTTTTTAGTGGGCTAAATCAGCTATCATATACCGAAAGCAGTTTGTCTGCTCTAATTTAGAGAAAAGGGTGGTGTGATTTATTAAGCCCATATGTGCTTCATAAATTAACCTAACCCACTAGAAGTTTGAAATGAAAGTATTTCTTCATTATCATTCAATTGTTCTAGATCATTTGGCAACTCAGTTATACTGTTTCTACTACAAGATAACGTTTGATGAGTGATTGAGCAATTCATTTTATTTAGCTTGGACAATCAGTTGTTCCGATCATTCACTCTAATTCGGCTGAATAAAAACAAGTAATACATTGCAAAAGCAATTTGGTCAGGTCATATTTAGAAGAAGGGATTGTGATTTATTAAGTAAATATGCTTAATCTTAGGTTACTTATAATAATTTAGTTACCTTAATAAGTTCATTAGAGTTCGTGGTCCGATTGACCAAATAACTTCTTTTCAATTAATAATCATTATGAAAGGTGTTGGTAGAGATAAAAAAGTCTGTGCACGAGTGGGATTCGAACCCATGACCTTAGGCTAAATATGCAGCTGCTCTACCACTTGAGCTATCGTGACTTTGATTAATAAGCCAGACCTTCAAAATAAAATGAAAGTATTTTGTCTAATACTTAAACGTTTTGAATCTTAGGGATTCGGGTGTTTTATTTTTGCTCAGACACATGATTTTTCTGTTCAGTTCGTTCCACTTCAGCCGAAGAGTAATGATGATGATGATGAGGATATTAGGAAGCGGGGTTTGTGCTCCCCAGATACTGCAGCCTTCTGGCTTGTACCGTCCTAGTTCCCTAGTCCAATGCAATCGACTCGTTCTTCTCAAAAGTTCTGTTGTTGCTACAATTTCATTCCCTAGGTTTTTTCTGTATGCTAGGTTTTGTCTCCATTGTGCCGTTGCTTTTCATTCAAAGATGATATGGGTGGCTGTCTCCAACCATTTCTTCACTTCTGCTTTTAGCATGTTTTGTCCTAACTGGATGACCCCATGCCAGTTGGCAGTTCTAGTAAAAATGGTGTGAAGGCTGAGAGAGAGGTCAGAAAGGTGGTACCTTCTCTAGTGGGTTTGTTGGAAATGACTACTTTTTATTTTATTTCTAATTCAGTTGTCTCCAAACAACCTGGTCTACTTATTGTTCTGATTTGATCTGTCAAAAGAAGACAATCTACGTAGTTTTCAGTGATTAAACTGGAAAAATCTGTTATGTTGAGACCAGTGATTTTGTTTAGTCCTTGGTCCAAGTCCCATCACTGTTTTAACAGTCAACATTTGAAAATAGTTTTTAGTTCGAAGTTTGCAAAAATTATTTTCTAATTCTCTGTAATTTGTTTAATTACCAATAGTTTTTTTTTCCAGAATTGCTTGGAGACATTCTTCAGGAAATTCCGAACCCGGTTACTGGCTGGGACTGTGTGATTGTGGTTGATGGAGTACCTCAAGTTGAAAAGGAACGACTTGAGAAACTGCAAGGAGTCATCCACAAAATATTCGCAAAATGCGGAACTATAGTGAATGAACATTACCCAAAAAATGATGATGGGGTTACCAAGGGTTACATATTCATCGAGTACAGCAACCCCCAAAGTGCAATTGATGCAGTAATTGCGACAGACAACCATAGGCTAGACAAATTACATATTTTCCAGGTCAACCTTTTCAGTGATTTTAAAAAGTATGAAGAGATCCCGGAGGAATGGTCCCCACCACCTCCTCAGCCCTACAAAGAGCACGGAGATCTTCATTACTACCTGCTCGAACCAGATGCATACGACCAGTTTTGCGTTATTTGCGATTCTGGTGAACCTGTTCAAATCTGGCTTAACACCATTCCACAACCAACTTTGTTGGAAGAGAGAGTTGTACGTAACGAGTCGACAGGGTCATTCGATATGTATGAAATTCATTATATTCACTTAATTTCAGAAATGGACAGAAAAATATGTCCAGTGGTCACCACTTGGTACATATTTGGCCACAATCCATGCTAAAGGTGTGGCAACATGGGGTGGGCCTTCATTTGAGCAAATAAGGAAATTTACACACTATGATGTTCAATTCATCGAATTTTCACCACGTGAAAAGTAAAGGAAACTTTATTTAAAATTGAATTTATAAATTTTCATTCTGCAATTTTTTTTTACAGTTATTTAGTGACTTATTCTCCAACTGCTCATGTAAGAGATCAAGGTAGACTGATAATCTGGGACATAAGAAGAGGAGATATAATGAGAAGTTTTGATCCCGAAGGTCCTGCAATATGGCCTGTTTTTAAATGGTCTAAGGATGATAAATATTTTGCTAAAATTGGAACTGACATCTTATCAATTTATGAGACTCCAGTAATTAAATTTTCTTTCCAACCTAATGCAGATTCGATTCCATTCGGGTGTTAAAATTGAATTTGATGAATTGTAGAGTTTTGGACTTCTTGACAAAAAAAGTGTCAAACTTCCTGGTATTAAAGATTTTGCTTGGTCTCCTACAGATAATATCCTTGCATACTGGGTATCTGAAGATGAAAATGTGCCTGCTAGGCTAGTTCTTATGGAAGTTCCAAGGTAATAAAATTAATAAGTTATTTTTGTCTATTTATTTATTTTATTGTTATTTCAATTGATCGTTTTATTTTTTAGCCGTAACGAAGTTAGAGCCAACAAACTATTTAATGTCTGTGACTGTAAAATTCATTGGCAGAAATCTGGTGATTACCTTTGTGTTAAGGTTGACAGATATTTAAAGATGAAAAAAGAAAAAGGAGAAGTGAAATACATTGTAAGATAGGAATATTTATTCTAAACAAATTTATAAAGACGTGGATTTTCAATGTTTTCATATCATTTCAGAATATGTACTGCAACTTTGAAATTTTTCACCTGAGAGAGAAAAACATCCCTGTCGACTCGGTCGAAATCAAAGAGACTATTCACGCTTTCGCATGGGAGCCGGTTGGTTCTACTTTTGCCATAATCCATGGCGACACCAATAACATTAGCGTTTCATTTTACGGCCTGAAAACAGGGCACAAACCTGTTTTACTGAGTAAGTGATAAATTATTGGAATTATTTGAATATACATTTATGTATTTTATGACATTAATGCCAGTTAGCATTTTAAATGATTAAGTTTTATTGTTTTAATTTATCATCCAAGACGAAAGTTGATATGGCAATGAGGAAACTTGAGACTTGAACATTTAATGATGCATATTGCTTAAGCTTTTCTGAGCCTATCTTTTTTTCCCTTATATCATAAAAACATGATAAATAAATAATATATGCTAAGCGAGGAAATAGAAAATATTTTATAGTCAAAATGAATCAAACTTATTTTAAGTAAAGTTTCATACATGCAATTTTTCACCACAAGAGAAAGATATATAAACGTATCCTACATAACAATCACTACCCTAAACACATAGCAGAATAATAAACAACTACATTTCAACACTAACGCCATCCTCTATCACTAATAACACTGTTCAATTTGGAATTACATCCCAATATCTGAATAAGACAGTAAAACGACATATCTATGATTGCAAAAAACCCAAACAAAATCATACAAACTGGCTACCCACCATTTTGAACACCAACACAATTTCGATTTCAACAATCCAAAAATACTACACACAGAACAAAAACATAAATGTAACTATTTAGAAATTGTTTACATCAACAAAGATAAATACAGCATCACTTACAGATCAGATACATGTAAACTCAGCCACAGCTACGCTAATATCATAAATCAAATTCAGTATCAATAACATACATATAACATACAAACATAATAAAACATATAAAACAATCATTACATTCCACATATCAAACAATTCTACATAGTCTAACCCCCTTTCCTCCTTTCTCTAATAATCCTATCTATAATAATTCTGAAAGGCCAACTAGGCCTAAACGACAAACCATTACCCTTTTTTTCCATTGTCGGTCCCTTTCACCTCAAAGAAACTCCTCATAGAGAAATGAATTTCTATCCCTACTTCCTTTCCCACTCCTTCAAAATCAAACAAATATAACCTAATAAACATTAATATCTCACTAACACTCAACACGACACACAATAGTGACACTTGTACACAGAAAACACTTGAGTTGTACAATAAACAAAATTTTTTTAAAACCTACACGACACCAGATCACATCTCATGATCTCTAAAATGCTAAATTGATTTATGGTTAAAAACAATGGCCAACTTGACACTGTTAATGCATGCACCAGGTAAGAAGGACATGATGTCACAACCATAACCAAGAGGTATTGGGTGTGTGCATGTTTTGTCGGTTTTCTGGAAAAAAAAGTCAAACAAAATATAATTTAAAAAAAAATCCAAAACAGCATTTCCTTTATTTTCTATAGCATACTGCCAATGTTCTGGTAGCAGAAACATCTCTTTTTGTAAAAGTCTAATGATTTGGACAAGTATAAATCTGTAAGTTTGATTTTCAGAACGTTTTAGTTCAAAAATTTTGTACTTTTTAAGTGGTTGTTTAGGAGGGGAGTAAGTAAAAATCAGATGGGGCGAGGTCTGGAGAGTATGGAGGGTGGAGTAACTGTTGCTGTCCAACATAGCGATTTTACTCTTGAGTTAGTGCAACTGTGTGAGCTGTCTGTCATAGTGAAACATCACATTATGTCTACAAGGGCTGGACATTTTTCCTTTTTCCTTCAGCGCTGCCCCAAGATGCCCTAGTGCCTTAGGTGTACTCTGCCATAAGGGTTTGGTTGTGTTGTAACAGTTAACCATAAATTATTCGTTGAATATCCCACCAAACAGACAATAGGACCTCACAAGGGTGCTCTCCTGCCCTTGCGTCAATGGCAGTATTTTACTCTTCTTGCAAACTGTCCTTTGGCAATTAACATTTTTGTCAAGGATCCACTTCTCACCCCCAGTAACCAACTAGGAAATAAACCCTTCTGATTTTATTCAGTTGTGAAATCAACAAGCCATGCGGTCTTCCTTGTTCCTTAGTTTCTCATCATAATAAAGAGTTCAGATTCTTCTTTATATTGTTGTGTAATATTCCTGAAATATCCCTCATTACACTGCTAATTTGTCCGTATTCTCTGATGTCATTTAAAGCCATCGCTTTTAAGCTCGTTAGGCCTACAAAAACAACTTTTTTTAATTGTCTCTCTACATTACGAAAACATCAGAACCACTGTTTACACACAAGTTAATTATCACCTTAAATTCCACATAATTTCGACAAAATCCACCGCTCTATGCCTGAGATCAATGCCCCTCAAATTAATTTTATCTGTTTCTGTGTTTACGCTTCGCAGTTTATTCTAGACTTATTATGGGGATCAACTACCCCTTTCTTAGTGATCTCTTTCAATAGGGCTTTTCCCACCCTAGAGATAACGGGGCTAGGAGGTAATGAAACATCATTGTCTGTATGATAGTGAATGTTGAAATTTGTGAGAGAAAAAAATGCACACGCCCAATATTAACATATACTTTGCTGCACCCAGCAGGTAATTGGGTGTTAAGCCCTTCTGTGTGACAGAAACCCTACAAAAACAAAAATCAAAACCATTGCCGTAATGAGTGTTAAAAATGAGCAGTCTTAACAAATAAAGCTAGATATGTAAGACCAGAAGTTTTCTAACTTGTGGTTTTGGTCAATTTAATAATGATTAAACTCATTTTCATTAAATACTCTATATCACAGTATGGTCTTAATGAAAATCAAATTCAGTTGTTACTGCCAAGCTTTTGACCTATTTTAAGGTCATCATCAGAGCAGTGAAAAACTTAATTATCTCAATTTGTAGGCATATTTAAGATGATTTTGTTCTGATAATACCTTAAAATAGGTCGAAAGCTTGGCAGTAACAACTGAATTGGTTTTTTCGTCAAGACCATAACCACCCGTAGAAAAGTGGTGGATATCACCCAACATATTTGATTAAAGTAGTAGAAATTAGGCAATGAGGAAAATGTGAGACTTGATCATTCCATGATGCATTGTGCTTAAGCTTTTCTGAGCCTAGTATTATTAGTATAGATGTCAATTTTTAAGGAAATACTGTGTATCAAGATACATAATACATTAAAAATAAATTTTTCTATAATAGTTTTGAAAAATAAGAAATGGTAAAAAGAAACAAAAAAGTGTTATAAATGTTGATAAAAGGAAATAATTTTAAATATTGACTGAGAATCTCGCCCTGAGGAAGGTGAAATAAAATACCGATAGCTTGGCATAGTTTCTACACACAACATTCATTGGGCCACATCCTCAGTCCCTCCAAATATTTTGTTTATTATAGTTTTAGCAAATATGTCAGACTTTTAATATTTTTTGAGTGTAAAAGAGATTATAATATTAAAATGAACAATTTTAAATTTTTTCCCCAGAAAAATGCGATAAGAAATCATGTAACACTCTCTTCTGGTCCCCTGCCGGTCAATTTATCGTTCTAGCTGACCTGAGGAATAACGGATCTCTCGAATTTATCGACACATCGGATTTCACGGTGATGAATACGTCTGATCATTACAGAGTATCTGATGTTGAATGGGACCCAACTGGGAGATACGTTGTCACCGCGACATCCAAATGGAAATCTAAGGTGCCTAAGCGAATTTATTTACAATATATATAATGTAATAAATAAATTTTGGTTACATATTCAATAAAAACTAAAAAAATAAAATATTATTTTTTTGATTATTTAAAGGATGATCTTGGTTATTGGATTTGGACATTCCAAGGGAGAATTCTATCAAGGAATAATATGCAGAAATTCTGGCAACTTCAGTGGAGGCCGAGACCTCCTACACTTTTATCGTCCGAACAACAGAAGGAAATCAAAAAGAACCTGAAGAAATATTCCGCTGCTTTTGAAAGCAAGGACAAAGTCAGGATGACAAGAGCGTCAAAGGTTAAGAAAACATTAATTTTTTTTATAAACTACGATATGTTTTAATGATGAAATTATATTATTTAACTTGATATAACCATGATTTTAACTGGTTTACTGAGACTGAATTAAAATTTTAATGACAACAGTTTGTCTTCATTATGAAATATATAATTTTAATTAGGTTTCTGTTTTTAATTCTAGGATTTGATAGAGAAGAGAGCAGCAGCCATGAAAAAGTTCGAGGATTATAGGCAATCGGTTCAAAAAATATGGGAAGCTCAAAAAGAAAAACGATTGAAACTTAGAAACAGTGAGTTTTTATTTTCTAATTACTTTTGTTATTGCAGAGTAATTGTTTATTTTGTGCCCTTTCCAGATGTTGACACCGATGACTTAAATGCCGACTTACAAAATGCTGAAGAAGAAGTTATTGAATTCCTCGTTAAGCAAGAAATAATCACTCTTGAGTAACACGTAGGTTTTTAATTTATATATATTTTTAATTACTGTGCAGTTTAATAATTTATTTAATCGATTTTAGTTGGAGGATCTGAGTTAAATAAAAACCTTTGAGGGAAGAATTGTTTTTAAACTTGTCTTATCTCTCAGAGGGTATACACTTTTTCTGCTTTACATCAATTTTGTGGACACTTAATCAATCAGCAGAGTAGCGAGGGGGAAAAAAATTATAACATTTATTGCGATTAACGATGACTGAAAAAACCCAAGAGGATCGAGGGACAGGGAGTGGTTACAGCAAACGAAAAATTCCAAAACCAAAAAATACCTTTCAAACCAACGATATCAAGAACAAACCCATAGACGTCAACAAGTTATTGGCCAAGCATAAAACATATGACATTTTTCACTGCGTAGGGAGGGAATTCCATCATGTGCATTACAGGATAGACCTGTTTTGTGATGTATTAATATTGTTTTTCTTTATTTTTCTTATTTAAAAAGAAAAAATGTTTGATACATGAGACTATGTTTTTATACACATCCCCTTTAACTTGAGAACCTAATTTTCAGCAGTATTTTTTCTCTGTAATTTCAAAATTTATAATGCAGGAAATAATTTGTTTTACACTCAAGCTTACTCATATGACTTTCGTCTTGCCATTTAAAAATGGCTGTGATCATATTTTCATTATATTTTTTTAATTCAGTGAATAGTTGTATAGATTGTTATGTAATTTTTTCTAACTTATAATAAATATATACGTATAAAAAAAGGATGCTGTGCTATACTGTTTGTGCTAATGTTTTGTCGTATCGATTTTAGTTATTTTCTTTTAAATATTGAAAAATAATACAGGGGCAGTGGGTTTTTTAATAAGACTATTTAGGGTGGATGAACATTACACCGAATGTAATGGGGGTTGAAAGCTTGGCAATAGAACAATCTGCCTTCCTTTCTTGGTCTTTTTTTTTTCCTATTATAAATGATGTTATCGCTATTTGTTAATTTTTGTAAGAGGACAATCTTAATGCCACTTCGAGGCCAATAAGACAAAATGTGTTCTGTCGTTGAAAGCTGCGCCATACACAAACATTACACAATGTTCTATATTATTTTGAAGCTATGTATGATTACATTAGGAATTATGTTGTGTTTGTACTACATAGATAAACTTGTAAATTGTACACTGCATATAATTAATACAACCATCATCTACAACATATACACTAGATATTTATATTCACAATAAAATGTACTGACAGGCAAAAAATTCTGATCACTTGATTTAAAAAAAATTTGGTCTTAATTTTTTTTTTAAACCGTTTATACTGTTCTTTACTGTTTATGGTGTTTTTTGTTTCAACAAGAAAAAATCTAAATTGGTTGGGAAAACTTTTTAAATTTAATTTTTACGAGGGTTCGTAACAGCTGAGGTCATATCGACCCTCGTGGAGCCAGTATTTTTTTTCTGCTTTCCCTACGTATTCATGCTAATGAATACATTCAGTCTCAATATACACTAAGAATCAAGGCGAGCTATAAAGCATTTTATGCAGTAAATAAAGAAATACATTTATTCCAATAAATAAATAACATTATCAATGTACAAAGATCTTTATTTAGTTAATATTTAGCCCACTGGAAACAGGTTCGTATTGACCAAACAGTGGTAGTTATCTCGGTCCCCGGACTAATTGGTATGGACGGTAATGAAAATGCAGCTGAGGCCTTCCAACCTACGTTCTCAACATCCGTTGATCCCGCGGCTCACTAAAAATGTAACGGAGAACATTATTAAAAGAAAGTGGCACCGTTGGTGCGCTGGAAGGGCAGACACATCAAGAGCATTGTTGATAGGTGAATAGTAGAGGATTAGATAGGCCACCTGAGATTGACAGACACTTTTAAGATAAAGCCTGTGTACGTGTCTGGCATGTAGAGAATGGTCACTTTATTGAAAGGTGCTGTTCCTTGGCTAATTTTAGAGGAATGACATTCGATATTTGAATTATGCTGAAGTATGGCGAGTAATCAAGTTCTCTGTTATGATTTTTTGAGGAAACAAGTTTTTTTAAATTAATATGGTACTGAAGTTGTGTGCCCTTAATGAATGTTGTATTGGCTTAAATGTTTAGTCCGAGAGGGCCAATAGTGGATTGTTGTGAGTATGCCATTGACACTGAATTAGATTTGTTATATAATAGGTGTTTAGGATGTTGAAAAATTGAGTGCTTCACAATGAGTGATTGGTATGTAAATAGAAAAAAAATGTATTGAAGAGTGAGTGAGAGTGTTAAAGGGTTTGTATAGAATGACTGCATTGGGAGTGTAATGAAGCTGTTGATTAGCCCCCTGCAACCAAACCTCGGTGGCTGAATGGATAAGACCAAAGTCTGACCTGATACCTGGGGTGGGTGATTTATTAGGCATGCTGGTAATTTTTTGTAAATGACACAAAAGCTGGAATTGCTGGTGGGTTATGAGTCATATGTTCAGCAATTTAGCCACTTGCTGAGTGAGGGGAGAACTATGCTTCTATCTCTCTCTCCCTGCAAGTATTTAATATATTTTGTGAAAATAATCAAGCAATAAGTCATCTTTGGATAATAAAAAAAGTATATTAAACAATCACACACTGGTGAGTTAATCAAAACAATGCCTTTTTTCAGAATTTTAATTTAATCATGACAAGACATTTAATATTTTGGATATTAAAATGAGTTGTAGTTTATTAATTTTATTTTACATGTCAAAACAATATTTCATTTACTTGTAAAAAAACAAGAACACAAAAACACAATCTATTTTAATTAGAGCTCTAAGTCGCTAATTTAATACACAATAAACCAACTTTACTACAAATGATAAGAAGTAATACTAATTTTTTTAATATGTCAATATTAATTGTAATAGTCAAATTAAATAGTAAATAAATTTTTAAAGCCGATATTTCTTCAAAAAGAAAACTCGTTATATTTTCAAACTCTAGCAACTACATATATTTGCTTTTAAATTATAGTATTGACTTTGGCCTATCAAATTATTTTAATCGTATAAATAAATATTTTAATATACATTTACCAAAAAATTTCAGTTAGTAATTTTTTTCTCCAGAAAAAGGTTAGGCAAGACCGAAGGCTCATAATTTGTACAATGTTTTTCTTTACTTTTTCAACTTGGGGTATATATATATATATATATATATATAAAATATCTACAAGATCACTGGTAAAACTAGCAAAAAATATACAAAGTACAATGAATACTTTAAAATAAAAAATTAGACACTATTTAAAGCTTTATAGGAAATTAATATTACATTTGGAAATTTTGAAAATAATTAAACAAAAACTTGATTGAAAGGTAATTTTAAATTAAAAATGACACAATAAAAAGGTGGGAAATTTTCAGTTTAGAACTCAAAACTGGTTTAACAAAATGAAAAATTAAAATGAGATAAAAAATCCTTTTATAAATGATAAGCAAAACAGTTAATTACAAAATAAACTAACTTTGGCCGAGAGGCTATTAGAGTTCTGTCGTTATTTCGTCTTGAGGTCTGAACCCCAGAGAAACAAAATCGTCCAGATGAGACTGAACCCTCCAATCGATGAACTCGTCAGAAGTTCTCTTTCTCGTGTTGTAATTTGAGTCAAAGCCAGTGCTGGACGATACACCCGAAAAATGGCTCGGTTCCGTTCTCAAAAAATTTACAAGTTCCGTTACCTATCAAAAGGATAAATGAATGAATAAAGGCAAAAAAGATTTTAATATAATAAAAAAAAGTAATAATAATACTTGGTTGTTATGATGTTTCTTGTAACGGTTCAATATCCTGTGTGCCCAATTGAACAGAGTTTCCCAATCTGGCGGCGGTGTGGTCAATTGGTTCTCAGGTTTATTTAACAGTATCAATATCCTCGATAGATCTTTTAACACTGGCCTTTGTAAAATAAATAAAATTGTAAAGTGAAAAAAAACTTGTAAAAAAGTTGAACTGTAACAGTACTTGTAAGGTTGAAGTGCAGAATAGCTGCTTAACGATCGAACTTGACTCCTGGTTTCATTAAGCATATCCAAGAAGACAGGAGCTTCACTTCTCAGTTCTCTGATTTCTTTAAGGTACTCCATAGAGTCTCTTTCACTTTCTTCACTTCCTATTTTATCAATCAAATACTTTTTTTTTACAAATGAAAATAAAATAAAAACTGGGATTGTAAATTTTTGTTGCTAAATGTACAGCATTATTACATAATTACAAGGCTGACCATTCATTAAAACCAGAACAAATCAGGATTGATTTTTAGGTCAATTATTAAATACCACTTTTACCTTGAGTAGAATGTGATAAAGAGGGTGGATGTTTTCCGACCTTCCTCGAATACTTGCAATAAAGGCCAAATGCTAAAGCGGAAACTATACATAGTACGATTCCCAATGACGCCCCCATAGCCTCCCCCGACAGACCTTTCGATTTCAGTCTCTCTAAAATTCAGACAAAATTGTAAATGTTTGAAAAAAAAAGTGTCAGTTTTTGTCAGTACCTTGGCATATGGTCGACATGTAATCGACTAGAGACGACCACGATGAATCGTAGCCAGGGGGGCAAACGTCTCTTTCAGGAGAGCACTCTTTGTTTCTCAACACTAGTTGACTACATTTTGTACAATGAGTCAAGTTGATTCCATCACATTTAAGGCAACTCACAACTCCTCTACATTCACCTGTTGAAATTAACAATAATTTAAAAAAAGTTATTGGCTTACCTTCAGCAGCCCAAATGGGCAAATTCCTGTTAAGTACTCTAAAAACCAAAGCATTTCTCCCAATAACTTTAATTAAATGAAGGCATCTTTCGGCTAAAGTGGAGTGGGTTTCATTATTGCTATATATACCGAGTTTAAGAAATGTAAGTGTTTGAGATATGCCTGTGGCCTAGTCCAATACAGCAACCTGTGGTGTTAAGGGTGAATATGCTTAATTCCCTGCATATTGCAGATTAAATTTAAATTCCCCAAGGCTGAGCTCTAACGTAAAAATTGTGTTTGTACAACATTAAAGTAGTTTAGACTGATTGCCTTTGTGGCGACCAACATACAATTATTAAACACCACACCTAAATTAGTTCACTTGAATAGTATGTATCTGCCATAATTTAAGCATAACAGGTAGTTTTGTTTTTATTGTTTTAATATTTTTGTTTTGTTTAATTTTTTGTAATGATTTATGTACTTTAAGCTTGTCTAACTAATTCTTGCGTTGTTTCATCAAATCGTTCCTTGGTCTTCCAGATTGTTTTAAATTATTTGTAGAACCAGTCGAGAACTTTTCTAAAAGATGTTGTACATTAGATGAATGTACGGTGTGCATGTACATTCAGTTATATGTACAATTTATTTTGTAAAGGGCTCTTGCTCGTAAAATGAATAATTCTAAGCTTCAAAATACTTTATGTCCCTAGAATTTTCCTCTTTGTTTATTTCAATTCCTTTCATGTTTAAGAGAATGTTCCATTTTCTTCTTCTTCTTCTTGCCTATTTGTATGAGGATGGCAAAACCTGAAACTCATCTTACAAACCAAAATAGTGAAGATAGGCTGACTAAAATACAGGTCTCATCAACCTTCACACCATAAGAACTACACACACACAAAATATCGTGAGAATTTCTCATGTGGGTGTTGAACGTGTAGTTTGATCTTTATCATAGTTTTCCTATCCTCACCAAAAAAGTCTGATATACCAAAACAGACAAGATAGATTGGCTATAATACAGAGTTCATTCACCTTAACATGAAAAGTGCTAAAAACACAGTAAATATTGTGAAATTTCCTGATGTGATCTTTCTATCCTCACTGAGTTGGTTTGTAAGACACATTTCGATTTCTTCTCATCTTCAATGTTGGGCCTAATCGTACTGCAAAATTGGATTATATCAATCTTCTTCAAATGCCCATTCAGTCCACAGTGTCCTGTCAAAAATACTGTTAGGTTAAGTTTTTCCTGCTTCCTTTAATGCATTCTATTGCTTCTTTCCATCTCAAACTCACTAGAAGGTGGTTGGATTGTTTGCATCCAATGAGTGTATTCCTCAGTATCCTTTTTTTAAATTTTATTTTGTCGTTTTGTCTAAGATACTCACGGATAGTGTGAATCCCTAGGCCACAGAAGGGCTCAGGAACTATCAGCAGTTTAGTAGCCCCTTTTCTCCCAAGGGCTCTGCATCCTAGCTTGGTCGGTCTGTCCGAGAGTAAAATACAGGGTCCACCTTCACATGAAAAGTGCCAAAAACACAATATTGTGAGATTTCCTACTAAGGTCTGTTAGACTATTAGAATACGTCCAGCACTGAAAATGGCAGAAGCGGAAATGCATCTCACATACCAAAAAGACCCAAACACAATAAATACAGTGAGATTTCCTCCTGTGGTTTTTCTATCCTCACTGGGTTGGTCTGTGATACCATCCTCACATGAATACATCCAGCACTGAAGATCGCAAAAGCTGAAGTGCATCTCACAGACTAAAACAGCCAAGATAGACTGACCGTCAAACATGGTTCATTACTCTTCACACCAAAAAACCCACACACAAAATTGTGATTCCCTCCTATGGTTAATTAGACTACAGTCTACGACAACTATGCCTGTGATCTGTCAGAATCATTTCGGCTTCTTGCCGTCCTGACATGAATACATCTAGCACAGAAAATGGCAAAAGCCAAAATGCATCTCACAGACCAAAACAGCCAACGCAGGCTAAACGTTAAACAACGTTCATTATTTTTCACATCAAAAAAGCCAAACACACAATAAATATGGTGAGATTTCCTCCTGTGGCCTGTGGATGATGAACCTGTAATTTTATCTTTACCTACCCTCAACGTGACATGTCTGACAGACCTAGCAAGGCAGATCGAGATGATTAGTAAAGATCAATTCACCATAAATAGTTAGTATACAATTTTTTAAAATTATAATATTGTCTTTCTAAATGTCCTATATAGCAGCGTTAAAAGCTGTAGATTTTAAAATCAAATAACAGAAATGCTTTTTTATGTACAATAATTAAACGCCACACCTAAACTAATTAACTTGAATAGTATGTATCCTCTGATTATTTAAGCACAAAATATTTTATTATTCCTATATTTTTGTGTTTAAATATTGTTTTGTATAGTGTTTTTTCATAACGAGGGCAATTTTTTTTATTGTATAATTTAAACATTTTGTCCTCGTTTTTGCTAATTATTGAATATTTTAAGTACTTAAAGTAGGCCAATAATAATTTTTTTTATTTCGAAAAGACTCCTTTGTCTTTTTAAAAATGCGAATAACAGTTTTTAAGTGGAAAAGTGGGCTAGAGTACGGATTAACAGACCGACTGACCCAATTAATTAATATGCGAAAGTCTAGCTGTAAATGTTTTGAAAAGATGAAAGAAAGAAAAATTGAGGATAGAAATACCTGTTTTGACAGCGGTGCTGTACTCAAAAGAGATAAAAATAGAAATGATTAAATAATACAGGGACCAGACCCTCAGCGTTTTCCCCATTCTCTTGAATCATTTTATTCCGTTGTTGTTGTTGTGCTGATACGAGTTGCAGGCTCGGTCGCTTTGTCCTGGACACCTGTTGAACCTGGGACGGGTGCCGTGTTCATGTCCGTCGTGGGTTCACGGCCGACGAACGTGCTCTGGGTCCGGACTCCGGATGCGAAGGGGCGAGAGAAAAGAGAAGCGAAAAAAAATTCTCAGCATTTGCTGAACATCTGCCCGTATTTACTTCCCACTGTCATCCACGCCCTACCAATAAACCGTCATCAAAAACAACGGAGGATCCAACTTCCTGCAGACAGATCGCGTTATGTACAATGAAGAGGACGGGGTGGGAGTCGAGTACGTGACTGCCTTTTTACAATCAACCGGATATAGTACAATTAATAATAATAATGACTTATTTTACGGAATTAATTCAATTTACAAAAAATGTTTAAATATATACATATACAATATAAAAAATATACCAATATAAAAGCAAAAATAAGGAAACAAAGAAAAAAACTCCAGTATTAAACAAAATTTAAACCAAGAAAACAACTTAAAAGAATATTTCATATACCTAAAATATATACCTAAAAAAGATTACATTAATCATTGTTATTTCACATTTTTAAATTGTCATTGTAATTTAATAGAACATATTTTAAAATATTATACAAATAATATTAGAAAACAATTACATAAAAATATGTTGATTAAGTAAGCAAAAATAAGTGTATTGTACATATTTAAATGTATTATATTCTATAAATCCTATTCCTAAATTCTATAAAAATCTTCTAGGCTGAAGAAAAACATGATGAGGTGAGAGAGTTAAAAATGTGGGTTATGTATTTTAAAGTATCTGGAAGGGGAAAAAAATATGAGTTTAATAGAAATAAAATTGGAACCTGAAGCATTAGATTTAATTGAAAAGTAGGCTTCTAAAATATTTTCATGAGTAATATTTGAAAAACTAAAAGGCAATTTACAATGATACCATCCCTAACCATCCCTAACTTTTTTTTTTTTTTTTTTTTGAGGGGCGCTTCAACAAGGGTCTTGTTAACGCAGCATTTTTTATAGAATTACCCTGTGGGAAGAAGATCGAGGAACCAGCACACCAGAAGGGCGCACGTACACAACAATGCAACAATGCCCCAGCATGCCCAACCCCACGACCCGCCACAGGGAGTCCCATGTTACACATTGCTCGTTTATGAAATGGAGTTTAAATTACACTATTTATTAAACAATATGTAAAGAAAAAAATAGCTTAAAAGAATGTTTCATACAAATATATCTAAAAAAAGATCACATTTATCATTGTTATTTTAAATTGTCATTATAAAATAATATAACATATTTATTGTACAAATAATATTAGAAAACAATTACATAAAATATGTTGATTAAGAAAGTAAAAATAGGAGTATTTGTGCATATTTAGATGAATTATATTCAGTAAAAAAATTTAATTAGAAATAATATAAGTTAAATATGGAAAAATGTATGTATACATATACATAATATAAAAATTGCTACATATACAAAAATTACTTCTACAACCATTTATTTAACATTCTCTGTTGGTTGAAATCAGGGAGAATACTGCATGATGTGGAATTTAATGGTCAATTTAAACAAATCTAAAATCTTAGTGTTTCGGAAAGGGGGGAAGTTGGCACAAAAGAAAAATTGGATATATGCAGAAAAAATGTGGTTTTTTTTCGAGCAGTGGAAACCCTGCTATAAAAGAATATTTATTTATTTTAATCGTACAAATAAAGCTTTAAGCCCCCTTACATGTACACATATTAGAAATAAATTGTTTTATAAACATAGTAAAATAAGTAAAATAATAATAACAACAATAATAATAAGCCATTTAATAAAATATACAAAACAATAATGACAATCCATATTTGCTTAGTGGTCATAATTGACCGTATTAATTATTCCAATTTATTATTCTTTTTACCTAAGGTTTTTGGTTGAGTTGAAAAATCAGTGTAACGAGTGGGATTCGAACCCACAACCTTCAGCTGAATACATCGCTGGTCTAATCACTTTAGCTATCATGACTTTGATCCCCTAAAATATGATCGAATAATGACAATAATATATTCGTTAAAATATTAATTATTTATACTCGAATTATGAAACCACATCACAAAAGAAAAGCAGAAAGAGGAAAAAGGAAAAGGGAAAAGGAAAGGGAAGAGGGAAATAAAGGAGATGATTCATGTCGTTTTTAAAAATTCATATACCATGGGCTTGAAACAAACCTGCTAGGAAGCAGAAAGTACTGTTACGTAGAAGGATAAGGCTAAAGGTTTAGAAGAGTGTTGAAGGTTTGGGATATGATTTGTGAGTCTGGATAAGGAATGAGAAAAACGTTGATAGATATTGAGGATATTTATTTGACTTAATTTTAAATATATTTATTAAAACTCTATGTTTATAAGTGCTTAGAATGCTAAGGTTGCTGAAAATATTAATATAGGAAGAAATCCCTTGGTTTAAGATCATAACAGGAATGATAAGCAATTTGAAGGCGGTGAACAGATTGAGATTCGAAGGAAACTGAAAAAACAGCACTACACTAAGAGAATAAAGGAATTTTTAGAGATTTAATAAGGAGAACTCTAGTTTTCTGTGGAGTGAAACAGCTAAGGTGTCAAAGAGAATGGAGGCTTGAGTAGATCTTTTTAATAATAAAGCTCACACAGTTATGCCATGCAAGCTTGGAGTTAAAAATAACACTGAGATTTTTAACTTTCGGTAAAAAATTAGTAGGGAAGCTGTTGATATGAGGAGGGGTAGGCAATGAATACTAATGGGTTTATTGGAAATTAATAAGGTTGGATTTGTTAAGATTTAAAAGAATACCGTTATTTCTTGCAGTTAGTTGAGAGAATGAAGATCACAGTTGAGCAGATTCAAAGATGTTGCTTGTAGGACATTGATTGCAAAGCTGAATGATATCAGTATAAAGATGAATTTGGGAGAAATTAAGACCTAATAAATGATCATTTAGAAACATGGAAAAGAGTAAATGTCCAAGAACAGAGCCTTGGGATTCACCAGCTGAAATTGAGAGATAGGAGATAGAATTTGAATCTTTAACTTTCTGAATTCTGTCAGATAAATAGGAGGAAATGAGATTAGTACCAGTAGAAAAAAATCTAAAAAGATGTGTCACTTTCTAAATAAGCAAATTATGATTTATGGAACCAAATGTATTGAAAAAATCAAGTAGAACAACAGTGGTACACCTCATCAATGCTTAGGTGAACATCATCTCAGATTGAAAAGGGGATATAAAGGCATAGTCAATAAATAAGGAAATTTGTTTAAATAAATTTTTTCTCAAATGTTTGGATTGTGATCGGGGAATACTAATAGGGCGATAGTCACTAGCAAGTGTGGATTTAGGTCTCTTAGCTGAACGAAAACACGATTAGGTGAGATAAAAGTTAAAAATGTGAGTTTTGTATTTTGAAGTAACAGGACGGGAAAAAAATTATGAGTTTAATAGAAATCAGATCAGAACCTGTAGCATTATATTTAATTGAAAGGATGACCAAAAATATTTTCATGATCAATATTTGAAAAACTAAAGGAGAATTTACGGTGATATAAATGAGCAGCGAGTAGAGTTTAATTAAATTAAACAATATGTAAAATAAAAATATAGCTTAAAAGAATGTTTCATATAAATATACACAAAAAAGATCACGCTTCACATCAATCACATATCATTATTTTAAATTGTCATTGTAAAACAATATAACATTTTCAAATATTATACAAATAATATTAGAAAACAATTACATAGAAATATGTTGGTTAAGTAAGAAAAAGTAAGATATGTGTATTTGAAATTGTTGTTCAATTTCAAAAGAAACAAATGTGACCACAAAAATAGCACCACACTTTATGATCTGAAGAGGCCTGAATATAGGTCGAAATGTCTGCAAACAAAAAAGAAGAAAAATGTGTTTTTCTATATTACTTTATTCTGACTGCTTCTCATGATTTCAACAAATTATTGAACAATCGGTCACTAAAAAACACACATTTCCAGTGAGTCCAGATTCAACTGCAAAATTATACATAAAATAATTAAATTTAGAAACAACTAAAAATTATACACCTCAAGATGCAAACAGGTCCTTTGCACTTCAAAACTGAAATTGCATCAAGCCTAATGACCATGCCTGAGTATAGATTACCAAAAATTGTTTCTATGGAAACCACCAAGAAAAATTGTTCATGGTTCACTACAGTAAACAAGTTAATGCAGAATTATGGCCTGGACTTCTTATCCATTTTATTATCTACATTGGTATATTATGTATATTATATGTTTTTTCTGATTATTTTATACGTTTCTGTCTTTAAGCTCTTATTTACATTTATAAATGTCTCATTTAACACGTGGCTTTAAAATGGCTCCTTCATCTAAGGATTCATAATCTTAAGCATATAATAAATAAATAGATAAAATATTTTTATATATTACTATTGCTATTGTAATTAATATGCTAAAAGATCGAAGATCTGGGTAATAAAGTAAAATGGAAGAATTACAAAAATTAGCTGTGTATCATTGGCACAGAATGGCAGACTACTGGAAAAAGTTGGAAAAGTTGGGAGAAGATTTTGCTCAATGGGCCTGGTATCAAATTCATTCGCTTTGTACAATTATTAATTTTATTTATTTCTACAAGAAGAGGACAACTTGTACACTGCATTTCTTTGTTATTTATTCATTTGATTATACAACATTTACCACAGAAATAATTTATTTTATTGCAGTTCAAACAGATCAAATGGGCCAAAACTGAACAGTCAAGAGTATAAAAAACATTCATAAAAATTCAGAATATAAAAATATAACATTAGATAAAAAGATGAAAGTACAATTAGATAATAACTGCAATAGATAACAATAAAACTTGTGGCCAAGGAAAAAACATACAAAATACAAAAAATAAATAAATAAAAATTAATAGGGCTCGGTGAATTTTAATGCCAGTAGCATCTTCTTTATATCCTTCTTTTTGAAAACTGACAAGTCGTGAGAGAAAGGGTCTGTGACATCTCCATATCAATTAATGTGCTGAACTATCGGGAAAGGCTAGATTCCGACTCATAATTCATCCCATGTTGGGGGATATAGAAAAGTTCACAGGAGTGGAGTCGGTACTAGGGGATCCTAATATCAATGCAGGAAAAGATCTCCGGGGAATCAATAGTTAAGTACCTTCCATAAGAACAAGACCGAAGCCAAAATTCTTCTGTTTTCCAGAGTCTAGTCCGATCAAATTCAATCTTTCCGTATAAGCTCACTACTGTCATGTATATTCATTTTGAACAGCAAAATATTTAGATATCCTTCTTTGTACCCTCTCAATCATGAACTGCTATTTGATCCAGCCAAACAAATAATACTTGCACCCAGCAAATATCAACGAACAAGGGATTAGTAGAGGATTTTTATGGCAAATTCATTATTAAAATCTACTGTCTGCCATTCAATGAAGCTCAAGTTTTTATAAAAATGGTTTATGTTTGAATAGATTCAAAGAGCTCAGGAAAATCCATTTATTTTGTACCATTATTAATTTTATATATTTCTACAAGAAGAAGGCAACTGTTTATTTTACTGTATTTATTTGTTTATTTATTAATTTAATTATGCAGCAGCATTTGACAGCAATAATTTATACACAATTTCTACATTGTTGTACATTTCTAATTTTTTTGGCAACCTTTTATTTAAATATATTTATAATAAAAAAATCAAAAATCTAAATTTAGTATATATTCTTCTTTATATCTGTACGGTGTATTTTTGCATGAAGACAACTGTTCATTTTATTACATAACTAAATTATCATACAATCAAATGTATTGTAGAGCCTCATAAAAAGCTTTTTATTATGATTTATGGTTTGGTCATTTCTGATTGATTTGGTCTTATCCCCAGACACATCTGACAGACCAACATGATCGGTAATGACCAAACTACAGGTTCATCATCCTGCAGACCCCATGGAGAAATCCCACAATTATAATTATAAACGGATTTGTTCTTGAGCATAGTTATTCATGTAGGTCATTATTACGATGTACTTGTTTTATTAGTGCTATTCAATTTATAGTGGGAAAAAGGAATCGGTCTTGTAATGGCATCGTATTAATTGCACTTCTGCATAGTTGCTCGGTTACTGACTGCACCTGCTTATTCACTGGAATGATAGATTAAAAAGCAAAAAGTGTAAAAAATGGTTTTTATATACTTGTTTCGAACCAATTTGCTTTTTTACGATCTCCGTCAAAGACTCCCCGCCCCCCGCCAGCGTTACCGTCGAGGTCGACCTCACGGCGGCAGCCCCACTCCACGGCGGCTACTGCAGCTCTGTGCTCCGGGCCGTGCTGCCACCTGGTCGCGGAGGAAGGACGCCGATCCGCAGGACGAAGAGGGCCGCCAGTCGCCAGGAGCCAGGAGCCAAGAGCAAGGATCGAGAAGCCTGCCAGGGTCGATTTAGCCGCGGCTCAGTCGAAATTCCGTCGCGTGTGATTCGTCGGGAGTGAAGTGAAGACCTTTTTTTTACGGATCGCCTCCCCTTTTTCAATCCGTCCTCATATTCTGCAGCTGGAATTTGTCTTCTTTTCAACCGGGGCCCGTTCTACTTCTAATCGCATGGTAAAGAATTTTATCTATTTATTTTATTCACTCAGTAAATCTCATTTCTGGCATTTACTATCCTGCAACAATACTCCAATTGGTAATCTTTTGGCACAGGTGAAAAAATTTAATTTCAGCATAAAACCTTTCTTCATTAGATAGTTGAACAATTCGTTTTGTATTTCAATTTATTATTATAATTGCAGGTGCGCACAAATACACTTTAACTACCTCTTCTACATACCCATTTTATTTTGTTTTTATACATACACCCACTCACAAAATTATGAATTCACTTACATATACATTCACATATATCTAAGGTTTTATTTACAAAAGAATTTATATTCAGTTTTATAAAAAAAACCTTAAATAAACACAAAGTTAATATTTTGCTCTCAAATAATATATTTTCAATTAACTGGCCCGACAGGCTTTTTGAATTTAGGGGAGAACTTTTCCGGTTCCGATCTGAGGAATGCGTACGAGCCTGATTATTATTTTTCGTCAAATACTTTACATATGTTATTGTGCAATGTATACGTTTGTTTTATATTTATATTTGTGAAAATATGAACACTTATTATATATATTATTATAACGGAGCCTCTTATATTATGTGTGTTTGTTTGTGTTTATGTTTATATGCGCATGTAAATGTGGGTAGATGTAGATCTTGTCGGGGGTGTAATACACTGCGCCCTTAAGAGCAATTGTATCCCTCGTTGTGTGCCTATAACGGTGAGTCCTATCTCATCACGAAACTTGATTAGTAGGCCCGGTTTCAGTGGTTGAATTTCTTCTTCAGTCTCATTGTACGTCCCAGGACACTTCCTACTGCGGGCAAGAGTAGCACCACAGTCTGTTAACAGGTGTGTTGTTGTATCCTCTGCTTCCTTGCAGGGTTATACCAATCTTCTTTAAATGTCCGTTTAGTATGCAGTGTCCTGTTAAGAGTCCTGTTAGGATTCGCAGTTTTTTCCTGCTTCCTTTGATACAATCTGTCACTTCTTTCCTTCCGAAATTTTTTAGGGGGTTCTTGGATTGTTTGTGTCCAATGAGTGAATTCTATTGTTCCCTCATTTTCTTTTTATCCTTCTGTCTGAGGTACTCATTGATAGCGTGTAAATGGGTGTGCCTGTTGTATGTGCTATCGAAATGTGTATATGTACGGATTTGAGAATATAAATGCATATGGGAATATGTATATGTGTGTTAATTCGTATTTGTTTATGTTTTCTTAATGTCTTGATGCATATAGTAAATGTTGCGTTTGAGAATTTTTCCCCCTGATGGATAATAACTCTAAAGACTGGAAGTTCATTGATACATTTAAAGAATACGTCGTACAGGTTTTCTTTCTTTATCAGCAGTAATAGTTCGGCTAGTGGTCAGGTGATGCCTTAGAACATGCACGGATTAGTAGGCACAACCTTTGTTCTCGAAGTTAGGGCAGTGAAGTAAACTGGGTTTCACATTGGAGGTAAGTTTATGTCACATGTGCAGTTGGAAAAGATTATATCCCATGTTCGCTTGACTTGGTCGAAGGTTTTGTACGCCGGCTGGCTACATCCGAAAAAGCTTTTTTGTGAGAATTCCACTTGCAGTTCCCATCCAACAAGACTCCCAAAATGTGCTTCCAAGTTTGAAGGGAGCTTCTGTCACATGTACAGCTGGAAATGGTACGATGGTCATCCTTTGCGGAAATGCCCTTTTTTCCCAGGCATACTTAGCTTGGGCAAAAGGTTTGTTCGTCGGCTAGCTACATCTGGAAAGAGCTTTTTTTGTGTGATTATCATTTGCAGTTCTCATTCAACAAGAGTCATCCATACCCTTAGACTCCAGCTTTGCCCTGAAGTACAACCCGGGAAGTTTACATTGTACCTCAGAATTTGCAGAATTTGAATTGAATTTCCAGAAGCTTCGCAAGCAAGTGTTGCAACTCTTGCTTTTTAATCCTCCAGCTTTAACCAAACAAAACCGGCCCTCTATTCCCTGGTTAAATGGAAGAGAGTGGATAAAATTCCTGGCGTCTTCGATCAAAGAAAGATGGTCTATTACTGTACAGAATCGTTTCACTGTAGTTTTAGTACCATATTTGCTTTGATTTGTTAAAACATAGAACCACGTTTTCCCAATTGTTCAGCCTGGTTTTTAGAACAGGATTATTCATTCGATATTGCAGTTCAGTTTTCATTTTGTATTATTTATAGAATAAGACATCACAACCGACTTGATTATCACTTTTGCTTCCGTCAATTTATATATAAAAAAATCCATTTACTACCTGGATTCCGCCTTCTTTAAAGATATGTGTGGCTAATCGAAGTAAATGTTGGGGTGGTGAAATTCTGCTTGCTTGTGGATGGACTCTGTTTAGCATTCTTCTCAACTTCATACAGCCTCACGTGCTCTCCCAATGCCAGCATAATAGGCGTTAATCTGGCGATCCACAAGCAGCCTCGTAAGATATGGTTATGTACTTTTGATTATTCGAAAACGAATCAGTGTTTGCATTTTTGTAAGTCTTACACTATTACATATTATTTTGGGACAGTAGTACTAGGCTGGAAGCGCGTGGCGGACAACTGTAAAGCTTGGACCTACTCAAAAGAAATGTGTTGTTTGATGTTTTGATGATCGAAGAAATGTTGATGTTGTTTAGTTGCTGGCATTGAAATGGTTAAACCTTGGCCTTCATAAAAATGTGGAACCTGAAATGTTTTGAAATTTAAACGCAGCAACTAAACATCAAATAAAAAAAAGGACTATGTTAATTTTGAAAGTCCCGTATCGATGGACAGATTCGTAAGGACAAATTTTTGATTAGAGTTATTGGGTTGTCCGGAAAATAATGCAGGATTTTGGTATTAAACAAAAAAAAAGAAACTAGTTACTTTAAAGCAATGTTCTTTAATCAAAATAATTTCCCATACNAAACTTAAAATCCTGCATTATTTTCCGGACAACCCAATATAATGTACAATAGGGCCATGTTGCATATATCCAAGCTATGTAAGTGATTTCTCAGATGCTACTCTGTCTAATTGTACTGTCCTTAGTTTATTAGGTCAATTCTATTGTCTCGATCCTTCTTTTAAGAATTAGTAGGTTATTGATTGTCACTGCTGCAATTCTATTCCCGGGGTCTTCGTTGTGCCATAGTTAATTGCGAAATTAGAACTAGAAGAAAAAATGTTTGTAAATCCCAGGCCCTGAAGATGATCTCAATAAAGATCGAAACGTTGGCACGATAAAGAAAATGTTTTCTGAAACCTACATCACACCAGACCGCATCTCACGATTTCTGAATAATCATCGACTAACGGTCACTAATCAAAACACACACACACACACACGCACACACACACACGCACGCGCACGCACGCACGCATGCACGCGCACATACACGTTAATTGAGAAGTTGCTCTGCACTCGACTATGGGTGGTATTTTCCACATCTTCATGACGACATACAAATAGTGTCATCGTTGCATACCCAAGCTGTGCGGGAGTTTTCTCAGATGCTTCCCTGTTTACTACTTTCTTACTGTTATGTCTGGCACCTCTAGAGTTTGTTCATTTCTCTTTGAGGTTTGTGTGGATCCCATTCTGAGGTGGAGATGTCTGGTTATCCAAAATATACATTCTGGGCATATAGGTCAGTTTGCTTGTTCATTAAAAATTCCTTTGTGCCCTGATAGCCAAGATTGGTAGGTTGCTATGTCGTATTTATGATTGTAAATTCTCCCGTTTTGGCTGTATTAACAGTATATTTTGGCCGTGAGATTTTGACGTGTTTTTAGAGCTGTTTGGCTGCCTGGTCATATCAGGTTGTCAGCGCAGCCTCTTTTAAGAGTTTCTACGGCACGAGAATTTCAGCTCAAAAGACCGAGGTTTACTTCCGTAATCAGTTTGATTGCTTGTAGTTTAGTAATTTATAGTCTTGTAATTGAGAATCGGTAGCCGTTATTGACGGCTCACTCGAAAGTTTAATTCAGGATTATCGGCCATTATTGGATTATTTCCACCTACTAACAATATTACTTTTTGGTTTATTGGAACTAGAGGTTCAAGATGTGTGAGATTTTGCGCGTTTTGAGTTGTGTTTAGGACAGCGGAATATATTGGGTTTTTAAACGAAAATACTTCGGTTCAACGGGAATAAATCCTTGCTCCAATAAGAAAATGCAAGCACCTCTCCCCCTGCTTATAACCCTGATGTACAACCAGTATATCCCCCGAAATGTCTTAAGGTTGGGCTTTGTTTAAAAGATGTAAAATAAAGATTAAAAATTGATTCTGATTTTGCACGAAGTATTTTCAATACAATAACATATATACCAGTTAATAGTTTTATTGGACTACGAAATAACTAATTTCTTCTGTTTCTTCCTGTCCAAGCAGAATAAAAGTCGATAAAATAAACATACAATAGTTACTAATATGTACACTATATAATATCTTCAATTCAATCGGTTTTCACAGAATGGAAAAAATAAAAATAAAACATTAACTAACCCAGTAGGAATGAAAGAAATATCGGTCACAAAAAAACGAGTTCTACCGACAAGTTGATCTGCGAGTAAACGGGTAAAGAATTTTTATGACCAAAGGGAAAGCAATTATGATCGAATGTATTATGGAATCGTCCCGCGTTTTTCTTTACACTTTCGTCCCACCTGAAATTCCGCAATTAAAACCGAGTAATAAAATTTCACGCTTAATAAAACCGCTTAATTCGACCTTGTTGAATTTCCATTCAGGAATTGAATTTCAAGGAAATCCACTTTCGTTGCAGTCTAGGTGTTAACATGGTAAAGAATCTTTATATATAAAGGGTAACTAAGGTGGTCTCATCAATTTACAAAAGGATTTTTGGTTCTTTCTGTCTGCAAGCTTCTTTTTGTGTAAATCAAAAGAATGTTACGATGTTTTGTTAAAATAGTTCTTCTAAATACTTCTACTACTAGTAGTTCTACTAAATAGTAGTATAGTAGTAAATAGTAGTACTACTA